GAAGGAGAGGGAACGCAAGCGGCAGAGCAAGGAGTGGGAGGGATGGGAGGGATGAAAGACAAAAAGTTGGGAGGAGAGGGATGAGTAACTATGCAGGGTGTTATGAAGTGGACTGGCTGCTTACGCTTTACGTTGAAACTGGGAGGACTGTAGTCAGCTCGGTGGCATCATCGCAGGATCTGAGGCTCGGCGCGGGCATCGCAACAGCAGATTGGAGAGACGAGTGCAGTGATGTTTATTGCCTATGTTGTAGCAGGCAGAGTGCCTGCTGGTAGGACGCTTGCGAGTGGAGGACTTGACTAGAGAGAACAGAAGCAACGACATAGGATTGGGGGAAGAGGGTTGGGGAGGTGGTGGAGGTAGGAGGAAAGGAGTGACGAGTGCAAGTGCGTCATTATATGCTCTCGATCTTCGGTATTCGATTACATAATCACTTTGATATATAGTTTAAAAGTAAAACCAGATTATATTAGAAGACTAACAGAGTGATTGTTAACAATATTACTATATATAATTGCATATTATCTTACTAAAACTACTATAATCAACTTACAAGCATAATGTATCACTTTCATAAGTATTATAATCAATCAACTGCTATTGTATATTACTTTATATACAATTTTAACATATTACAATAAAAGCTAAGTACTTGTGTCTCACATATAATATTGTAGTAATAATGTTATTAACATTACTTGCTTTAAAAAACACTTGTAGTATAATACAATTCTTGTATAATCATTACATTTATATACAATTGTTACAATTTAATTATGTGCCAAGTATAATTGTTATTTTAGATTGTAATAGATATATAACTACATTATTAAATTACATTTGCTATTATTAATTACATTTGTTGCGACTTTTTCGTGATGAACATGCACAGCATATACGATTTGAGAGGACTAGTAAATTAATCTGATCCTGGACCTGCGCCCCCGACTCTTCTGAGGCTGCTGTGAGCAACTCAACATAGAACAGTCTTCCAAAGGTGGATGTCCTTGTTTTCTAGTCCAGAACACCGAGAGGTGTTGGCCTGCGGAATGGAGTAATCAGACCACTGCAAACTGTGAAACGTACAATACAGACTAATACGTCTGGAATAGTATCAAAAATCATGCACCTTGTCGTCAGGCGTGAGGTCACTGCTGGTCAGAGTAATCGTTGAAACGGTGCATGGATAATCTTTCGCGAGCCCTATAATGGAATTGCCACAAAATACAGTAGGGTGCATTAGTATTATCTGGAATGGAAGAAAACGAGCTACATTATTTTGTCAATGACCCTATGGTCCGCACCATTGAAAGTCTGGGAAGTTTCTCCCTTCCGACATCTGATTGGGTTTTCCCAATACAACCAAACCGCGCATTCCTTCAATCCAATATCACGCAACGGCCTCGCAACTTTAGCAGACTTGTTCCGTCGATGTACCGACTCGTGCATATCTGGAGGGCTTTATCATTCTTCATGGAAACCTTATACTTGAAATCCACCGCCTTCAGCAACTGGAGTGATACACGAGAGTGACAATGATGTGAGGGATGTTCAAAACAGTGGATACGAACATGTTAGGGGATTAATGGTGTGCATAATGATAAGACGTGTCGGAGAAGAGATAGCAGACTAGACAGTGGTTGGTATGGGCAACGATCTGAGGCAAACACAAAGTAACTCTATGGAGCTCACTTGGGTCCGATCATATTGCGACGTTTCAGTTAATAGAGGTAGTTCTAGAATGTACGTGAGATAGATAAACGACTGTGCATGACTAAGCATACCGTCAAGGCAGAAGTCCGTAATTATCATACTTAACGATACCCATAATCCCATCCCCACCACCGTGAGTCAAACGCTCTTATAAGCAAACAGGGATAAGATCAAAGTACTCATTACTTTCGGCAAGGTTCCAGATATCGACAGTGCAGTCCTTCATCTGACCCTTCAAAAATAGGTGCTAGAGGCAAGTATTACTGCATACACACCTCTGGAAACCTATTGCAAAGGTCAATATAGTAAGCATATGTTTTACTGTAATCCACACTCTATTCCTTCCTTGGATGTGCCTTTTCTCTCTTAGTGAGCCGTTGTTTGAAGGGAGTAACATGCAACCTTTCATTGTTCAGAGGTCATCAGACGTCTTGCACGTGATAAAGACCATTAGCGGCATAAGTATTCTCGTCTCTAATATTAATTATCTGAAACCCATCATAAGTGTAAACCATACGATAATGAGCTCAGATGCGACTGACAACTGATCAAACAATCACATTATTGCATACTCAAAACTTGCATGACGTCTCAGTTCATTTGATACTACATTCAACATTGTGCCATACATGGCCTGTATTGTCTCTGGACTGCAACCATCTATTTGATTTGATTTCCTATTTAATGGTCCTTAGATTCAACGTTATGCTACTCTACGTCAGCTTGCATTATTATATATCACTGTGTCTACAGAAAGCCTATAAAAGCAGAGTGTGATGTAGGGAAATTGGGCTATAGGTCTCTGACTTTTCATATACTGTGAGCACATTTATTTACATTTCTTAGGTTACCAATCCTTATACTATGTTTTGTAAGCCTTCAAGGATATGGTGGACATGTATCATATTGTTCTGACTTCTGCAGTCATTGCTGGACTTGCAGCAGCCCATACTGTGCCAGTAGAATCAACAAGTACAGTCTCATCCAAGACTACCGGAACGCTCACTCAGATAAATGCAACGCCGGCTCCTACGTATACCGTTCCGAGTTCGAGTGAAGAAGAAGATCATATTGTAAGTGTACAATTACTAGTTAAACATTTTTTATGGTAGCTAAAAGACAAGTTGATTTTCGGTGCCCTTCTTAGACTAAGTACAACCGGTGTGGATGGCAATAAGCATTATATATTCTCAACATACTTAGAAGTACTTTGTGCTCTACAATAAACTAGACGTTTGTTACCTTTAAATCTCAGTGTTTCCCTGATTCAGAGTCTGTTTCAAGTAATAGATCGGAACATTGAATTTTCTTAATGGCGTATATAAGAATACAGAATGTCGGAGAAGAGACTCAGACGACCGACTGGACGGCTGTTAGTACAGGAAACGAGGTGAGAGGCAGAGTTAGGCTATAGGACTGTCTTGAGTTCCGTTAGACTGTAATATTCTGATGAGTAGAGACAGCTCTAAACAACTCTTCCAGGACTATCAACTCATGTAAGACTATCAATTGATCAAACACTCACATTTTGCTGTCATCTCTACAAATAGTCTATAAAAACAAGGGTATGCCGTACAAATGTTAAAACATAACCTTCTGACATTTAGTTTGTTGTACGTGCTGTTATCCTCAACGTTTCTGATAATTCTAATGTTTGTTGTTTGAAAGCATTGACAGACATGGTGGATTCATATTGTGTCATTTTGACATCTGCAGCTATTGCTGCATTCACAGCGGCCTATTTTATGCAGCCAGCAAATGCAGCATCGCTCAATGCTATTGAAACGCCTACACAGATAGATATAACGACTGCTTCTTCAGATTCAACTTTGAACGTTGAAGAACATAAAGAAGACGAATATGCAAGTCATCATGATCAGGGAAACCATCATGATGTAGGTACACATTTGCTAGCTGAAAATACTGCGTACTGTGACTGACAAGTAAACAATGTTTGATGCTTCCTTTAGATCCAACCCGGTTGAGGATGGCAGTAAGGATTATATCTTAATGCCAGAACTATTTGATAAAGGACCAATAGGCGTACTACGTAGTGTGTTGTTAAGTATATACAGTCAAATATGTCATAATGCATAATGTGGTAATGTATAATTGTCGTAATGAATGACTTTTTCTCAGAACCAAATGGTCATTCTCTGCCAAAATATAATGTCATAATGTATAAATCTCATAATGAATATAGAAATGACCCTTCCCAGAATATACATTAGGCGACTTCAATTAATTGGCAGAGACACTTGCAGAAGGGCTTCGGCAATTTAGAGTTAAGATGCCAAGAGTTATGCAAGTCTCTCAAAATTGAAGAGCTGGACTTGCAGAGATCGACATTTAATGCCCATGTCACGTTACTCATGATTTTTGTTGGGTTGTAGTCAGACATTTCTTTATTTCAAACTCCGACGCGTCTGCAAGTGCCAACAAGTAGCCCCTCTCAATTCTGTTGAAATGGCCGATTTATTTTCGGCATGGCAAGTTTTAGTAAGGGTAGAGTAAGGGTCGATGTAAGAGACCCTAGTCAGGCACATGTAATTTATCCTTTTTAAGACGCATTTTTTTCAAGCGAATTCAAGAGCTCTCGAGCTCTTGAATCTTGTCGGACTTTCAATATGAAGATTACATATACAACTCAAGTAGCCTAAGCTAAGTAAAACTGCTCTCATAATTAAGCAACAAGAGTAGTGAGTGCATATATTCAGTATACCAAGTCTCCTTACTGTAATCTAACAAAATTATAAGTAAAATAAATTTCTTTTACTTAGAAAATATTTATAACTTGTATTTAACTATTATTTACACAAGCCACAGAAGGAAAAAATCAACTGATAATCTCAATTCATCAGTTGATTTACATTTCTCGGCACAGGGTCGCAAGATCCTATCCCTGTGCCGCAGCGAAATTTCAATCGAAAAAAAAAATAGAATTGAGAGGGGCTAGTAGCCCCTCTCAATTCTGTGGAAATGGCCGATTTATTTTGGGCATGGCAAGTTTTAGTAAGGGTAGAGTAAGGGTCGATGTAAGAGACCCTAGTCAGGCACATGTAATTTATCCTTTTTAAGACGCATTTTTTTCAAGCGAATTCAAGAGCTCGAGAGCTCTTGAATCTCATCGGACTTTCAATATGAAGATTACATATGCAACTCAAGTAGCCTAAGCTAAGTAAAACTGCTCTCATAATTAAGCAACAAGAGTAGTGAGTGCATGTATTCAGTATACCAAGTCTCCTTACTGTAATCTAACAAAAGTATAAGTAAAATAAATTTCTTTTACCTAGAAAATATTTATAACTTGTATTTAACTATTATTTACACAAGCCACGGAAGGAAAAAATCAACTGATAATCTCAATTCATCAGTTGATTTACATTTCTCAGCACAGGGTCGCAAGATCCTATCCCTGTGCCGCAGCGAAATTTCAATCGAAAAAAAAAATAGAATTGAGAGGGCCTAGTGGGTTCGAGCACTTGCAGAAACTTGCAGAGAGTTGCACGGATTTACATCTCTATTTGGTATATATTAAGGTACGTCCACTTTGCCGAGCCACCCCAAAATTTTCCAACTGTCCTGCAAGTGCTCCTGCCAATTAATTGAAATGACATATTCTACTGTAGTTGTATTGGTGTTTCCGTGCGTGCACAACATCGTAAGCTCGGTGATTGCCTTGTCGATCATTACTATCAAATTCCCATACGTGGACTTCGAAGCCGCGACAGAGTCTGTGCCAAATGAATTCTCTCACATTGATTCCCCATGTATCCCGCTTATGTCCATTTCACCAGGACCTCATCTCACGGCAATCGAGCGCTCTCGTCTTCAACCCCTATCATTCGACCACGTCAGCGTTTCATAGCTTTCAGAGCTATAGCTGTGTGTGAGCAAGTTGACGGGCAGCGGAACCGGACGTGCGACTGATCGCTCAGGAACACATTCACTGTCTCGCTGAGTGCCATTGGGAAAGTGGCAAAGCCATAACACGCGATAGGTCGGATTCGGAAGACGGCAGTGCATTGCTGCGGCCGTTTCCCCGTCTTGCGTGCCTCTCCAAGCGCTTATAATCATTCACAACCAAACTTAGCTCTCCATCTTGCACGATACTTGCTGTGTTCTGACCGGCCGCTCACACGGAAGCAAGACGTTTCATGACACCTTTCCCACATTGAAACGCTAGGTCCCGCAACTTAGGTGTGAAATAGTTGTAATAATATAATATGAAAGCTGGGAACAAGATGCCCGAGGCTGCGTACAAACCCCTCCCACAAGCCCCTCCCCCGTCTGAACCGCTCCTTGCAGACGAGACGGACGCGGCTGACCCACACGATCTGGACTTACAAAATCGACATCATCATCATCAACGCCAGAACCTGGCTTATCGATCGGATTCGCCGTCACCTTCGCCGTACGTAGACGATCCGAAGGTTGGACGGAGATTTGAACCGCTTGAGATGTCCGCGGAACTGAGTTTCGGAGGCGGACCGGGAGGTGTTGAGGCTGACCTCGGTGGTAACTCCACCCCTGTGAAGGAGGAACGAAAGGGAGACAAGATTGGGTTGTATGTCACATTGGTGAGTGGTGTTGTGCATGTGTGCATATTGTTTGTTTCGAGGACTTTCCTTGTGTTGCTTCCATCACCCCGATCACGGAACGAGGCGGCTTGAAGATTGGAAGCAATTTCGAGCAATTCTGTTTTTGCGTGTCTCATGTGGTAATTAAAGATACTGACGGCATTTAAACGCTCTTGGTGCTCCACAAATATGACCTTTGTAGGCATCCCTCGGTGTGAGTGCATGTTATCAATCACCGATCACCTAGGAGTTTACTAATTTCGGTGATGAATGTTGCATAGACATTAACGATTGGTACTTGGATTCTTGTGCTGTCGAACAACCCATCAAAACTCGGCTTGTTCGCGGCACATCCGCCACTACAGACTTTGGCAATTGCATGTTTTGGACTAGGTTAGCCGGGGACCGGACTTTGATAACGAAGTAAAAGTTTTGACGAAGATGGATCTGATCTACTTAGGCATTTTGCTGCTCCAGCCCACGTCGCAACCGAAGACGAAGGCGCGCGGGCTTACTCGGCACCAGCTTGTGATTCTTGGAATCGGCTTGCCTTCAATCATCGTCGGCACCAGTGTCATTTACGCAAACAAAGTGATTCATGAATCAGACCATTTTACCACCTGGCATGCCGTGAGTGCTTGTATTTCCAATCCGCACGAACGCCGACGGTTAATGACGGGTTGATGTATATCCAGACCTTTGGCTTAATTGCGGTCGTATGGATGATAGGCCAGATGTTATTAGGTGGACTTAGTGTGTGGTTTGGTGGACGTGCATTTGGTGGAGGTATGAAGGCAAAGAGTGTTTGGAAATATCACCGGTTCGTGTGCATCGGACTTGATTGTATCAGAAAATCTGATTTACATACACGCATTTCATTTTTAGTGCGTCTGGGTACCTCTTGTTCCCAATGTTCCTTATGACGGCAGCCGTGGGTGGGAATTACTCTTCGTGGGCGTCGTCGGTAGCGAGCGTTGGCGTGCGAGTGCTACTTTACACGCTGGCCCCGATATTCGCACTTGTGGGGCTCTGGAGCCGAATGCGGACGTCGAAGATGAATTTCAGGCAGTAGTGAACTTTGAGTTTTGTTTATCAAGTGATGATGATTCTTCTCGTGTACTTTCAACTCTGTTTGTACCTCTCTCCGGCTATGTAATGCATTACTCGCGGGATTCGGCGAAGGGAAAAGAAGTGCTATGCTATATAATTTAAATTTATTTTTGGGGATGATGTCAGACGACTTGGCAGCAAGGCACATGGCAGCAGTATTGAAATGGAAGAATTTTGGCGGGAAGGTTAGAAGGTAAAATAGTGATGAAGCGCTTGCTGATCTGGATAATTATGCTGAGTCTGCGCATGTATGCGCTTGTTCTCGATGAGACCGCGATATAACATACTGCAGGACATACTACTACGCAAATGGAGAGTGACGAAGAAGGGCGGAAGGGACTTGAGTGCTGAGTCCAGATCGAGTGGAGTAGTTCACGTGATATGAAATTGCCGTGCTCCACTGGCCGAAGATATTGGCTACTAGGAACTACGCCCCCGCACACACATCTGTTCTGGGAGTCGTCCGTATGCTCTGACTTACCATAATGCCCGCCGACGCTGTCCTGCAGCCGGTACAGCTCAACATTGACGCGCAAGATACTAGTTGCTCTGCCGACGCCGCCGTCGCGTCCGCCGCAGCTCTCGTTGCAGCAGACGATGGCCACGTTCAGCCTCTCCTCGACCAGCTCAGTTCTCACTTGCCAGCTGCATCTGCGGCCCTTTCCGGTCGTTCTCACTCAGAAGTCCCACCGGCCTCCCCGGCGATGGGCTCTGCGGCGCTCATCGACATTCCCGCCGCACCAGACGCGGTCCCGCCTCCACCCAAACGTGCGTCTGCTCCCACCGAGCTCCACGTAGCAAGCTCCGATCCCGGTTCGGACGCGATCATCTTACCTGGTTCAATTGAAAAGGTCCAAAACCGCCCGGTAGAACGGGAGCTTGGTAGGCTTCCAACGTCATTTTTTTAGTTGATTGGATCGCTAATATATATACACCAGTGGAGGATCGGCCTGCGCCGTCCCATGACGCCCCTGCTCTCGATCCTGGGCCGTCAACGCACTCGACCGCTGTCCCTACCCTACCGCCTTTAAATAGGTCTGATAGTCAGCGTGGTTCAGCTCCAAGCTTGCACGCACAGAACGCGCCTGGGAGTTACGACTGGCCAACGTTTGTTGCTGCGTATGCTGCTGGCAGGTGGAATCCGCATCGCATCCCTTCGGCGCCTAGGCCTACTGTTTACTCGACACCAGCGACACCTGGATCCGCGCCCTTTCACGCGCGGCGATCAGAAGATAGCACAAAGGGATCTTCGAATTCAAGTGCTACGACTGTCGAGCCTCCGCCGTTGCCTGTATCAACAATTCCACTTTTGTCTCCTCCCCTCCCCAGCGGGCCTGGAACAGGAACAGATAGCAGCACATCCGCCAGTGACGCTTCGGTATTGTCACGTGTCACCTCGAGTTCTGCAGCGACTTCAATGCACTCAAAGGCAGGATCACCTGCGCTATTCACTCCGCAACCGGTAGCTCCAGCGGTATCAATTGCAGGATCCATGCCCGCTGCTCCAGAACCACCTCCCCAACTGTCGGCTTCTCTACCTCCGGAAATTGCCCCCTTCTCCGGCATTAGCCAGCGTCGTGCGAGCGTCGGTTCGCCCTCACCGCGAGAAAATGAAATGCGAATACCCTTGCCGCCGCCATCTTTCGCAGGTAGTAGTAGTGCAAACACCCCACTTCACCTACGCAATGCCGTATTATCGCCTTCGACTCATCCCCTTGGTCCGCAACTACAGCCGTTAGTTCCAGCCGTTAGTACGCCTGCATCGGAATACTATTCTGCCGTGTCGACGATTCATTCAGGTCCGTCGACTCCAGAATTAAATACTGCTGCTGCCACCATGCGCTGGGCGGCGTCGTCTCATGTTTCCCTTGCACCCTTAGCACTTCCTAGTCCGGAGCATGAATTGACTGATCCTATGCGAGGAGTGGCGGTCTCTGTTCCGGTTGATGAAGTGAACGATGCCGAAGAGGAAGGGAGTTCTGATAACGGTAACAGCAATCGAAGGTGGTCTGGCCTCGGAATCCGAACAGGGAAAACAAGAAACGGGCGAAGAGGTAGATATTACGGGAAAGGCAGAACTCCGAGTCAAACAAGGCGAATATGGGAACGATTCACAAGTCGCGAGAAGCAGCAGTCTTCAAGCGAAGAAACGGAAGTGGGTAGGAGCGATGACGACTCTTTGCAGCACCTTCCTTCAGAACCAGTACAATCGCGGCGGCGTGATACTCGTCCATCTGACTCTATATCGCATATGCCAACGATCGAGGCGAGCCCTCTTGGTAGTCCGGCAAGAGAATTGCCAAAAGGGGAGCCTACGATGCGTCATGAGGGTAGTATTAGTCCGTCTGTCCTCGCGGAGGACTCACCTCGGGTCCATTCCACGTCGCGTAGCTCATCTATGCCTGCACCCGTGACGGCACCACTTTTACGCTCAGCTTCGCAAGATGATGGCAAGTCCCCTGCTGCTATTCAAACAGATTATTTTGGACTTGCAGTGCACAGAGAATCCGCACCGGTCACATCGCCTTTGCGCGACGCGTCTCTCCCTAGAGTAGAAAGCGTGAAGGCGGAGGTACCGTTTGTTCAGCTTCAGACTGTCGCGGAGGCTGAATTTGATTCATCCTCACAGAGCGTCAGTTCCCTTCCGCTTTCCTCGGGCTCGCGTACGAGTGAAGGCAGTCGCCAGTCGGAACAGTCTTCCTCTGCTCCACGGGCTCCGAGTCTCATTGATACACTCTCGGTGCAGACGCAGACTTCGTTGTCCCTCCCGAACACGCCCATGCATCGTGCAGTTTTGAGTCGACAGTCTTCATCTCCGTTGCCTACACGTGCATATATTGTGAACGAAACTGTTGCAAGCTTCGAGGCAACGTCTGACGCACCATTGTCTACGACGGCAACGACAGCTCCTCAACCATCACCATTTGACATTAGCAGGGCACGCTTTAATTCTGCAATGTCGGTGGGTGGGCGAACCAAAAGTGCAAACCGTCCGGGACTTGCGCGTGCACAGTCCATGAAAGCCATGGGCTCTGGTCACTCCCTGACGAAGGTAACTAGAGAAGAGGAAGAGTACACTGGAAGAGGCTACCTTATTCCCCCTTACCCACGGGACGAGGACGAGCGGCGGAGGGCGCTGCGCAAGTTCGTTTCAGGGTTTAGTTTAATCAGTGATTTTTGTTGGCTTACTTACATTATTCCGCTGTTTCACATTGCAGGTTTAATATTGTGCATACGATGCCAGACGTCAACTTCGATCGGATAGCGTACTTGACTAAGCTTGTCTTCAGCACGAAGATTGTTGTCGTGTCGCTTGTCGATGAAGAGGAAGAGTAAGTTTGTATTTAAAGCATAGATAGACTTGTGCTTATTGTTCCAATGTCCCGATGACACTTTGTTTAGATGGTTTAAAATGGAATGTAAGTATCAAGACTTGCTTCCGTGCTCTATTTATATCTGTTTAATTACTGTGCCTTACTTTATTATCCTGCTTAGCTGGATTAGGATCACAAGCGCTTCCGAGAGATGTATCGTTCAGTGCGCATGCAATCTTGCAAAAGTACGTCCCGTCCCTCGTCATGATGATCGTCTTTGAGGTTCTAGACCTGATCTCCTGATCTGCGTTATTAATGTGTGTATTCAGAGGAGACGAACCCACGGTTGTCTTAGATACAAGACGCGATTGGCGGTTTAGTATGAACGTGAGTGTTTGAGCCTGGGTTAAATTTGACTTGTGGAATTAAGTGTTCTTTTTGGGTTCTTAGCCGTTGGTCGTGGAAAGACCCAATGTTCGCTTTTTTGCGGCGGCGCCGTTACGGACTTCGGAGGGATATAATGTCGGAGCGTAAGTGTTTTGTGAAAATAACGCTTCCCCTTCATGATTGATGAATTAAATATTTTCCTGTCTAGGTTATGTATTATGGATGACCAACCTCATTCGGAATTCACACCTCGACAACGACATACTCTTAAGGAATTTGCTGTACGGACCATTAGTTGAGTTTATTCAGAGGGTTTGCTGAAAGAACATATAACAGGCTATTGTCATGCGGGAAATGGAACTGTGGAAGGACAAGATTCAATTACGTATTCGGGACCGGATACAAAACTCGATGGAACAATTCACGCGCGAATGTCTCGAGATCGACAACGAAGAGACATCGGCCACACATGGTGTGCTGAAAGCTGGGTCTATGGATCGAGTATACGAGCGAGCAGCGAAGCTCGTTAAAAAGACGCTGGACGTTGAGGGTGCGGCGGTAATGGACGTTTCGCACTTTGATGTGCTGGAGACTACGAAAGCTGAAGGTGCTATCTCGATTGTGTGTCATCATGCTGATTGCGCGAGTGGTGAGACCCCACAAATGCCGGCGACGACTACGCACTCGATACCGACGGATGAGTATTCGTTGTTTATGGATTTTTTCGCGAAGTATCCGGAGGGAAAGATTGCGGAGGGGATTATTCCGAGGTGTTTCAGGACTATTTTGCCTACGCGGATAGTGCATGCTTTGAGTGAGGATTCGCGTTTTGCTGATTTCTGCTGTTGTTCTGCATGTGCTTACTTAATTTGATTTTTCAGTCGTACCGATCTTTAACATTGATAAGAGGCCTTTTGCGCTGCTGTGTGCGTATAATACCGCTGCGCATGTCAAGCCATTCGTAAGTTATTTATACTCTCTTGGCCTTCTTTCTCTTATTGTTCGATAGTTGGAGGGACATGAATTGTCGTATTTGAGGGCTATTGGTAAGACTTTTTTTCACTCTGTCACTGTGATCGTGTGTTGAACTGTGAGCCCTTTAGGTGTTATAATCTTAAGTGCGGTCTTGAAAAGACGGATGATACTTGCGGATAAGTCCAAGAGCTTGTTCATTTCAAAGTACGACATGATTCGTTTTGGCGAGGCACGTCACTGACAAACGTAATTGTAGTATCTCACACGAGCTACGAACACCTTTGCATGGAGTACGTATTACACCAGTCTCCTCGATCCTTGATATTGACTGGTTTTCTTAGATCCTGGCAGCCGCTGAATTATTGGGCGATACGGAATTGGATGATAACCAATCATCGTTCTTGCGTACGGTCCAAGCATGTGGGACGTCTCTCGTTGAGACTGTTAACCACGTATTGGACTTCACCAAGCTGAGCGGCAACTCTAAGAATGGTGGTGTTGAGAACGTTATCCATCCCAGCAAGTGAGTAACGGCATCATTACCATTCAAACCAATATTAACGGAGTGCCAATAGAGTGGACCTAATGCAAGTCGTCGAAGAAGCAGTCGAAGGTTGTTGGATTGGGCATCGAGCTCGATTACCAGCGAAGTCAGAGATTGGGAGTGTTTATGCTCCTCCGGCGTCTTCAGGATCACAATTGGCCTTTGCGAGGACGGCTGTGGAGACTGTTATTGATGTTGATCTGAGGAGTAGGGGATGGCAGCTCGTTTGCGAGAAGGGAGGTATTAGACGTGTTTTGATGAACCTCATTGGGAATAGTTTGAAGTTCACTTCGGTAAGCAATTTTGTTTTCCACGTCCTGTTTTCTGGATGGAAGTTTTACAAATGAGTAGAATGGATACGTGCATATCACGTTGCGCGAACTACCCAGTTCAGACACGGCTTCTGACAAAGCTAAGATTGAACTGGCGGTGATTGATACTGGCAAGGTACGTTCCGCAGAACAGCTGGAGTCCTGAACTAATCTGACTTGACACTTTTTCAGGGTATTAGCAAGGAGTTCTTGAAGGTACTTTTCTTTCTGGTTTGTTTGTTGGAGATTATTAATATTGATGTCCGATCAGAATCAACTCTTTCATCCATTCTCCCAAGAGAATCCTCTGCAGTCGGGTACAGGCCTGGGGCTAGCTATCGTCAACAGCATTATCCGCTCAGAGTCTGTCAATGGCCAGGTTGAGGTTTCGAGCACTGAAGGCGTTGGGACAGAGATCCGGATCACATTTGATGCTGCTATTCCTGAGGATGAACAGCCTCCGGAAGTTGAGAAATTAGACATTCAAGGAAGGAATCCGACAGCTTCGATGTTCGGGTTCGACGATGGATCCAAGGGGACAACGCTGTTGCGCGGGGTGATAGAGAAATACTTGGCGTCTTGGTGGGGCTTTGAGATTGTCCCTGCTGGTAGTAGCACTTTGGGAGATATTATCTTGTTGAACGAAGATGCAAGACTTATCTCGCAGGCTATTGCGGCGAGAGATACTTCTCGTCCTTTCGTTCTGCTGACGTCGTCGCGTGCTGATCAGGAGACGATGGCTACGGTGTATGACTTTGAACGTCTGGGTGGATTCTGTCGTTTGGTCTCTAAACCAGCTGGGCCTTCTCGCTTGCGACAAGTGTTAAAGGCTTCTGTGCATATTGTCCGTTTTCGAGAGAGTTCACAGCAGAGTGCTGTTACGGCTGAACCACATCGCGCAGGTACGCTGCCTGCTTCGTCGTTTTCTCCAGACCCTGCTATCGCTCCGTCAGGACTGCCACGATATCCATCTCAGGAGCCTGGAACGATCCCGATGAGACCGAAGATGACGCCTAGAGCAAACACCTTCCATCCTGTGTTACCCGAACGAATTGCGACGCCTCCGCTAACCAAACTTTCTCCGCCTGCGGATTATCCGAGTAGTCCGGGAGATACGACTATCAATGTTGGTGCTGGAGGGACGTTGTTGAAGTCGTCTATTGGGACTTGGAGTCGACAGGGACATGCGAGGGCGCGGATTTTGGTTGTGGAGGATAATCAGATACTGAGGGATCTTTTGTGAGTATTTGTACTTTTTAAGTCGCCATACGTGTTAATCTGTTTAATCTTCTCTTGTAGAGTACGATGGCTTGGGAATAGGGTAAGTGGAATGTGAAAATCTATTGTATAACCAACTAAATGTTGTGTCTCAGGGCTTTGAGTATCAGCATGCGATGGACGGTAGGGAAGGCGTGAACGCTTTTTCCAATACCGATCATATTGAGTGCGTCGCCCTTCGTCTTTCTGACCTAGTATTTTCTTATAATGATTCTTCCAGTGTTGTACTCGTGGACTTATCCATGCCTGTACTCGATGGGATCGCTGCTACCACCGAGATCCGCAAGATCGAGGCCAAGCGATTGGATGACCACGCGAACTTGCCTGCTGGCTCCTCTGATCCACCGCGAAGGGTTAAGATCCTTGCGCTGACTGGGATGTCTTCACTCGAGGATAAGCGACGTGCCTTCGATGCGGGAGTCGATGGCTAGTAAGTGCCTGCTACATTGCTTTTATTTTGAGTCGACTGATTAAATGATGAAAAGCCTCGTAAAACCTGTCGCTTTTAAAACGTTGGATGCTATGTTCCACCAGCTGGGCGTCTCGTAGCTGTTTACGATTATCGCCGAGGTCCATTCACCTGTTATGACGGCATCGCGGATGGTTTCATCTCCCGTCCGTCCTCGATATCCAAGAGATACACCGATGCCCCTCATATAGCATAACTCACATGTATATATTCATCACCACTGCATCACGCGTACCATCTTTTATATTCCTGGGATTACTTTGGGCTCGCTCTTCAGCAGCGTTGAAGCTGAACAGTTTATTAGGGCTCCTGGGCATCCGGTAAAGCCCATGATCCGCAGAACAAACATAGAACATCATTCTCCCTTGCTCAGCAGTTTAATTACTCGCCTTTTACTACGATGTTTCCCCCCTCCCCTTTCCTCTCCTATCCCTTCCTTCATTGCGAGCGTTACCACTCCACTTTGTTCACTTTCTCTGTATACTGATTTCGCTATAGTTCTCTGTCACTATTGCTTTTATCTGTTATTCTCTTGTTTGATTTTGTGTGTTCCGTTTTGTCTGTCAACATCATCACTTTCCCCTTACAGTCCAGTTTGTTCATTCTGTTCATTGCATTTGCATGTTTTTCTTTACCTTTTTTCGTTCATGTTTATATATGTATGCTCTCTTACGTGTATATTCTTTATATACTACTTTTTTCTTTCCTTCGTTTGTTCTTTCTTTGTCTTTGCTACTTCATTTTTCAGTTCTTACTACGCTACGTTCATGACCTTGCAACAGTGATTGTAGAAATTCAATCCGATCCATTTTCAATCCAGTAAGTAGTTTAGGTATATTGGTATTTTTGTGGTATAATTGGGTTATTTGGTACATCCCTTCATTTGGTTATTTGTCTAGTGTGAGTGATGATGGCACATAGTATTTGGTTGACTTTTACACTTTACCCGGTTATGAACTATACACAATGCACGCTTGGCGACACAGAAAGTCTAGTGTATATGACACGGTAATCGTGGATATATGCTGAAATAATTGATCCAACCAAAACACCAGATTGACTTTGTTCACGTCATGTGATTTTCGAGCTGCGCGTTAGGAACGAGAATCCGTGTTTGTGTGCATCCCGCACCCTCGCGGTCCAGCATTACATCTTACCTCAGAGCTTCATATCATCGTACAATGTCCCGACCAACGAGCCCGCCATCGCCGGGCACACCACACCTTGTCTCACTCGTCTTACACTCAAAGAAGGCGTTGCAGCATGGAGAACAGCTGTGTTCTCGTGCGCATGAGCTTATGCATGGGACGTCGAGTTTGGCGACGGACGTGCTTGCGTTGGATGCTAAGGCGAGGTGGGTTGTGCAGGGAATTATGGAGCAGTTGAAGGTGAGTTTTTGTTTTGTTACTTTGGTTAATTGGTTTGGTATGGGATTAATTTATGTGTTTTGGGTTTGTGCGTGGGTTAGCTTGCTGGGAGCGTTGCGAGGAGTATTGAGGTGAGGAGGAATAGGTTGGATGACCAGGCGAAGGTATGTCCGAAATGTCCTCGCTCCTTGCTGGAATTGTATGAGCTGATACTGATTTTGTCTGTCTTTATTGCAGGAATGGGATAAAGGACGTTCGTTCCATTCAGGAAACCTAGATGCCATCCTTGAGTCGCTCGAGAAACAGGTCGTACCGCCTGACTTCCATTTGTCGTCTTCTTCCTCTTCACTTTTCGGTGGACGTGACTTGGATGATGCAGGGGATGCTGACCATGGAGACGGTCAAGACGGTGGTGGTAATGATGGGGTTCTACCCAACGGAGATGCGAAGATGCATAATAGTGGAGGACAGGACCGAAGTAAATGGAAGACGCTGCGTGACTTTGTAGATGTTGGTAACATTGTAAAGGCGACGGAGGAGATGGACGAAGACCGAGATTTACTTGAGGTGCGTGTTACCGAACTTTCTCTCCTTATTCGTTATGAAGATTAACGAATGAAATGTTGTAGGACATCTCGTCCAAAACAGAAGGTTTCTCAATAAACCTGAACGAGAGCGTACAAGCTTTACAAGGTGCTCTACCAACCCCCGGAACGATTCCCTCGATACGAGAGATGTTCGCCTCTCAGGAGGTTGCGTCTACGAATATGGCGAATCACTTGGAAGGATTGGCGTCACATTATGACCAGATGGCAGCTGCCTTGAAGGATAAGGAAGCTGGGTTGGAAATCAATGAGGACGATTTGCTAGGTCGGTTCTAATTCCGAACGTGGCACCACGATGCCCCCTTTACTGAAATAAATTCACAGACATGAACAGAGATACGGACGAGCTCCCAGCAATTATTGCAGAGCTTGAAGATGACGTGGCGAATGTGAAGTCTAGCCAGTAAGTAAAATTTCTCGTGCGTATGCTGTCCTGAAAGATGTTCATCATGTTAGTGACCAACTTGTGTCAGCTAAGCAGGACGCACTAGTTCGTTTAGGCAAATTGGGCGAAATCGTTGATCAGTTAGACGAATTGGAAGGAGTCATGTCTGATATGCTTGCGCAGCAAACGGATGTTGAGGTGATTAAACACACCCGATTACGATCACTCCTAAGTACGAAAGCTTATGTCGGTATTTTACTTGTTTAGACCGAGTATGAGGTGCATCTTGCCGCATTGCAGCAACATCTCACTACATTGGAACATTTATGCATCACGTTTACGTCCTACGAAACGTCCTTCAACAGTCTTCTGCTGGAACTCGAGCGTCGAAGACGGTACAAAACTGCAATGGAAGAACTCGTTCGGGGAATGACTCGACAGCTGGAGGCTTTGCGAGAAGGTATATATCCTTGCTTTAAAAATGACCAGTGTCGGAATCTAACTCTCTTTATTTAACATTTAGAGGAGACCCGACTTCGAGAGGGTTTCTTTGCTGAACATGGAAATCACCTTCCTACGGATTTATGTACCTCCGTGTCGAACATGCCGACAAAATGGGAGGTAGGGCCAGCTCCGGGTGAGACTCTGGAGGAACTCCCTTCTATAGACGAAGATTTGATTGTTGAGGCAAGTCGGGGAAAATATTTGATAGCGCTTTATGTTCACCATTCTTTTGCTAGGCTGCACGACGAATGGAACTTGCTAAAGATGGTACCGAGAGCGTATAATTATATTCAGACCGCGATCGTCGTTCATTTAAACCTATTGTTATCATTATTTGTATTTCAACGGTGCGTGGTTTGATTCCAGTATCATCCTATTGATAATGTCGTTTTAAACGCATATTCCTCACAGGGAAGGAATCTTTCCCGGCCAGAACGCGTCTCCATCTTTATTCTTATGATACCATTCCCCATCGTGTGCCAAGACGACACGAACGCGAGGTAGCGTGAGCACATCGGCGATACGTTTAATAGTTGCTTGAGCGGCTTCCTTATTCTGGTGAATGCACGTCAAGGCACCTTCCGGAGTAGGATACATCGCGATATCTCCTTCGCCTCGTACAAGTCTCCAATCGTGTGCTGCGTCTCCAGCCAGATAAATCCATCCGCCATCCGGTGACGTTCGTGCCAACAGGTTCATATGGCCCGCCAAGTGTCCAGGCGCGTCGATGAAGTACGCGGACCCATCACCGAAGTAGTCCAATGCACGAGGGAACGGGCCAATAGGCCTCCACTTCTCGGTAGTAGTGTCAAAGTACTCCGTACGTCCCTTCGGCAGCAAGTCAGACGGGAACACGCTCTTCGGGTCTTCAGGATACCCAGGCTGGAAAAGCGTCGCCGCTTCAGCGCCAACGATGAACTGTGCCTTACTAAACAAACTCGGGTTTCCCGTATGGTCCCAGTGGCAATGCGACAAGCACACATGGGTGATATCTTCAGGTTTCAAACCACCCTTCGCAAGCGCAGTAGGCACATCACACGGTACACCTGCATTGAAGACGTCTGATAACCGCCTTCGCGTGAATTCGGGGTAGTTCTCGATGTCGCTGCGGATACCGAGGTCGAAGACGATACGTCGTTGGGAGTTGCGGTGCGTGACGAGGAAGGAGAGCGAGGGGACGACTTTCTTCTCGTCCTCGGGTGCGGTGGTGACGAACATGTGACATGGCATGTGTATGAGGCCGCCCTCGAGGGCAGAGATATCGCAGTATGCTTGTTTCTCGCTTGGTGGAGGCAGAGAAGGGACGGAGGAAGCCATGGTGCTATTGGCTGTGTGAGATAAGACCTTGGACAGCAGGAAGGTGCTTATATCCAGAGCTTATATTGTACTCTGTCCCGTTGTTTACACGCACGTCATTGAATACTACACAGAAGGGTCATACTGGGTTCTTCTGTGTGCATGTGAGGGCTCCTTCGCTGCTTGAGAATGTGCTCAGAATAGGTCTATTCACAACCAGTTTAGCACGTGCCTGGCTAAATTGTTTATTTGATTTGACAAAGATAGACTTGATAACACATGATCTAAAGGCTCGGTGCATTTGTAATGAGTGAATTTCTAAGTTAAGTTAATGTCAAGTCGGGCTTAATTCTGCACGTACAAAGGATCCAGCCAATTTCGCTCTATAGCCAGAAGAATGAAAGTACAATACAAACAACGATATTTAAACAATTTTGGTATCTAATGCTATCAGGCGCCGATGTGTACCATGTTGACCCATCGCTCAGTTTGAATCCCTTCTTCAGCTTTCAAGTTCACGACGGCTCTACGAAGTGCTGCGGCAGCCCTTTTGCATTACTTCACCCTCTTCACCATGGAGAAGATGTGCATAAACATCCTTATTAGCAAGAGTAGGCCCGTCTGGATCGTACAGCTCCCACATTGTGCCAATTACGCTCCGAACGAAAAAGTTGCCTGCCGTGGATAGAGAATAAGAAGCGGAGCGATCAGAGGAGACATGTACTCATCATTTTTATATATAAGCGACACGACAAATAAACCTTCAGGAAAATAAAATTCCGAGATCTCGTGATCATAAACCAGGTTTCCAGATTCTTCATTTGCAGCCCTGCCATTACCGTTATATATTACATCGGTATGTTGTTTGTTTCAGTACCATTTTTATTAAACCCTGCTCGACTAAACGCTAAAGCGAAGGAATTTTTCCAGGCCATCCAGGCCAGAACGCATCACCGCCCTTGTTCTCACTATACCATTCGGCGTCATGCGCCAGGATGGCACGTACACGTGGTAGTGTGAGCACGTCAGCGACGCGCTTCATAGTGGCCTTCGATTCTTCCTGGTTCAGGTGCATACACCCAGTTCCACCTTCCAGAGTAGTAAACGTTGCAATATCTCCTTCGCCCCGGATAAGGCGCCAGTCGTGTGCGGTGTCTCCCGCAAGATAAATCCATCCGCCATCCGGAGACGTTCGTGCTAGGAAGTTCAAGTGACCAGGAAGGTGCCCAGGCGCATCGATGAAGTACGCAGATCCATCGCCGAAATAATCGAAAGCACGAGGGAACGGCCCTATGGGCTTCCACGCCTCGGTAGTGGTATCCAAATACTCTGTTCGTCCCTTTGGAAGCAAGTCAGACGGGAACTTGCTATTTGGATCCTCTGGATATCCGGGTTTGAAAAGCGACGCCGTATCTACGCCGACAATGAATTGCGCAAGCTCGTATTTCCTATGTGGTCCCAGTGGCAGTGCGACAAGCATATATGAGTAATATCCTCAGGTTTAAGTCCTCCCTTCGAAAGCGATTTAGGTACGTCACTTGGTACACTCGCCTTAAACACATTGTACGCCATCTTTTTCACTGGTTCTGGATAATTTTCAATATCGCTCCGGATGCCGAGATCGAAGAGGAGACGTCGCTGTGAGTTACGGTGGGTAATGAGGAAAGACAGCGCGGGACCAAGTTTTATCTCTCCTTCGGGTGCGGTGGTGACGAACATGTGGCATGGCAATTGCAAGATGCCGCCCTCGAGGGCGGAGATATCGCAATAAGCCTGATTATCGCTTGGTGGAGGTAGTGGAGGGACGGAAGGAGCCATGGTGATAAGGAATGGGATAAGACGTAGCGCAAATGTTTATATATATCCGCTGGCTACTTGCACGCCATCATGTCCTTGTCCTGCATAGAATATTAATAATAATAAGGGGTTTCGATCTTCTGTCTCTGTCATGTGAGAGTTGTCACTGCTTGGTATGGTATGTATGGTAGTGTCTCACTGCTGCACATTTCAGTGAAGCTGTGTTCTTGCAGTGTCCGCTAATGAGATGCGATAGCATCGGATCTCGTTGGGAACCAGAGTTTGTTCTGTGAGTGCTCAAGGACCTTGAACTGGCTCGCCCGACCTTCACCTGCACAATAAGCACGTGCGGACTCTAAGGATAATTGTAAGTGATGGTTCATGGCACAACGCGTAGGGAATCTCGGGATACTCATACTTAAATAGGTAATGTAGTCTTACATAATAGAAATAATCTTCCGCCTACGTTAATTGACTAAGTTGACTTGCTACTTCTGAATCCTCATGACATTCGAATAAGTTCCAACTTTGCGTACCCGGCTTGCTCATCCCCTGCGGCGAGTAAATTATAATCACAGAGAGAGCGGAGGAACTTGCGTCTTAGAGGTCTGTAACTATTACATTATAACCGACGAGACAAATGAACTTTAGGAAATGATATCAAGGACATATGACCATAAACCGAGTCTCTGGATCCCTTGTTTCCAACCTGTCACAGCTATAATACATCGCGGCGATATGCAGTTTGTTTCAGTAACATTGAATACTGTCTTTCCGGGATAAGTGCTAAAGCGAAGGAACCTTTCCAGGCCAAAACGCATCGCCTTCCTTGTTCTCGTTATACCACTCAGCGTCGTGCGCCAGGATGACATGTACACGCGGTAGCGTGAGTACGTCGGCAATACGCTGAATAGCAGCCTTTGCATCTTTCTTGTTCACGTGCATACACCCCGTCCTTCCTTCTGGAGTTTGATAAGTTGCGATATCTCCTTCGCCTCGAATAAGTCTCCAATCGTGTGCAGTGTCTCCCGCAAGATAGATCCATCCGCCATCTGGAGATGTTCGTACAAGAAAGTTCAAGTGGCCGGGAAGGTGTCCAGGTGCGTCGACGAAATACGCAGATCCATCACCGAAGTAATCAAATGCACGAGGGAACGGGCCAATAGGCTTCCATGCTTCACCAGTAGTATCTAAGTACTCCGTACGTCCCTTCGGCAGCAAGTTAGATGGGAACACGCTCTTCGGGTCTTCAGGATACCCAGGTTGGAAAAGCGTCGCCGCTTCAGCACCGACAATAAATTGCGCCTTGGTAAACAGGCTCGGGTTTCCCGTATGGTCCCAGTGACAATGCGAAAAGCACACATGGGTAATATCCGCAGGTTTAAGCCCTCCCTTCGAAAGCGACATAGGCACGTCACACGGTACCCTCGCCACCGCTACCATTTTTTTCGTGGTCTCTGGGTAATTCTCCAGATCGCTCCGGACACCGAGGTCGAAGAGGATATGTTGCTGTGAGTTACGATGGGTAATAAGGAAAGACAGCGAAGGAACAAGTTTCCTCTCGTTCTCGGGTGCTGTGCTAACGAACATGTGGCATGGCAATAACAAGAAACCGCCCTCGAGGGCGGAGATATCGCAATACGCCTGATTATCATTTGGTGGAGGTAGTGGAGGGACAGAAGAAGCCATGGTGATGAGATGTGTAGCTCAAACGCTTATGATTATATTGTATTCGTTAGCTATTTGCAAGTCATCGTATCCTACAAAGAATATTTATATATAAGGGATTTTGATATTCTCTGTCATGTGAGGATTATCATTGCTTATGTTTCACTGCCGTATGTTTCTGTGAAGGTGTTCTGGATAAACCATTGCGGCCGCTAACGAGAATGACTCACCACCAAAACAAACACGGAAATGTGTTGGAATGTATTGCTAGGACACATATTTTTTACATATTGTGGGTCCTTATATTCGATTATTAAGCCCACATGCAAACATATTGCCCTTTCAGACTCTGCACAAAGGTGCTATAGAGATGCGATTTCGCCGGTCCTCGTTCGATAGGAAACCAGAGTTCGTTTTGTGAGTGCTCGATGACCACGAATTGGCCCGCCTACCTTCGTCTGCGTAATAAGTACATGCAGACACTGAAATACCATGTAAGTGATGCTGCGTTGATGCAGGCCATCAAGAATCAGGATGCTCGTAAATAGGCAATTATCGTCTTACATAATATAAATACCAGAAATATTCTGCGTACGTATTACGTATACCTTTACTCGTAACTTGCTACTCTACTGAGACATGACTCGTTACTACATTCAGATGGGTTCCAACTCCCAACTTTGCAGGCCTGGCTTGCTCATTTCCTGATGTGAACGAAGTACAAGGACAGAGTGAGTGGAGGCATTTCCACCTTGGCAGATTGTACCCGTTTTGCTTGATAACTGACAGAACAAACGGAACTTTTAAGAAATACTACTGAGAACGTATGCCTATAAATCACGTTTCTGGATACCTTATTTACAACCCATCACCGCTATAATACATCACAATCGTATGTAGTTTGTTTCAGTGCCCTTTAATAATATCTTTCTGGGCAAGGCGCTAAAGCGAAGGAATTTTTCCAGGCCAGAACGCATCACCGCCCTTGTTATCGTTATACCACTCAGCGTCGTGCGCCAGAATGACACGTACACGCGGTAGTGTGAGTACGTCGGCAATACGCTGAATAGCAGCCTTTGCATCTTTCTTGTTCACGTGCATACACCCCATCCCTCCTTCTGGAGTGTGATAAGTTGCGATATCTCCTTCGCCTCGTACAAGTCTCCAATCGTGTGCGGTGTCTCCCGCAAGATAGATCCATCCGCCATCCGGAGACGTTCGTGCTAAGAAATTCATGTGGCCAGCAAGGTGTCCAGGCGCATCGATGAAATACACAGAACCATCGCCAAAGTAATCGAATGCACGAGGGAACGGGCCAATAGGCTTCCACGCCTCAGTAGTAGTATCGAAGTACTCCGTTCGTCCCTTGGGAAGTAAGTCAGACGGATACGTGCTCTTTGGGTCCTCCGGATATCCAGGCTGGAAAAGCGATGCCGCATCAGCACCGACAATGAATTGCGCCTTACTAAATAGGCTCGGGTTTCCTGTGTGGTCCCAGTGACAATGCGAAAAGCACACGTGGGTAATATCCGCAGGTTTAAGCCCCCCTTTCGAAAGCGACATAGGCACATCACACGGTACTCTCGCTTCAAATATATCCGATACCATTTTTTTCGCAGTCTCTGGATAATTCTCCAAATCGCTCCGGACACCGAGGTCGAAAAGGATACGTCGTTGTGAGTTACGATGGGTAATGAGGAAAGACAGCGAAGGAACAAGTTTCCTCTCGTCCTCAGGTGCTGTGCTAACGAACATGTGGCATGGTAATGACAAGAAACCACCCTCGAGAGCGGAGATATCACAGTATGCTTGACTATCGCTTGGTGGGGGTAATGGGGGAACAGAAGAAGCCATAGCGCTATGCTGTGGGATCAGGCTTGGGACAAATGCTTATATTGTATTCGTTGGCTACGTGCACGTTATCGTGTCCTACAATGAAGAAGAGAACTTCGATATTCTTTATATATGTGGGAGTAACTTTTCCTTGAGAATTCAAGGTCCTATTGCTGCTGTGTTAACACGTGCCTGGCTCATTGGAGAGTTGATAGGAATAGCACTTGATCGTGCACCAAATAGTAGTGTTCTATGCGGTACACGGAAGCTATCTTAGATGGAGCCTGTTGTTCGCCTAAGCTACACATATAAGAGAAAGATACCAATGATTCGTAGTGGAATAAGCATTCACAGTCACCACCCACACCGCCTTAATTCTTGCTTGGAAAGGACCTGAATTCATAAACTGTTAAGGCAGTGATTTACTCACTTTAATTCACATAATATACATCCTCAGACACGAAAACCGGATTATATGACACTATGCATCCACTTTACAGAGAAGGTATTTTTCCAGGCCAAAAAGCCTTCCCATCCTTATTTTGCTCATACCATTCATTATCATGTGCCAAAAGTACACGTACCCTAGGGAAACGCATCACTTCCCCAATCCTTCGAATCGTATCTTTCGCCGCCTCCACATCCGTATGAGCACATCTAACTCCGTACACAGGGTGGTGACTGACCGCAATCTCAGCTTGACCACGGACGAGTCTCCAATCATGTGCACTATCGGCTGCGAGGTAGATCCAAGCGCCATCTGATGAGGTACGTGCGAGAAGGTTGATATGCCCTGGAAGATGGCCTGGTGCGTCAATGAAGTAGAGGGATCCATCGTTAAAGTAATCGAAAGCACGTTCAAAAGGTCCAATAGGCTTCCAGTCTTCACCATGTGGGTCAAAATAATCCGTCCGGTCTTTCGGAAGTAAACGTGAGTCGAAGAAACTCTTTGGATCCACTGGGTATCCCGATTCGAATAATCCACGCGAATCATTGCCGACCAAGAATCTGGCTTTCTTAAATTTCGCCGGATTACCGACGTGGTCGGCGTGTATGTGAGATAAGACAATGACATTAACGTCGTCCGGTTCGATGCCACCGTCCTGCAAGGATGCAACCACATCTTTGTTGATGTATATACCAGAATCTTTCAACGTTTCCCTCATTGCTGGAGTAACGCCCAGGTTATCTTCATCGAGGTTCATCCCCAAGTCGAAGACGAGTCGCTTTCCGGAGGGGGCATGCGTAATGAGGAAAGCTAGTATTGGAGCGAGGTGCTGATCGTTTTCATGGACACCAGCAACGGCATAATTGCAACGGAACGGGAGGAAGCCAGCTTCAAGAGCAGAGACATCGCAGAACGCTTGATTGGAAGCAGGAATGGGTAGTGAATGAACGCCCGATGTCATAGTCGATAAACTTGTACTGGACGAGCTGGCAAAATAGATCTAGCTTTCAAGAAGGAAGCAAGATAGAGTATGTCATGTGCATCAAAACTCTCGCTTAAATATGGGCTAAATAAGAAACATGCTCGGACCCATTTATGCTCGAGAGCGCCCAGTTTGTCAGCGACATGGAGCCTTCATGATCGAAGCAGTAGTCTCATTAGGTAAGAGATATTATGTATCCCGACGTGCATTAGATATTCACGATCTTAAGAGGCTCGTCGTTTGCTAATATCAGTGAGGAAATGTCATTATGTATCCCTACCCTCATACAATCCGTACCACGTAATTTAGTTAACGCTGCCGAAAATTTGGTACCGCCTGCAGATACTCGGACCGACTTCTTCATATTGTGCTTTCGTGTGACAGTAGGAGTAAAACTCCGGCTGCAGACGTAATCAGACAACAGGTTTGAATCGTGTAAATGTGGAGCTTACCAAGGAGGCCAGAAGTGAGCCACCGAACCATACCGCATACCTGTTTGAGATTAGTATGTGTCTGTGATGAATTGCAGACTGCTGTACAGACCTTTGCCTCTTATGCGAAATTACGTCAACCTCTACACCAGTAGACTACAGACGCATTGTAAGTTCGTACAACAAAATTTTAAAGAAAGGGAACTATTTACCTTCGCCCTTGTTCCACTTGCAAGTTCGCTTGCTTCAATACGGCGATCTACCAGTTGCTTCAGATCGCGCTTCAGCCGTTGGCCGAAATGAGTGAACATTGTCGAACCGCCAGAAAGGACGATATTCTATACTGTGGTTTAGATGATCTGTACCTCGAGAAAGCTAAAAAAAAGGGCCCACCTTGTACAACCCACGTCGAACATCGATTGGTGAAGCTTGGATTGTGGTATCAACGATTTCGGGCAGAGGTGTTAGGAAATCAGACGAGTAGATCTCAGGGTTGAAAAAGATCTCCGGAGCAAGGAACCGTTCATATCCGACATCAACGCCATAAGTCTATACCAGACGACGTTCTGAGTACATGGATGCGGCGATACATTTAGGAGACAACTTACCTTGCCGGTCACGCTGTGCTCGCCTGTGTATCGTTGGAACATATTATACGGATCGGTGTCATATTTTCTGAACTCTTTCACTATATCCTGGCACACGTAGCTATAGTTTTCCTTCACCTTGCTCGCAACACGCAACTGGTCTTCAGGTGGGACCGTAGCCATCTCGCCGCGCTCTCGCATAAGGTTAAGCACGAACTGCGTGATATCACGGCCGGCAATTGGAATGTGTTTGATGGCACTTCCAATGACATAACCTTCCGCGCAGGGTATAACGTGCGTAACACCATCACCAGAATCGATAACAGTTCCGGTCAGGGTGCGGTCAGTGACTTTGTTCGACGACCAAGATGCTGCCAAAGCAAGCACAGCTTGCACAGCGATATACAGGCCCTTGATATTAAATGATTCGAAGAAGATTTCTGCTGTCTGCTCGCGATTTTCGGGTGGATTAAGCGGAGGTTCAGTCTACGTCATTCGTCAATCAATGTAAACTCAGTTGATCCACTTCAGCGAAATCTTACGCACGAGAAGGAAATAATGATCCTCCGGTTCGGCACGTAAGTATTTGAAGATTGTTTGCTCCCAGTAACGTTCCATGTGATCCCAATTGTCTATCATACCGTGTCGGATTGGGTAATGTACGCCATATCCAGGAGTTTTCTGGTTAGCAATCGCCTCGTCGCCTATAAAGAAATCAAGATCTTCCACTCCTCGCTTGGATGCAAGATTGCCAGGTTTTGAAGGAATGGGCGGACCAGCGCGGGTAGACTGTGCCGTAGCGCCTCCACGCGTAGCTATTGCAGTTGGAAACACACTATGTATTTGATGCCTTAATGCTTGTCGACAAGGAACAGAGTGCATTTAACGTACAAGGATGGATCAGAGTTTCCCGCGAAGCTGGATGAAGACGTTAAGAAATGCAGCTTACGAATTTCAAGTTGACATACCCAATTTTTGAAAAACCTGTACCATTGTCGCTGATGATAGGAGCAAGCAGCGACATGGTGGACAATGGAGAGATGCAGTTTGAGCGACTGCGTCGCTGCGAGTAGGCTGCGCGACGATTATCGCGTCACGTGCTTCTATCGGAATGTTCCGAACATAATAAACGTTTTTATTTTCAATAATTAAATATTGGCCTCCTTCATCGACGCCATCATCTTCAGCCTTGCCCGTTACCGGAAGTGTCTTTACAAGAGACATCCACCTCTAATTTACTCCATTTGATTTGCGTCAGCCGCCTGTGGATTCCAAACATGTGCGACCCACTCTCTTGTCACTTCCGGTCCGCACTACTCCCATATCAACTATGAATAGCCGATAACGACATGAAGAAAAAATAATAATGATGCATTCGACAAGCATGCAGCTGGGTACAATATTAACTTTGCGATTATCCTCATCTGCTAACTACCATCCCCTCCTGTCTCTTTTCCCTGTACCTGTCTAGGACTACTCCATATGCAATCAGCTCAATAGATACACAATTCGATCGCAGAGCAGGCAACTCACCTTCGTTCGGTATAAGAGATCGCATCATGTTGGGCAAGGGCAAACCGCTGTTACAGTTGCTGTTCCCGAGATTGTGGTGGTCTCCAAAATGCAGAAATCCGGGCAAATCCGGGCAACCGGTTCTGGAGCTGCACTGACGGCCGCGACGACGGCGAAGAGTACGATTGTTAGGAAAGAGCGCATAACTGCCTTGTCGAGCTACTGAGCGCGAAGGTTACCGAGACCTGGCTCCCATGCGGAGGACTTTATATCCATCTCGGCGCTACATAAATACCTAACTCAGGCATCTCCGACAATCACTGCGTTCCATCACTGACTTGTCTGCGTCCTGATCCAACATCGCTATCTAGATTGAGGTAAACACTGCAACTGGGGCTAAATCTCAGTGCCTGTTTTCTTTGACTTTTTCATCTCAACTTCTGGTCTCACGGATCAAGGAGCGATAGTTCTCTGCGAAATCCACGACAAGCGATGGTAGCCTCGTACCGGCGAATGGGGATCTTACAAAATTGTAAACATTTGCGATTTGATCAGTAGTCAGTCTGATTTCCTGCTTAGACTTGCTGTCTGGTATCTCTTTTGCAACAATGGACGGCTGTTTGAAAGCGCCGCTGTTTCATCTAGCGACAATGCGCGGACCTCCTGACATCCACGGTCAGAGTACCACGGTCAATTGGCCCTGCTTTTGCATTCCCAATTGCTGCGCACGTTCTCTGAGTCGCCGTCGTGAGTTGTTCGCAATTGTGCCTGGATCGAGCGCGACTCGTAATCTATTTGAAGAGCTCCCATTTCGTCTGTCTGTTGTGCTGCAGTTCTCACGATATCAGGCACGATACAACGCAATCACTTCCATTTATTTTTGCTTGCCACAAAGGGTCCTCCTGGACTCTGCCTATTAAACTAATCCCACAGTCCACCCTGACCAGCATATGAGATTGCATGCAAATTTAGGCTGGTAAAGGGCGCACGGTTTGTGATCAGTGACAAGATAAATCGGTACGATGCAATATGACTCACACGATTCGGCTTAGTCGCATGCACATTGTGACAGACGGGGGTCGGCATCGCGCTTGAAAATTCCGCCTATCTCGGTGCAAGGAGGACACTCTATTGCCTTTACGGGTGCCGCAGTTGCTGCAATGGCTGCCGCGAATGCGAAGAGCGTGACGATGGATCGCAGGAGTGTTGACTGCATGTTTGCTTGTTCAAGAGTTTTGCCTGAAATCCACTGCAACCTGAACTCTTTATATACTCAACTGCTGATTTCTTGGCAGCAGCTGCAGGATAGAAACTCTTCATCTTCATGTTTGGTATTCAAAGTCGCGGCTGAGCACTCTGAAACTTCTGGAGGATTCAAGGAACGCAATACGTATTGCATTCTAGAAGGTCGCCGCCCTCGTCGCAACTGCTTTCTCATGACTATTTGGCATACATATCTGGTTGCTCATCACTACAGATCATAGGCCACAACATTTGATCCAAACAAATACCGGCGATGCTGTAGAAGAACGTGTCAGCTTTTCGAATGACAATGTGTTACACTTCGTTGACCCACATACGTACTGGACGACCTCAAGCGAGAGAATTCCGCTATAGAGGGCAAATGCACCCAGGGTTACGCTTCATGTACTCAACTGCCTCGGCATCTCGTTTAGCAGTTTGGATCGGAGTAAGCGTCAGCGTCGGACATGTGCACTCGGTTATCGTGTGTACAGGAGGAAGTGGAGCGATCGCGGCGTTTGCGAAAGCGACGACGGCAAGAATGGAGAGAACGGAGGACAGCGCGAAACGCATTTCGAACAGGCTCAAGGAAAAGTTTGCTGATACTAGTGGATTGCCCAATTATAATGTTGGTTTTATATTACCGCCGCTGTTTAGCAGTCTTCAATGGCGCTCAAACTTCGGTGGATTCACACTCCGGACCATCCATTACTAGTGAAACGGGACTTTCGACGGACAACAGTTCTCTTATTTCGTATCCAAATTATGCTCAGGTACAGAACTACAGGAGTTCAGCTGTGTTGCTTATTTATTTCGCGGGAACGTCGTGGATACAAATACGGGACCAAATTATCAATCCAATTTCAAATTATCGTAGATTCCGTCGGGGATTGAAGCCTACGTGAGGAGGACGATCCGAGCGATAATGATGGGGTACCTGGCTTCAATTTAATTGTTCTCGTTTACCTTGTTGGGACCGCGTCAAGTTAAAGAATGATATGGAACTTACCCAGAGGTAATATTATGGACATCCGCAACCACATCCCGGAGGGAAACCGCTAGGCACAGTAGTCGTGGTAGACGAGCACGCATCTGGCGGCAATGGAATGCAAGGAGGGCAGTTGATTGGGCTCGGAGTGCTAGCCACAAGGCTGGCAAGGGCGACAAGTACGGTAGAAACGATTACGACTTTCATAGTGCGACGTCTTTCCTAACAAGTATGTTGCTTTCTCTAGCTTTTATAACTGTTGTGCAGACGGGGTTCGGCGGACCAATTCGAGGACCTTGAACACTCACAGAACAATCTCTAGATCCCTGATCCGATGGTACCGCATCTGTTTAGCGGCCCACCATGGTTTACCCAGAACACAGCTCCACTGAAACGTACACATGTTGGGGAAATAAGTATGTTCTAGCCCTGCAATTGAAAGTTCCGAGAGGAATATTCTCAAACAACTTCTGAATCCGATAACAGTCCATTTGACATGCTTTCGAACTGCTACACAGAGTTGACGATCGAGGATCTTATAGTTATTACTCTTGATGATCTCTCACTTCGGCATGCATCCACACATATACGCTTCGACACAGGACAGATAACCAGTTTTTGACGCCCCCGCTCAGAAGTTACTTTTATAAAAGGTCAATAAACTATCCTCGTTCAATGAATAACCTGGTGCTCACAAACAACAGTGTCATATAGTGCTAGCTATCATTACCTCAGGTATGATGGACTTGTAGGCTTATATCTCTGGTGCTCAAGAGATGAAATTATCACTGTAGTGGGCATCGACCAGGTATTTGTGGCGGCTGGAGAAGCGGGGCCGGTAAAAGCGAAGAACAAAGCCAATAGTCACAAGTTTAAAAAAAGTAGTGATTAGCCCCAGTTAACTCTTATGCAAGGTTTCAGACGTCTATGCAAAAGAGATGGAGGCATCGGCAATCCTCAGTACAGTGGGTGCAGCAAACAGTATCAAAGTGACTTTTGGAGGGACTCTCGGGTGCCTTTTATACAGAGGATCCTTTCTGCACAGCTATCACACTGGAGAAATATAACGTATGGAATACTATGTACGCAATCTCCATTAATGTGAGCGAATTATTGCCTCAAGATAAGCTACAGCTATAATGCACAGATTCGCTACATGTGCTACACTGCACTAAGCCGTGTTCCCATAATTATCCAGCCATATCTCAGTACATCAGCCTTTGTGAGCTCATGGTCATCAGGGATATAAGTCTTATAATCATCTCTCAATCTTCTCTTGATGTCGGTGGTTTGAAGTGCATATTGCAGCATTCTTTGCTCGTACCTGTCCCAATGTTCTGTATACGCAGTGTAGTGGGTATGATATTGCATTACAGATGCCTTGTCTTCTCTAAGCTTGTCAATTTTGTTCTGGTCTTTTCTGTGACCCATAGCATTTCTTGCCTTATCTAAATTGCGGTTAATTACGCTAATTTGGCTCTCGCACTCTGCACATTTGTCTGACAACTTCTTCCTTGTTTCACTTGGTTCTTCGCGAATATTAAATCTACAGAGGAAGGAGTTGATCCTTTCTTTCATTTCTTTAAGGTTAGAAGTATCCCTTATTTCTGAGTCTTCGACAAACTTGGTGAAGCACTGCATGAGTGTTAAAATGTTTCTGTCTGCTATCAGACTTGGTGGGGGCGGGTACGTCCGTTGTGGGAGTCCGTCTGCTGCTAAAACGCTAGAAGACTTGCTAACACTTCTGTGGTTGTCCTGTGACATTCTGATGGTTGTGATATGAGGCGTGAACGGACTGATCTGCTTAAGCAGTGGACAGTGATGATCTAGTGGACCATGGCGCTTTTATTGCTCAGTGTTGGTTTATTATTGCAGAGATCGCCACTCAATACGCCACGTTTGCATTTCATTCATGCCAAAGTAGTAAGGGCGACTAGTCTATTACAAAAGGACATGAACCGTACTTTGCAATATTCCGGCGAGATGCACTACTTCTTAGTTTGTAGAAAGGCGAAGCACAAATTACATAAGGAGTTTGCCCGAAATCTACATTAGATCTGGCATTTTGCTTGAGCCTGAGTGATCATGATCGGTTCTTCTAAACTCAGTGGACTGGTAATCTGTACATGCTACGAATAAAATGCCTAAAACAATTCACTATCAAGGCAATGACTATATTTACCCTACTATTTATAATCACTTGCCTGGTTTTCGGTCCAGAAGACCAGAATTTCGAATAGTTTCTTCGGAGATACGTGACAAGGGACATTGTGCACAGTACATTTCCATCGTACAGAACACGGTAGACGACAACAGCGACTGTTTACAAATAAACGAAAAAATTACATGCACACTTTCGCACAAAAACAATAGCATCACAGCAACCCAAAATATGTTAGTACTCCTCTCCCAACAATGTAGCTAAATTCTACCGTCCTGTCGCAAAGTCATTCTACTGTCGGTTCAGTACAAATATCGCTAGTCTGCATGAATGCATAGGGTACTCACAGACATTGTTAGCGTCTACTGCAGCTGGGTTTCAGACAGAACTGTCGGCAACTGGGGAGGGTTCAGACCTGCCTACGCCGGGTCCACACTTTCCACCCGAGCAAGGGAGCGGCACTTGAGCCGTGACGACCGTAATAAAAGCAAATAGAAGAGCGGATGCAAAGGTCAGCTTCATAGTGAACGATGTTGTTAATGGCAAGCTCAGTCCGGCTTGGTTTTTATACGTCCCGTGAAGTAAATGGGAGCTATTCTCTACGTTGGCACGTTTGAAAATCAAAGAGCTGACTTCCCAATGGTGTCTGCATACAGTAGGCAGTGTTCTCGGAGAGGTGCCAAATATTAACGCCGGTAGATGATGCATAATATGCATGATCCCGGATGTCCTTGGCAGGCACAATATTATCTGTCCGCGAAACACACGTTTTGCGTCCTGTAGAAGTGAGCGTGAGCTCTTCAGATTTTCGCTGCGCTGCAGTTAACCACCTCTACAAAGGCATAAAGCAGAGTTATATTCGAATCAGAAGCCAGAAACGACAAGTTGAGGCCGGTTCGTATGAAATACGGCCTGTTCAAGAATGGAGCTTCGCAACGGCGATATGATGCCGTTGTTCTCTCTTTTGCTGCATATTAGAATATGGCAGCCAAAGCGCCCATATGGCCACAAGGAAAGAAAGTGAAATGGTTTATCCCATGGAAGCAAGACGGAAAATGCGGACTGTTCAGATGTCGGGGTATACACACACGCTCAGAAGAGAAGATGTGTTCATCTACGTATTGATGACCGACAGACAAGAAGTCCTTTACCGACAGACGTCCGCATAAACAGAGGTACGACAGTATGCAATAGTCCACTTGAAAGTCGTTCGTCGGAATTTGTTTTTACACCCGCTCAGTAAAGTATTCGACGCCGATCCTTCGATGACGTCAAATGAGGTCCATCGAAGCGTCAAGGGTGTTATTATGTAAGCCGGTCAATCACACTCCGTGTTCCTGAAAACATGTTGACAGTCACTTGAAAATCAAAACTCTAGCCTTCATTCGTTTACAATTATGCGCGCTAGGCACGTACATACATTATCAACAGCATGAAAATTAATCCGCTCTACTTTCCCAGGAAGTTTGACTCGGACTGTATGTATTTGAGATTGACGGTGATTCAAACTATAGCGCAGAAGCAAGTTCCCAATACACGCTGGTCTGGAAACAATGGCTGCCAATAAGGAGACGTCCCTGACCACAGTTTGGTCCGACTACGCTGAAAATGCAGTACTGAAATATGATATCGCCGTGTTTCGGCGAGCGGCGACGAGTGCGGCGGATTACGATCAACAGGACAGAGCTGCCGTCTGAGAACCCGCCCAACGTCGTGTTTGATGGCAGACGACCAGATGCCTCTTTCGTGTATAGTAGTAGAACAAAACGCATCAAGTAACGACTTCTTCGGAGACGCCGGTAATAGACGAGGAGACCTCAGTTGCTGTGGTCAGGTCGGTCAGCAATCCTTGGGTATATAAAGCAGTATGTATAGCTAGTCCAAATACATCGACTACTCTCCGGCTCTACACAACGCACTCTTTTCTGCATAAACTCACGTCCTTCACGTAAACATGCGTGCTTCTTCAATTGCCGTCGCCGTCGTTGCCTTTGCCGCGAGTCTTGTGGGCGCTGCACCAGCCGAGACCACTACGACTTCGGCACCTCCGGCCCAGTCATCCTTAATCTTTAAGTGCGACTTCGTCTGCCCACCGGGAGTACACATCGGTAACGACGGAGGCATCTGCCACTGCCCTTGAGGTGAGTTAATGAATAATCTTTTAGTAGCCTCGTCTTGACAGTCTCCTGAAGGACTTTATGCTGTCGTGATTTACACTAGCACTTGTGATGGCCTCAATCATTGACTGTGGCGTTCCAAAATGTCGGTAATCTTCCTTCCGAGGGCTCAATTGACTCACCTGACTATCATACTTGCAGCTATTTTTATCCTCCTACATAACATGTTTCATGTCGTGCATGCGTCTGATATTAATAGCATTATGTTCTGATACTGTCCGAAATGAAGCGGACATCAAAAATTGGAAAATGGAGAGATCGAAATTCCCATACACATACTGATGGCCGTCGGATCTTGAGAGCTTGCGCCAACGTAAATGTCTAGACTGTGCGCTAAAGAAACCAATGATATACAGAATATATTCCATTGTTTAGCCTATTGAGACGACCCTTATGTGCACGAACACACCGCAAGCATCAGTGGCGTTAACATTGCAAATAAGGTAAAGACGTACATTGTATTGCTCCATTAGGCGCGCTTTAATAACCAGCAGGCTCTTCAGAAGCACTATATAAAACTCCTGTTCTTTGCCAGAAATTTATTCTATCATCTGCAAGGTCAATCGCATCTCTCTCCCAACTATTCGAACCCGTAATAGCTATGAAGTTCACCTCTATCGCTCTGGCCCTCGCCACATTCTTCGTTGGCAGCGCGCTCGCAAGCCCCACTACTACCACTATCGACTGTGCATGCATTTGCGCGCATACTTGCGTCACCAGTGAACCAATAATATGCAACTGCCCTATACAGACGCAAGTGGAATAATTAAGCCTAGTTCGTGTGTCTGATATTGACCTCTAGTTGCTCTCAATAGGCGCGTTTGAATTTCGGGTGGCGGGACAGATGAGTTCGTGCACTAACAAGGTCCTCGACGGGAACAGCAGTCGAAAGGTTATCAGGAAGTGATGGATGGAAGAGCTGTACTTGTCCTGCGATGTACGCAATGACTATAAATGTGAATATATCTCGAATCCAGTTGTCAGTAAAAAGATCGTAGAGGAGCATGACCGATGCACGAGCCGAGGAAGTCATGTACTATATGCACGTCAGAGGCACCGTATGGCGTTCAATCCTCAGCACGTAGATGCTCAACTGGTGGAAATGTGCTGCCGGCAAGTTTACTGCAAATTTAGCGTGCAGGAATAGAACGTAGTATTCGTTGAGATGATAAGTACCAGAAAAGAACAATACGAACTTTCCTTGCGTCGTTGTTTTGGAGTGCTATGTACGATTAATATGGTTTATCCATACAAGCATCGTTCTTCTTTCACAGCTTAGCACTAAGGTTAGCCATAAGTCTGACTTCAAGTACTTGCTATCATTTAGACCGGCGGCGGACGTCCCCGAGAAATATGGCAAGGAATAAAAATAGCTGTGGACGCGGAAAGTAGGCGGACTGAAGAGTACTGCAAAGGTCACGTTGCTAAGTTGGCTCCCCGGCTCGAGAGGATTCTCATACTAAGCATTTGAGTGTGAGTAATTTTCTCGGAGGGCCTATACTGCAGATGCAAACAATGCATACAAGCACAAAGTAACGAGATACAAATAGGGGTCTGCGCGTAATTTACGTGACCATTACGGTTGCGGGTCGTAAACTTACGACCCGTAATTTTTGTTCTGAAGCCTATTACGGTTACGGTACCGGTGTATACGCTGTATATGGTGTTACGCCCGTAATAAAACAATTTATTATTTTGAACCAATAACTATAGCATATTAGCTCTCTTTCTTTTTACAAAATCCTCCAAGTACTGTATAAAAACTAATAGGATGAAAAGACAGTCTAAAACTTGCTGAAATACCTCAGAAAAGTATTGTTATCAGAATAAATTATTATGTAATAAAAATGAATATATTCTATATAATAAAAACAATAAATAAGATATGATTTAGTGTGAATGTTTTGTATTTATTGGCTTATAGATATGTTATGGCTTATCATAGTAAGAAGAGCAGAGTATATAGTAAGTTACATGTACATATCTTTATTACTATTTATATAAATTTACTAGACTGTAACTGTATACACACGTATACAGTTGTAACTGGCAGTCCAATTACAATTACAACCTGTAAAATACAGGCTGTAATTTTTCAAGTCTGTACTGTTTATGCTTACAGATTGTAACATATACAGTACAGTCTGTAAGCATAATTACAGTATGCTGCAGAACCCTAGATACAAAACAGGTAAGGGCCTACTCGCTGACAGTTGCACTGGCTGCACGACCAATACCCGCTAAATTTCAATCGCCGGTTATAGCACTGGTGGTTGCAAATCATCATCCGTCGGAAGCAGCCAGCTGCACGTCTGCCAGTGGTTAGTACTAATAAGTCGCATTTTCACTAGTATCCTTATTATGCCATGTGTGACAGTGATTGAATCTGCTGGTTGATGGTTGCGCTGGAAATTGCCAAGCGTCACTGGTAACCACCAGCCCAACCAGTGTAACCAAGCTGGGCCTGAGAGTGCAATCTGCAACGCAAACAAGGCAAAACACAGAACGTCACTTTGCACTTTGTATAGCTGGTTGATCCTGAGAGCAGAATCCCAAATATTGAACATTTGCTCAAGGGAGCGAAAGTAATATAAGGCCTCAACTCGAGAGCGTCTTGTCCCATTATCCCTTTACCTGCAAGACAAACATCCACTGCACTACACAGATCATCACTTATAGTAATCATGAGGCTCACCTTCCTTACTGCTACTATTGCAACATTGATTGTTAGCACAGCCCTTGCAGGCCCTGCAACCATTACTGCCACCGATGGCGCCATTACACCCATTACTGCCCGTTCTACCACTGATAATTCGACTGTAGTTACTTCCACTGGTACAGGCAATTCTACAAATGGAACTTCTTCTACAAGTACCTCCACTAATAGCACTTCTACCACCACTTCTTCAATAGGCGGTTCCAGCACGGGCAATTCTACTGCAACTTGAGATCCTTCTCTCAGACTATCATTACTGCCAGTATTACCTCTACCTCTCCTTGAACATACTATGTAGTACTACTGTCACTACACATGATACTATCACTGGTCATACCCTTCCTTGTTTTACTACAACCATCCTTGACACAATCCAATGCATATTGACAGTAAAATTGTGTAACGAGAAAGCTTGTACAATTCCTGTGTTCACAATACACCGGGTTGCTCACCTTTATTGTAGTTGGATGTTAGCTCGTAGACTTTGCAACGATTAGATGCCCAAGACTGAGCTCCTCTGCGATTTGTACAATACTATGCCGGTCGATTTGTACAACTCACGGATACAGTGGCTCTCAGAGAATCTGGAGCCAGGGAGTCGACATATTGTTAAGGTCGTTCATACAAATGAGCCGATTTGCTGAGATATATTGGGAATGCTTTTAACTTACCTATAAAATTTCTCTTGAATGCAAGTCCATTGATGGGCTATTGAGAAGTCGGGTGCACGTCAGGGTCGAAGAGCGTATAACATTTGTGCGCCAAAGTATTCCGGTGTCGAACTTCCCAGTATAAGTTTGCATATTGGTGAATGTTAGGAACACTTTCCCAACAAGGATGACATCGGTTTTGTAGGCACAATCTGACAAAGTAAAAAGCAAAGTCGGTGAGCGAAGCAAATGGCCGAAACAAGAGGTTTGACTGCAAAGCGAGTTATTTTCTTTATCGCCGAGAGATTGCTTGTGAAGAAAGAAGAGTAGCGAAGACCGGCACTACAGAGATCCAAGGAGTACTGTGCTGGACAGAATATCCCGGAAACTTGAGAGGCTTGTATCGCTTGCGAGTGCGACGCTTTATTCTTAGAGATCTACACAGGAGTCATAATTGATGCAAAGTCCGAGGTTGTGCGAGGGACAAGCAAAACAAGTGATTAATTTAGAAGCATTGGAGCAACAGGATGAGTGATGCCTCCGCACATTTTCGTCACATACATACGCTGGACTGTCTTGATTATCCTCGGGAATATGCTCTCCTCAAAACACTTCCTCACCAGTCAACAGTGGCACCTAGCTGTGATCCAGTTTTGGCAGGGAAGCAGCTAGGACTTTTCAGCATTCCGACGTCCTTCGGTCGGTCGTGTCGTACCTTATCAACTGACCAGCCATAATCAGTTACACAGAAAAAGTAACTTGGAAAGTAGGTCCATCTGAGCTAATCTGCTTTTCCCTGTATTTGGATACAATTACTAGCGTGCCAATGAAAACGATGTTATGGTATATGACATAAAGATTGTCGTCATATTCGGCCTGGGATTATCGTGAGGGCTTTGTATTGCATTGCTTTCTTTGGAGCATCCAAACATATCGCGAGCCAGGTGACGACACCATAGCCGAAGTAGTGTATATCGTGTGCGTAATGGTGGTGAAGTCGTGGAGCGCCTGACAGAGATCAGGTTGGAGGTGGTCTGTCTGGTGGCGGCTCCGCAAGGGGCGGATATGCTCTTTTTAGATGTCGGTACTTGCTGAGCCGTATTAAAGCGAGGGTTTCTAAGTAATTTCAACTAGGCATCAGGGAAGAATACTGACAGCTGGGCATAGATGCATACCGTTACGAATAAATTCTCCAAACTGTAACGCCTTTTCGATATCTTCGGGATTACTCAATTCCTTATTCTCTTCATAATAGAGGCGTCAAATATAAGCCTTATTTCCACGTCTCTGAGAAGTATCCCTAGTAAATACTGACTTTCAAACATCTTTCGTAGCTTTCCATGAAAGTCGTATCTGTTCAGTGAACAACTGATGAATGTCTGCGAGAAGAACATCGTCCATACGAGCACTCACGATGGGTCGGGATAGTCCCGTCCAAGTCTATGCAATTCCTTGTAGAGTGCCATAACTCGATGTCGAGCGTGATTTACCGGCATAGCACTGGTAGTTAATGTGGCAGGGACGAGAGTGGACAACGCGTTCGGCGACTCGGCAGCGTTACTCGCTATGGTGCATGGTGACGTAACGCGACGCTGATCGCAAGTGATCATCGAGTCGGGTTCCGACGTTTACCGTCCGTCATAGGTTGTCTCTCAGTGGCATTTACACATGTTCTCAGAACCTCCTTAACCTCCTACCACTACCATCCTTTACAAATCGTCTCCAAAAGTGACCTGTTTAAATTATCTCGAACTTTCATAAATGGGCATATTCTCTCGACTCCTGCCACCTCTTGCTAGTGCTTACGGACTTCAAGCGAGTTCGTAAAGTCTTGTGTCTCATCTTTGTTAACACCGACCTAATATAATTTAGTCTTCGCTCTGATATTCGTGCCTCAGAAGAATGAAAGGTTCTATGACCTCGGTGGTGCACTGGGGTTTCTTTCTACGACGTTCGTTTCTATGTATTACCCTGCACTGAGGGACAAATACGTCCTTGGAAAGAACATCCCTCTACCCAGACTTTCATCTTTTGCTCCGAGACAGCTGCTCCTGACCGGATGCCTGGTACTCTGGAGCACCCGGCTTGGATCATTTCTCGTAACTGTATGCTAATATTTTTGTCGTCGACATATTCGCGACTAATGCCACCGATCATAGCGAGCAATGAAAACTGGAGGAGATTCGCGTTTTGACAAGGTCAAGCATCAACCGGGAAAGTTCACGTTTTACTGGATGGCACAAGGTAGGCTGCAGAATCACATGTGATTTAAATAGGTGTCTTAATATTTACGACCCAACATAGCCGCATGGGTATTCCTTGTCGGACTTCCAGTTTACTTGGTAAGTTCCTCGCCCAATACACCCTTCCAGCTAATATTCATCGTCCCAATAGGTAAACACATTGCCTCCTAATCTGCATCCAGCGCTTGGTCCAAGGGATTATGTCGCCTTGAGCCTCTTTGCTTCCTCCTTCCTTTTCGAAATAGTCGCTGATAATCAAAAAAGCGTCTGGAGGAGGGAGAAAAACGAAAAGAAGCACGATGAGTCTTTTATTACTCGTGGTCTATGGAGTATCAGCAGGCACCCTAAGTTGGTTCATCATACCATTATTTTAATTGTGTCGCCTGATCCAAATATCCAGCTACGTGGGCGAAGTCGGAATCTGGACGGGAATATGGGCCTTATCGGCCTCGTCTATGCAGACTCCATATTTTCCAAAAGTAGCACCACTTATCGCGGCGGCAAGCCCGATAATCACATATTTACTCCTAAGAAACGTATGTAGTTTCTCCTGTGTCCGAAGACTTCATGTGCTAACGCATAATTGCAGGTGTCCGGTGTGCCTCTTCTAGAAGTAAGTGTGGTCCTTCTTCAAACTTCCGTTAAGTACCCGTTTTGATCCCGAACACCTTCGCAGAAAGCCGGCGACAAGAAGTTCGGTGATAATCCCAAGTGGCAGGAGTACAAGAGGTACCGTTCGAGTTAATTTTTTCGGCAATATTCTAATACGGCCCCTGTAGGAATGTGCCTGTCTTCTGGCCATGGGGACCTGTGGACTAGACACATAATGTTGTAGGCAAGGTGGTGGCGTTTGCCTTTGAAGCGTTAGGTTAGGCATTCGGAGTTAGTTAGAACTGTCCGTAAATGATACTGTATTGTTATTGTAGCATTTCCACTGAATGATTATCAGATCGATTGTGTGCGTCTACTTTTTGCTTGGCTATTTCATTCGACTAAGCATCGGATTGAACCGCTTGAGTTTCCGGATTTTGTGCGGGGTATATGTGCGTAGTGAATTGTCAGTGTGGAAGGGAAAGTGAGGTGACTTTATAAGTTTATTGCGCTTCGCTGCCGAGAAGGTGTGTTTCCATGTGACCGAGATCGATAAGTCCGAGCTTCATCGCTAAGAAAGAGGATAGCGTCGGAACCGGGAGCAAAAATAAATGATGACGATAACGAGCTTATCTTATCTGATGACATAATCCATTTTTCACAATGAGCTGACTTTTTTGCGCATGAATTTAAATAGACCACCTGGTCATCACTTTGAACAAGTTGGCCCCGCCACCACCACCGTCTTCCCACTGCATACAGATCCTCTCTTTCGTTACTGTATCCGCGCCCCCCTCATTTGTTGTCTCTACTGCGCGCACACACGCTCACCTTGACCATGGATCTCGTGCTAGAGGTCTGCGACGATCTCTTCCTCGACCGTGTCTGGTCAACCCTAGTCCCTTTGTCCGCATTTTCCGGCATTGCAGCATCCGAACCGCTGTACTCGCTCAATAGCTCGATACCACTCAAATTTACGATGGGGAAATCGCTTGGCTCGTCGTGGTCACAATTCATTGGTCTCGCGCATCTACCCCATCCCCAACTTCCTGCCGTAAACCTTTCGCAACCACTCGCCGATGTCGCACAAGTTTCTGCTTGGCCACGCGACTACTTCTTACGACAAATATTATCGCTCACAGTGCTGACCATGGTTGGCATCCATGTTCTTTATTTCCTCTTCGCGGGCTTGTCGTACTATTTCGTATTCAACCATGACATGATGCGTCACCCTCGGTTCCTAAAGAATCAAGTTCGCCAAGAAATTCACAGTAGCCTGCGAGCCTTTCCCGGAATGATGGCTCTCATGCTCCCGTTGTTTCAAGTGGAAGTCATGGGCTACTCGAAACTCTATAACGACCCGAACAAGTACGGTTGGTGGTACATCCCCTTCTCTGCAATATGGTGCGTCACGCTTTCGGACATTCATCGGGCGAGCGTGATGATTAATTTGATGAATAGGTTCCTCGTGTTTACCGACTTCTGCATCTATTGGATACACCGCTGGCTACACATTCCTTGGATCTACAAGCGCTTGCATAAGCCGCATCATAAGTGGATAGGTCCGTCTTCTATGCACTTTATTTGACTCTTAGGCTCACACGACCCATCAGTACCGACTCCATTTGCCTCCCACGCGTTTCACCCCGTTGATGGGTTTGCCCAAGCGATACCGTACCATCTATTCATCTTCATCTTCCCGCTGCAACGGCACGTGTACCTTGGACTCTTCCTCGCAGTTAACTGCTGGAGCATCTTCATTCATGACTCGGATATGATTACCGGACATCCGCTGGAGAACATCATCAACGGCCCGGCGCATCACACGCTTCACCATCTCTATTTCACGGTGAACTATGGACAGTACTTCACATGGGCGGACCGAGCTGGCGGCTCATATCGTCATCCTGCGAAGGAATTGGACCCGTTACTAGAGGTGAAGATGACTGAGCAAAATGAGGCGGAGAAAAAGGACCTCTGACCGTATTGGTTCCGAACCTTAGACATCTCACTTATATGATCATCACTTATTTGTTCTTGACATGATTAATTACCTATTATTTCGGCATGATTTTACATAGGGGCAGGAATAATTTTTTATTATTTTCTGCGAAGCTGTATTGTATATCTTCCTAACATTGCGTGTCTGTAGTAGCATCCAGTACTAAATACATCCGGCTCTTCTCACTTTTTTTCTTCGTCTGCTCATTTCTGTGGCGGTTTAACGGCACACACATCACGTGATATTAGTATTTCCACGCAAGAGTCATCGTTTTGTTCAACTCCTGTGCCTCTAATCCTCGCCGCCGATATTGGCGCGTCCCAACTGACTTGTGTTTGAACCACCATGTCCTTCTTTCCCACTACATCGGGTGCGACATCCGCTACGCTCGGTGGAACGGCCGCAAACGAACCGAAAGATGTGGAAGTCTCCGACCCGCCTAGCGATTCAATCAGTTCGCTGGCGTTTTCGACTGCTGGAGAATACCTTGCTGTCGGAAGCTGGAATAATGAAGTATGTCTACAGTCTCCTGCTGTCTCTCGGCGATTTTGTTGGACTGGGTGTACGAAAGGGGTGAATTGACGCTTGTGTTCATCATAACAGGTTCGAATTTACGAGGTGAACCCACAAGGAGGGCAAACTCAAGGAAAAGCTATGTATACGCACCAGGGACCTGTTCTTGGAGTATGCTGGAACAAAGTATGCCCATCTCAGAAGTCTTCAGTTTCTGAACCGTGTCTAACTGATAACTTCCAATCCGCTCTTGTCATACAGGAAGGCAATAAAGTAATTTCGTGCGGTGCCGACAACGCTGCGCGCATGTATGACTTGGCTACGGGCCAAAGCTCTCAGGTTGCGCAGCACGATGCGCCTATAAAGTGTGTGAGGTGGATTGAGTCACCCCAGGGCGGGTTTCTTGCTACGGGTAGCTGGGACAAGACTCTGAAGGTTCGTTACTCGGCTTTATTTTTATTTTTTCATGATCACTGACAATAAGACGCTCACTAGTATTGGGATACTCGTTCATCGACACCTGTTTCAACTGTTCAACTACCCGAGCGATGTTACTCTATGGACGTCATGTACCCGTTGATGGTCGTTGGTACTGCCGAGAGACACATTCAGATATTCAATCTTACGAACCCGACTACACCTTACCGAGTAGGTCGCTGTATATCTTTTCTTCTTCAGTTCGACCCTTTACTCAATCACATTTGTAATAGACACAAACATCACCACTTAAATGGCAAACACGTGTGGTTAGCTGCTTCCCTTCCGCAGATGGATATGCCGTCGGGAGTATTGAAGGACGCGTGGCCATCCAGTACGTGATTTTTCCGACTTCAGGATTAATAAAGTAGCTGAGCACGTATTATTGGTCAGATACGTCGAAGAAGCCAAGTCTAGGTGAGTCGTAATAATTTTGTGAAGTATTTCTGTCTATTGATATATTAATCACAATTGCAGTCAAAATTTCTCGTTTAAATGCCACCGTAAAGATCAGTCTCCTACCGCGAAGGATCAAACTCTTGTCTTCTCAGTAAACGATATCGTATTCCACCCCGTGCATGGAACCTTTTCCACGGCAGGGTCGGACGGCACGGTCAACTTCTGGGACAAGGACGCGCGAACGCGGCTTAAGAGTACGTTTCTTCCGTCTATTTAACACTCATTTGCATCGCCATACTGACTTAAGTCTGCGCGTCCAATTTTCAGCTTTCGAACCGGTCCCCGGACCGATCTCCTCAACGGCCTTTAACCGCACGGGAAACATCTTCGCCTACGCGGTTTCTTACGACTGGTCGAAGGGATATACTGGGATGACACCCGGTCACCCGAATAAAATCATGTTGCATGCATGCAAGGAAGACGAGGTGAAGAAGCGTGCGGCTAGGAAGTGATGAGATTTTGCGAGTGTCACTTTCACTTCATGCCTGCGATGATTTGATGTTTATGTCTTCTTCATCGATCGATTGTTTCCTTTCTTCCCTTGATTTTCATTTTTGTTGCATCGTTTTCTTTTGTGTTGCTGTACAATGACAATGTTAGTTGCATTTATTTCATCACTCTGCGGGAGAGAACTCAAAGCTAAGTAGCCGTGTGCTCTTTGTTCGTTTCTATCCATTGGGAAGAATGCTAATATACAATACGGGAGGCACGGCAGAATCCTATCCCCCTTACAATGTGAGTTCATTACAAAATTTGAAAGCTGCTGTCTGATTTACCGGAAATACATTCTGGAACAAATTTTTTCAGGCATCAGAAAAGGCTTCAGCCTCTGCTGAAATATACTTAGTCTCTGAAGTTTGTTCGTAATGACAATGCCACTTCCCACGGTGTATCGACGCGTCAACAAGCGTCAACAAGCGTCAACAACGCGTCTTCACATCTGTGAGAGTCTATGACTCGACGCCATCATTTTGAATCTTGATCGTGTATCTACCACAAAGCACCATGACCTTTCGACGTCCAATCACCAATGCTGCCCCTTGCAGGTACATGCGGCGACGTTGCGATTTTCTGAGCAATCGAAACAATTAGTATTATTCTATTTATTATATAAGGCATACGCGGAACCGCCCTTTGTCTCTCTGACTCGAACGTCACACCAGCTCAAGCCACAGATCGCCGACATTAAATAAGCCACCCGGCTGAGTTGTGAGCCTTTCCATCATTCTTATACTCTTTCACAATCCATGCAGCTTGGGACCTCGACTTTTGACACTGAACTACGATGTCTTTCTACAGTGGCTATGGTAGCAAGCCATCTCAGTCCTCATTTGCAAGCTTGTTAGGTGGAGCGTCAGCGGCGACAACAGCGTGGACAAAAGACGCAGAGGTATCAGAACCGCCTGGTGATTCGATTAGTTCGCTTTCGTTTTCGCCCATTGCGGACTTCCTCGCTGTTGGAAGTTGGAATAATGAGGTGCGTCGAGCTCGTTTCTTCATGTTTTCAGAAGTTTACGAAGATATCTTATGAATTTGTATGATGTTTCTTTGGTATAGGTTCGGATATACGAAGTGAACTCAGAAGGAGGGCAAACGAGGGGGAAGGCGATGTATCGGCATCAAGGGTCTGTCCTAGGAGTTTGCTGGAACAAAGTATGTAGCAGCATTATGTAGCCGTAAAAGCCCAGCTGCTCAAAGGGTTTGTACTGACTGGACTTTCGTTACCTTCGGTAAATCCTTTATCAAACCGCCTTTCAGGAAGGAAACAAAGTGATTTCGTGCGGAGCGGATAATGCCGCGCGCATGTACGATTTGGCTACAGGACAGAGTTCTCAAGTCGCGCAGCACGACGCACCGATCAAATGTGTTCGCTGGTTCGAGTCTCCTCAGGGAGGGATCGTGGCTACGGGTAGTTGGGATAAGACTTTGAAGGTACGACCTTTCCGTTTATCGAATAAAACTTCGATAACCATTAACCGTTCCATCAAATCTAGTATTGGGATACGCGATCTTCGACACCCATAGCGACTGTACAACTCCCTGAACGCTGCTATTCGATGGACGTCGTATATCCTCTTTTAGTCGTCGGTACTGCGGAACGTCATATCCAAATCTACAATCTTACGAATCCGACTGTACCCTACAGGGTAAGAACCGATGTCACTCTGGGTCTACTATTTTTACTGATGAAAGGGCGATTTAATTTGTAGACGCAAACATCGCCTCTGAAAATGCAGACACGTGTCGTGACTTGTTTTCCATCCGCGGATGGTTATGCTACGGGAAGCATTGAAGGTCGCGTAGCTATTCAGTAGGTTTCCTATATCGATCCTCAAGTATGAAGCTAATTTAATTCGTATTCTGTCAGTTTCGTTGATGACGCAAGGACCGGGTAAGCATTTACTACCCATTCTTTAGCAGATGATATCGTTTTCTTTTAACGCTATTTCGTGCGATATAGGGAGAACTACACTTTCAGATGCCACCGCAAAGAGCAAGGCCTCAATAAGAACCAGACAGATGTCTATTCCGTGAACGACATCAACTTTCACCCTGTTCATGGCACCTTTTCCACTTCAGGATCGGACGGTGTCATCCACTTTTGGGACAAAGATGCACGTTCACGATTAAAGAGTATGGTGTTTTTCTTATTCTTCAGCTCTTCGTAAATTGACCCTGGAATCATTTTGCTTGATGTAGCTTTAGATGTAGCTCCTGGACCGATTGCAGCGACGACGTTTAATCGAGATGGACGTATTTTTGCGTATGCTGTTTCGTATGATTGGTCGAAGGGATATTCTGGGATGACGGCTAACCATCCAAATAAAGTTATGTTGCATCCGTGCAAGGAGGATGAGGTTAAGAGGCGGAAGAAGTGATGCTATGATTTTTTATATCGTCCATTCGTATCATGTTGGTTTTCGACCTGATGTATATCGAGAGATATTTTCTTCGAGTGATTCGTTTATTTATCACTGAAACAACTTGTTTTCATTGATCAATGAGAGGTATAAAGAATGCTTTCCTTTTAGCGTTACTTTTCACGACATTTTGGCTCACTTAGTTGCGAAGCCAGCAGTGACATTGCAGACAGATAGTTTGAGTATCGCAAAAGTAAAGAAACCGTAGTATACAATACGGAAAGCAACAGACAGAGCAATTACAGCACAAAACAATTCGACATGCCGTCTTCCAGAGAAAACCGGGTTTGAGTTCCACAGAGACAAAGCGACTATAGATATACAAGATGAATGAAGCGAGCCATTGTAGTACAGAACGGTTCGAAATCTCCTTCCACAACCGTGCAGCACGCATCTTGCCTTACAACCGTACAAGTGCAAGTGGCCCTTTTGCTGCGAGTCTTTTGGCAATCTTGATGATATGATTGCACATGAGTGTGACGAGTTTCAAAACCGTAAGGCTTGTATACGGTGATTGTTGGAGGAAATCGCATTCATTTGATTCCAGTAGGGTGGATATTGTCTCAATTGCCATCCAGAACCGACATGACCGTAGACACGTCGAGCTTGGCAAGGCTGCCCCCATACAATAGATCTAATACCAGGCCAATATGGGCGGCGTTGGTCGTTTCGAGGCGTCCTCGTCCCAACAGCGTTCCAGAGCTTTCCAGAGCGCATCCGGAATGCAAGTGCTGGAGGGTTTCTGCGGTCGAATGTACGTCGAATACATTTTTGCCAGGAATACCCTCTCCGACTTTATTTCGTCAAATGGCACCTTTCCTGTCAGGATCTGCACCAATGTAAATATCCGATAAAAGCCCATAGAAAATTGAAGTTACCTCTACGATTGTCATTGCTAAAGACCAGATGTCCGAAGCTTCGTTGTACGGACAGAGTCGTTCTCTTCACGTACCAGCTCTACAGCCATCCAGTGCCATGATCCCTTGACAGTCTGGGTGGTAAATCCTTTGGTCCCGCATATACGGGAAAGACCGAAGTCAGCTAGCCGCGGATTCTCATTGTCGTCTACAAGAATATTTGCCTAACAAGTTCATGCCCAGGTCATCGTGAGCGAGGCTATGCTTGTAAGCACATACATCATACGACAAACACACCGCTTTAATATCTCCATGCACAACGGGATCGTGGGCAGAATGAATTGCAAATATGCCCGCTGCAACACCAGACAGCTGAAGGAAAGATTGGCAAATGAAAAATTAGCCTGAGATAAGGGTGTGACGATGAAAGACGCACTAGACGCATGCGATCAGCGTGTGGGCAATGCTCGATGAAAGTATTCATGTCTCCATTTACATAGAACGGAAGAACGATTCCAACGAACTTCTGATAATTAGGATCGGGATTTTCACACACGCCAAGGCAAAGCAAGACGTTGGGATGCACTACTCTCTGTCCCGCCCTCATTTCGCGCTCCCAACGCTTCAAGATATTTATCATCAAATGGCAGGAAAATAGACAATCACAGTACAAACCAGTTGTGCCTTTGCCCTATCCTCCCACATTCGGTGCAGGTCAAGAAACTTCACAGCAGCCTGTATTCACCTGAATAAGAACCAGAAAACAAGAGAGTTAGCAAACTCACAACGGTGCCCGGATATTCTGCATTACTAAGTACAGCTTTGTATACCACTGAGTATCCACCACAAGAAAACCTTTCCCCTAGCTTAAGCTTGCCAGTCAGATTCCTCAGAGTGACGTTTGAAGAAAGGAGAGCCATTGCAGTATGAAATTGTACAGAAGTGGGTTGCGTATGCATATCTGCACGATTAGGTCCATCGTGCGTGACTGGGGAACAAGAAAACGGCACAGAAAGAATACAGAGGCACTGAAATATAGTAGAATAGATGCTCAAGACTATGATTGGAAGGAAGATCAGCAACCTGACACCAGGTTTGAGGTCACGGGATTACACTGCCAAGTTCCCTATAGCTTTACACAATTACCGTACTGCAAATCATTAATATTCTCCAGCTCAAGAACCTGAGATGGATATCAAAATGCACATATAGACTAACAAATAGTTGCTTTACTTGGTTCTTCTTTTTGTTGCAACAGGAGTGATGTTAACTCTCTTTTTAAACTTAGAGTTTTACTAAAATAATAACTTTTTTAAAATGTTTACACAACTAAAAGCTATGATTATCACCAGCTTATACTATAATATACTTGCTTCTATTGATGAGACAATCTCTGACCAGGGATCAAAGAAAATGCCAAAACAAAAAAATAAGATAAGTAATAATAATAGACACAGCTACTCTTTTCACATGCTGGAACTGTCTCTGAGCTGACCTCTGAGGTGAGGGAAGCAGTGTGGGTTGGTCAAACAATTGTAACAAACTATCCACGGGATTGCATCACAGTCACTGCGATTCCATATTTTCGCTGTGATGCTACTGCCGAATGATAAATCTGTTCTACTCCCCAACAGTATAACTTATCTTTGAAGCAAGGAGGATGAAGAAGGCAATCGACATTGAACTGGTACTATGATCCGTGCCCAGTTCTTTCTGCCTATTCGTACTGCATTGACATTTCGACTTGAAGAAACACACTTTTTATTTTCAGCCAGCCAATACATACTTACACGTGATGGAGTCAAGCCGAAGCCATATCGAGTAAGTGAGATAAGATTATACAAATCGTTGCCGACGCAGGTCAGATAATTGCGTGAGTGCGCGAGCGCAGCTTGGGAACATTCGTCGACAGTCAACAGAAATTTCAGTCTCGTCACTTCGAGACCTCCCCTCACGCCTCGGCGTCGGCATGTTCAGCCTTATACGGCCGCCTGCGTCAAGATCATTCAGGCTCTCGTCTACTCCTCTCTCTGTCCGCCGTCTCACGAGCTCGCGTTATGCATTCCCATGCTCTCGACGTGCTGCTCCCTTAAGGCTACCTACAAGTCACCCAAATTTCTGTTTTAATAGTGTACGGAGATTCGGACACCTCGCAGGGAGTAATAAAGAACCTTCATCCAAGTCCAAGGAAGAAGACGCGAGGACAAGCCCCAACCCCATCAAGAACGCAGCGGAGAAGACCGCGAAGGATCTAGGTGCGGAGAAACAACTTACTGTTGCTCAGCAGCGAAAGAAGGATTGGGCAATAATCAAGAAGCTGCTTGTTAATATATGGCCCCAGGGAGATTGGAATGTACGGAGTAGGGTGTTATTTGGCTTTGGGTTGCTAGTTGCGGGTAAGGTACGTTCTCTGTTATCGATTTTTGACTTGGTTGGACAGGGTGATATGGACTTATATTTTGCGATTCCAGGTGCTGAATGTACAAGTGCCTTTACTGTTCAAGAATATCATCGACGCTCTTAATGTCGAGATCACGCAAGACACTGCGGTGTGGGCAATTGCAGGAGCGCTTATTCTGGGATGTCCGTCTCTCACGTCCCGCATTAATTGATAGACGATCCTAATTCGTTACAGATGGTGCTGCACGAATAGGAGCAACTCTATTCACTGAGCTCCTCAACGCCGTTTTCGCCAGCGTCGGACAGAAGGCCGTCCGCAGAGTTGCGCGAGAGACTTTCGAACATCTCTTGAACTTGGATCTTAAATTCCACCTCTCAAGACAAACTGGTGGACTAACTCGAGCAATTGACCGCGGGACAAAGTAAGTCGAATTCGTATGCTGAAAAATTTCCTTCTTTTTTGGCTGATACACCTCAGAGGCATCACGTTCATCTTACAGTCTTTGCTCTTTCGCGTTGTGCCGACTGCACTTGAGATTTCCATGGTTTGCGGGATATTGGTAGGACCCAGCTACTAATACACTCACGTTTACCTGACTGAAATCTCTGCTCTTCGAACTAGACTTATAAGTTCGGATGGGATTATGCTGCAGTCGTGGCTGGGACCATGGTTGCGTACACCTGGTTTACCGTGACTACAACATCATGGAGGTAAGCTTCAAAGTACGATCATTCATGAGGTACATTTAGTGAATATTGACGCTTGCTAGGACGAAATTCCGTCGTGATGCAAATAAAGCGGATAATAAAGCAGCGACCATAGCTGTTGACTCACTGATAAATTATGAGGCAGTAAAGGTAACATGTTCACAGTTCCGTACGATTCAAATTAGTCCTTAAACTTCTTGTTCCGCAGAACTTCAATAACGAAAAGTTCGAAATCCAACAATACGACAAGCATCTCGCCGAGTACGAAAAGTCATCCGTCAAAATAACGACTTCCTTAGCATTCCTGAATTCCGGACAGAATGCCATATACTCAAGTGCCTTGACGCTCATGATGTTCATGGCAGCACAAGGAGTTGTCAATGGCACAATGACTATAGGTGACCTTGTAATGGTCAACCAACTTGTCTTCCAACTTTCGTTACCTCTGAACTTCTTGGGAACGATATATCGCGAGCTACGACAAAGTTTGCTCGATATGGAAGTTTTGTTTAACCTTCAGACTGAACACACACCTCCTCCGGTAAGTTATCTCGCTGAAACAGTCACTTTCTCTCGACAATAAACCGTCTCCCGTCCTTGCAGGATAAACCAGATGCCAAACCACTCGCGCTCAAAGGCGGCTCAATCCGCTTCGAGAACGTGAATTTCGCTTACCATCCCGACCGCCCCATCTTCCGAAACCTCTCCTTCACCATCCCCGCAGGCAAAAAAGTCGCTCTCGTAGGTCCCTCAGGTTGCGGGAAATCTACCGTCTTCCGTCTTCTCTTCCGTTTCTACGACCCTTCCTCGGGACGAATCCTTATTGACGATCAAGACATCTACTCCCTCCAGCTTGCTAGCGTGCGTCGCGCGATCGGCGTAGTTCCACAAGATACACCAATGTTCCATGCGGATATCATGCATAATATTCGATATGGTCGGATAGACGCGAGTGATGAGGAGGTTATTGAGGCGGCACGGAGAGCGCATGTGCATGATACAATTAGGAGGTTGCCGGAGGGGTATAAGACGACTGTTGGTGAGAGAGGGTTGATGATTTCGGGTGGAGAGAAACAGAGGTTGGCGGTTGCGAGGGTGTTGTTGAAAGATCCGCCGATTCTTTTCTTTGATGAAGCAGTAAATATCTCTTTCTGTCTCGATTTATGTTGTGATACTGATTCAGGTGACTTGTTCTGGTTTTGATGTAGACTTCAGCACTTGATGCCCGTACAGAGGCGGAGCTTATGAAAAACATCAACAGCATCCTCCTCGATAAACGCCGAACAAGTATTTTCATAGCTCACCGGTTTGTTCCACTCACACTTATTCTTAACTTTGTACCAACCCCGTTTCTTACCTAGCATCCGAACCGTCGTCGAAGCTGACCTCATCCTCGTCTTCAATCACGGAGAAGTCGTCGAACAAGGTACACACCAAGAGCTGCTCGACAAGGGTGGTCTATACTATTCCATGTGGATGGAGCAGGCTTACCAGACTATCGAGGAACCTAGTGAGGAGAGCTCCGTACAGGAAGAAGAGTCTGCATTAACGAAGTAATGCCATTTCATCACACCCTCTTCCCTTTATTGTCGCGGAGGTTCTATCGTGATTTTCACGTTAGTAATATTGTAATTGATTTCCCGTTCCGGTTGGTAGACAATCCGAGTATAATTGCTATGTTCCTTTGTATATACTTTGTCAAGATTAACATACTAGATCCTCAATTCCGCCAAATGTAATGGATAGCTGACTATATGCATTTACTCAATGCGCCCGCGAAGCCAACTCAACAGGCCCTTTGTTCCTAGAGTATCAACCCGTCAGAATGACAGTAAACTAACAAATAGCAAAAGCCTAACCTTCTCTCTCCCATACCTTTCTCGGTGGTACGCGGAACCTACATAGCGCCATTTCAGCTTCAAGGTTTACTTAATCAATTCTAAAAAAATATCTGACTTACACATTGCCATCCACCAAGAACACGTCCATCGGTATCAACCCCATCAACGAAGGTAACCTCGAAATCTCATTATCCCTCACATCAAGCTCCTCGAGGCACCAATCCGTCACTTCTCTGTTCCCTCTAAAATGTCCTGCGACTTGCTCGAACGCTTCAAGTGACGTCAAACGATTCCCCCTCAATCGTAGGATTTTCAGTCCTTTCCGGCCGTTATCATTGGATGGTACGAGTAAGCGCTCGATCACGGCGGGGGATAGGCCGTCTGACGTAAGTGAGTTGTAGGAGAGGTCGAGGGTGGTGAGGGAGGGGAAGGTATCTGCGATTATTTCGAGTAAATTGCGTTTCGTCACTGTTGGAGCACCGCCATCCTCGGATTCGTAGGAAATAGAAACTACGTCGCCTAATGCACACCCGTCAAGAATTAGTTCGCTGAGATGAGGAAGTACACCCCCGGAGCTTTGCATCGAAGGTAATACAGCAGAAGACGGGAAGGTGAAACTCGGGTCTGCACGCCGATTGCTGAGGTTTAGAACTTGAAGCTTCCCAGCAAAGTCCTGCCGCGAGATTACGTCCAATGGGAGCGTCGGAGTGGGAACTAGGAGATCTTCCGTTTTACGATTGCTTTGTGGCGTCATTGCCATCGAGAACGCTCGTGCATGTGCTCGAGTAGGCGGTACAGATGCAGGTAAAGTTAACGTTAACGTCGAAGCTGAATAATATGACGAGTTTGCAAGGGAGAGGTTGGTACTTGGAGGACTTGACTTTCGCGCTGAGGAAGCGGCTTGCTGAGCTCGCAATCGTCGTCGGCCACCCTCGGTCAACAGACCCTGTTCAGCTTCAATTTCCCATTGTTCTTTTTCGACTAGTTTTGGAGACGGAATACGGGGTTTCGACTGAGTCGGAGATACTGCCTTGGTTCGTGCGACTGAGGTAGCCGATGTAGATGCTGCAGCCGCAGCAGCTCTAGCACGTCTGCGTCCTCCCTCTGTCATCAGACCCTGCTCTGCCTCCAGTTCCCATGGTTCCTTTTCTACAGGAGTATCGTTCTGCTGAGTGTTCATGTTTATCGCACTTTTCTTTTTCTTCAAGTAACGCTGCTCCGCCTCGATCTCCCAGGACTCCTTGATGACCCTTTTGCCGACGGAGATGCGTAACTCTCCTGGACTTGGAGGCGCTGTAGTCACATGGAAATTTATGGAGTTACTTCGTGGAGAGTTTGCAAAATATGAACGAATCGCCTCTTCCGTGACCTCAGTCTCGCTGAGATCGAAAATCTGAAGGTTCGGGAAGCCGTTCGCCGGTGGTTCCAGGAACGATTCGTCCCTGATCAGCGCATGATCCATAATTATCTCTTGTAGACGCTCGAGGCTGGCCAGAGCAGAGATTAATCCACGCGACTCTCCTAGAGGATTCCGGGTTAATATGATGCGAGTTACGTTGCGAGGCAAGTGTGCTGAATCAATAGTTGCTGCAGTCAGTTTGTTGTATCCAACATCCAGAACGCGCAGGCTTGGTAGAGGTTCGGTTGAGCGAGTAACGTCGGGTTGGTAGAAAATATCAGGACTGAGTGACCCAGACAGATCTACTGGATCGTTAAATCGCGCGAAAGGCAGAGATGTGAGTTGATTATTCGCAGCATTGAGAGTCGCAAGGGCCGGAAGGGAGAACAGCGAGGGAGGAAATTCAGTCAGATTGTTGTTTGACACATCCAACATTGTTAGCAACGCCAGTGAAACCAGTGATTCTGGTAAGGTATTGAGTTGATTGCTGTGAAGCTACTTGAAAACCCATTAAAAAGCTGAACGAACAAGGTATCTTAAATGGCTCACATCAAGGACCTTGAGACCGCCGAAAAGCGACAATTCCGGCTGAATAGCAACAATCTCGTTATTTCGTGCTTTGAGAACCATAAGATCCTGTGCCTCGAACCAAGAAGTTTGTTGTCTGCTTTGTCTGCTGCGCTTTGACACATCATCGGCAGGATATTCAGGCTCATTGACAGAATCAAGAGGCTTGGGCATAACACCAAGATGTATCTCGAATAAGCAAGACGGAATGCATGGTAGGGAACGTGATGAAAGGACGAGATTGCCTTGTAGAAGAAATATATTACAAATTGAAGGAACAAAGATTATATTATCAAACTCACAGACCTGAACTGCGAGCTCGATCGATAGTCTCTCGTACACCTAGTCGACCCAGGTCAAGCGTTTCGTCTTCTGCTTTTCGAGGTCTCTCAGGTAACGAGTCGGGTCCCACATCCAGAGGACCCGTAACCTTCTGCGTGGCTTGTGCTTTCTTTACTTCTGCCCTCTTCAATGCGATCTGTTCCTTCAAGCTTAGCTTTTCCTTTGGAGGTTCTGGTACATCCTCAGTCTTCTTGCGAGGAGTTGGAGATATCGGTCTTGGCTTCGTTGCAGTACTCGGCACGCGTAGTCTCGTCGGGGTAGTCGGGGTAGTAGCTTTAGTTGCTGTTGTCGTAGATGCACGATATTGACCACGTATGTTTCCAGTGGATTTCGCCGGACGAGGTACACGAGACATACTTAGACCTGTCCAAAAGGCCCGGATGACGAGTGGATGAAGCTGGTCAAGAGAAAGATTAAGCACGCGTGAGATTCAGAGTGAGACGCAACGCGACGCCGATGACCGTGACTTTTCTTCACCATACTCGGCAAATAAATTCTGCAAACACAACTTGGTCTTCAACCAACATGATTTCGCAGAAGCGCAGCATAGATGAGGTCCAAGACGACCATGCAACCGGTCCACCAGCGGTCAGACAGAAATTATCCACTGACGAAACGAACACTTCAGCTGTTCCGCCGCGAATCAATTATCCTTCTAACACTACTCGAGGCCCAACTCCGGCTTTTCAATATCCCAACCAGCTCATAACGTTCTCTTATTCACCTTCGCGAGAACTGGAATTTACTAATTCCGCCATGAGATATTACGTGGAGCCGCCGTTCAACGCAGACCTTGGATTTGCTTACGAGACTTGGATAAAGAGGCCAGAGGAGAGGGGCAGATTGGACGGTTTGCTTACTGCTTGCCTGAGGGATGAAGTGCTCCCCGAGAGGAAGAGAGCAAATGCAATTTCATGGAGGGGTGTCATGACAAAGTGAGGCTTTGATGATGTAACTGCGTTTTGTTATATTGATATCAGTAATGCGAGAGAGAATATTGACGGCGCCTTATGAAGACAGAGACGCCTGGTCTCTCAACGTCATGTATTTGGACGGTACGCTCTACTTTGAAGAGCATCTTAGCGACGAGAAATTGAAAGAAAAGTAAGTAAGAGGATGTGCAAGTTAGTATAGAAATTCATTGTTGATCCAGAGAGAACATGACGCCCCGACACCGTCTTCAAACGTATTACGGCTACGCCTTTGAGTCATACTGTAGCTCTGCAACACCAGATCCCGCACAAGACCCGGATAAACGCACCAATGGCTGGAGTGGAAACGTGAATACCAACGTCCAATGGTGCAGTGTCGTGAAGACAAAACTAGGCGACAATAGACTCATTATAGGTGGAGAGGTAGATTGCGTTGAAGGTCTGCCAAATGCTCTCGAAATTGCTTGATCACCCGTAGACGTTGATACGCCAGGGAAATACACGGGTCAGCCGAACACGTTTGTCGAATTGAAAACGTCACTGGTTATTCGAAATGGAGTAGATGAGGCAAGATTCGAGAAGTAAGTGGCATGCCTCCTCGAAGAGCGCAGGATTAGATGTTAAGCTATGGCTAGGAAATTGCTTAAATTTTATTTTCAATCATTTCTGTTGGGTGTTCCGGTATGTGCCACTACAATGAATGTCCATACGACTTGTTCATTATCACGTGCGTTTCGTAGACGATTAAGGTAGGATTCAGAACGCCAGTAGGGCTTCTCAAAAATCTTCAGTCATTCAAAACCGTGGAACTTCCTCGACTTGTTCGTAACAAGCCAGGTGCCTGGGACCCAAACCTTTGTCTTCAATGGGGAGCTCAGTTTCTGGCTTTCGTCCAATCAACTATTCGGAACTGGCGTTTCGATGAGACTCCTTCAACAAATGGAAACAAGGATGAATGTTTACCTAGCAGGCCTGAATCACGAGGCGATACCCCAGAACTGAAAGCAGTTCCCAGAGAACAATGTGTCTGGAGAGTAAATTTCTATCCCGGAAAGGGTGCTGAAGTGGTCCTACTTGACAACGCAGCTGTGGCCGATGTACGTAATGGAGAGGATCGCATTGGTTTTCTTCCTCGCGATTACTGGGATATGGTGGTTAGTCCAGCGAGGACCGAAGAAATAGATGCACGGAAGACCTCATAACCAGGCCGGTCTTAATCGACTCGGGGTTTAAGTGCTGGCTGAAGCGCACTCCTCTTTGTCCGTCTTGTTTCGCAAAAGTGTTTGTGAACAGCAAAGCTTGCGAAAGGCCAATGCGAGCACTTATCGAAAATTATCTGGACGTTGTTACATAAGCACTTGCCTGGGGCCACCGAACCACCGAACCACAGATCCCTTTCCAGAAAATATAAGAATCCGCCGTTGACCTATGTCTCCTCCACAACTCTTCCACAACATTTAACCTTCTCAGCAATAGCTTGCTCAAGAATCCACACTCTTTCCGCTCGTTCACTTGCTTTCCCCCCTTCTCTATCAATCTACCTTTCGTTCATTTGGTGAGCTATTTGATCTTGCTCGTCCCATCCTTGAGGTACTGACTTTCTTTGTGTGGATAGGTCGTTGAGCGTCCCATATTCCTTCCATTCTTTAGTTAGACTTCATCATATATCAGGTGAATATCCACTCAACTGGCTAGCCGTGTAAAATATGACTTACGACTTACCCACAGAATGCAAACGGAGACACAGTGGCGTTTGAAAGAACCTGTCCTCGACACAGAGAAGTATCTCAGGAATCCTGCGAAACATTCGCCATTCCGAACCGCCAGTTATCGCCCCTTCTACTGGTGGGACGTAGGACCCGACTCGGCTGAAGCGTCCTTGCCGTGGCTCGCTAAATTCGATCCATACCTCCGTGCAGACATCGCAAAGATGCGCAAAGACAAGTATCAACGCGAGTACGACGGATGCAACGTCTATGCGTTGCAGAACCAAACCAATCTGAGGCGCAAGGGGGCGAAGTACGGCGATGACCGCTGGACGCACATGAAGCGCTGCCAATTGTGCGACCATGATAACGTCGTTGCAACCACGCCTGGTTGGTATCGCTGCCAGGGAAGGTCGTACTACGGTACGCAGTGCACGGGACAATTCGAGGTGACTGTACGGGATGCCGCGCGCGCTCGGAACATGCGCCCTGAGGACCTCAAGCCATACGAGGATCTAAGCGACCGCTATGACTATGAGGCACGCCGAAAGAAGAACATGTAAGCTACTAACTAACTCATTTGGTCGAAGTTTATATTAATCCAGTCTTCACTCAGGGCGAGAACGAAGGCACTCCCTGTTACTAAACCACCTGGCTTTTGGAAGCGGGCATTGGGTGTAGCCTGACGTACATCGGCAGATGCGGGTCTCTAATTACCTTTGTATATGCTTCAGTTGTACTGAGCCTGTAAACTGATCTTGTTCGAGGCACAAGTTTGCTCATGTATATATGTATATGTGCCTCTGGTAGGCAGTGTATGGAATATTTCAGAAGTCGTAACAGAGTGAAATTGAGTATGTCGTGGCATCAGGCACAGAAAATCTCAAGCATACATGTATTCAATCATGATGCTGACGTGAGTAATGTGGCTTTAGCACTGTATCCAGAATTCCTACCAGCATGATTGCCAACTACAAAACGTGCAAAACGGGAGAATGCAAGTGCTCTGATATAATATGAGCATTTCAAAGCAACCAAGATCCGGAGGGTGTACGAGAACAAGTAAAAGAAAGCTAGACAATATCCGGTACCAGTAAACAGGCAAAACAAACACGACTTGTATAGAAATTCAGACGTGAGTAGGAATAGGAAGCGAAGCACGTTAATTCGATTTAATCAAGCAATTGACTCCATGAAGCGTTGCAATTAAATAGTCATTCAGAAGAGAATCTTCAGTCTAGACTGCTGGAGCACGGCATGAAAAAGTGAGAATCCTTGTCAAATGCTTAGAAGCGTATGAGCATTTCCTAAGCAATGAACCCATACTGAAATGAGGTGTCTGATAGAAGCATAAAAGCAGCAGAAACACTGCTCTGACTCGGAGTCCAGAGGAGTGACAATCGATTCTAGGCAATGACTCGGACGCCCGTGTTGCTTGACGATTGCAGATCGCCATCAGCATCGTCTCTGAATGTCAATGTTACCTTACTGTCTCCGTTCTGATTGCTAGATTGCTCTGCATCCCAGCCGACGCAACGGGGGTGTTTGGTGTGTCTAATGTCAGAATGGGCTGTTGTGCCTGGCACTCCGTTCCTTCGTCAGAGCGCACTATCAAACCAAACCAAAGGTGCTTATCAGTGACACTTTATCGATACGTAGGACAGTGAGAGCTTACAGTGCCTGTTGAGAGCATCCATACGAGCGAAAGTGCGTTTACAACCATTGCATTGGTACGGCCTGATATTCAAGTGAAGTTGCTCGTGACGTTTGCAGTCGCCCGGGTGTCCGAATGTCTTGTTGCATCCGGGCAATTTGCATATGAAGGGTCACATAATAAGGGTCGCCCTTCATTATGGGTCTGTAAATGATCTGAATACAAAGTACGAAGCGATCGGTCATCAGCTAATCATGCCTTTACCAAAAAGAAAGGCTAAATATAAGAAAACGTACTCTTGAGGTTGAAATGGCGAGTAAAGGTACTCCCGCATCCAGGTACAGGGCAGACAAAGTTCACCTCGGTGCGTTGATGATGTTGACCAGTTGCTGCTGGTGCAGAGTGAGGGTAATGACGCTCTACACGCACGGTTGGTACACTATTGTCAAAATATGGGAAATGTGGGCTGGCACCTGGAGTACCGAGGCCATAGCTCAAAGAGCCTGGAGGGAATGAGTATGAGTCTGGTAGCGGCTCATTTGTGTTCACACGCAGACTTGTGTGCGGGGGTGGGTACGGGGATGTTCGAAGAGAAACGCGTTCGCGCGGAAGGCTGCGTGAGTGTCCATGACTATTCCCGCTACGACTCACCGAGCTTTGATGGCCTCCACCAGCACTCGTCATGCCCAATCCTCCCGAGGGACCAAGGTGAAAGAGGAAGGAGCTATCTGGGCCGGGATGTTCAATCGGATCGTAGTCGTCAGCAGCGAAATCAGGTGGACAGACGGAGATATCGATGTTGCCGAAGTGTCCTTCGGTGCCGGTAGTGTACGTGTCCGGGTTGGTAGAAGGCTGAGGGAACTCGTTGCCCAAGTCCGACCCCAAGGGATAATTGTGATATGAACCGGCTAAGGCTGCAAATGAGGGTGTATAGGGTGTCGCAGGGATACTAGGTTTTGCAGCTAAGCTGAACGAGTCCTCAAAACTGGTGGATGTGTTGAAGTCTGCGAAGGCAGGGTTGAATGGGGAAGATGATGCAGGGTGGTTCCCTTGAGCAGACACGTCGAGGTCGGAGGGAAGGGGGAAGTGCTGGACCTGCGAAAGCGGGTGTCAAATCGGCCGACGAGGCATTGCGTCGATGTCCGTGATTGTCACTACGGGAATGCCTTGCATCGACGCCGACGAGTGCGTCTTCTCGTGAAAGGAAGTTGTTGTTAGAGTAGCCTCCACCAGTGTCCGACAGACTACCACTGTCGGAAGTGGTTCCTGACATTGGAGGGCTGAACGATGCAGGCATGTGAGGAGTGTTGAGACAGAGCAGTTGCGCCTGTAGCTGTATTCCTGGGCCTGCGAATGGAACCAAACAACTATGACGATTATAGACATTCCCATCTATATGATCCGGGCAGCCGGGCTACCATCAAGGGCCACTTGAAGGGCAGCTTGTGCATTCCCAGTATCAACACAGTTCCTCCTAACAGTATTGGCCCGGGAGCTTGATGTTGCACAGATGTTGTCACATACTTTATTTGCTGGGATCAATTAGGATCAGTGGTACAAATTATCTTACTACTATTATTGAGTACACACCTTCCATAGCAGGGGAAGTTGAAGAGCTGGACTCAGCATCTTTCCTTTCCTTTGCAACGTATTAACTATGGCTAACATTCTGGGTCGGCTGTCTGTAGGCTTCCAACAGCATTTGCATGTAAGCCATAGCGTCCGCTCTTGAGTACAGCAAGATCACAAGTCATCTGGAACAGTGGGTAGTTTGCCTGTTGAAATTGCTCCCCATACTTGGAAGTCCTGCTTCAGGTCTGGGAAAGGCCGCTTTCGTGTCAAAATGTTTTTTGCAATAGGATTAAGTAATTAGGAATTCCAAGTATTATTAGTATTACTCACCAGAATAGTCATTCCAAAAGCCCATACATCAGATGCTTTTGAGTGTCTGCCTTCAGAACCATTGATAAGCTCTTGTAATAGTAATAGGAACCTTAAGGTACCTCTTGCTCCACCAGTCAGGCTACTATGAGGTCGGAACGACCTTATATATATATACTCTACGCTAGGGACGATGCGCAATATATGCGTATATGCACATGTCTCGGAAAACGCCGAAACAGCGGTCTTAACAGAAAACGTTGGGGGTCTGGAGGCAACTTCGGAATTGAGCTGTGCAGCAGCACTGATAGAGTACGAGTGGAAACACCCGAGAGCCTGTGGGAAACTAGTTTTCCACAGGTCATTTTGCTGGGCCTCTGGAGGCGTGGTAAACCTCGCGTGGACAACACTTAGTCAGTATATTAGTAATATCATTATAATGTTCCAAAAAGGAAATTTTTAAGAATTTTGTGCTGTACCTCTATTGAGCTGAAAATTTAGGTGTAATATTAATTTCAGACGTTGGTTATACTGCTGAGAGCAATTATATTGTGTTTTATAGTCTACCAGTGTTGAAACCTACATAATAAATAGATATATCTAAGAGAAATAAAAAGAAAGAGGCAACCAGTTACATTGATCAGGCTTTATTATTGTTCAAAATTTGTAAATCATCTGAAGAGGTACTAGAAATATTGTCCACATCTATCACTTGTACCTCTCTATTTTTATCAGAGTGTACTCCTTCAAATGAAGGAGTATCTGAAAGAATGTCAGGCAAAGTAGGAGATGTTGACCTAATAAAATGACAGACATAGAGTATATACACTCTCAAACTATCTATTTTCCTTGCTTTTTGTCAGGTTGAGGCATTTTTTCTTAATTTATCTACTGACATAATATTATGTATGACTAATACATTTGAGTTTTCCACAGGCCAATTTCCGGCAACCCTTGTGGTAGTGAGGTTTACCTCGTGGGAAACCTCTGTGGTAATCCTCACTGTGGGAAACTAGGGAGTTTCCACTCGTACTCTAAGCACTGAGCATTGTCACGACGGCGAATGCATGATTAGTAATACTTACTAATAAGCCAGACCATACTACATATTGCCACATTAAGCAGTGAGGCAAGTAACCGTTGAATAGATTCTAGTGAAAGTGGAGTTCATCCGAATCCTCACACATATGCACTTATGATATATATGGTGTTGAGATTTTTTTGACAATACGTGTGATATTTTGGTATAAGTTTGCTAACAATAAACACAGTCTAGGCAGGGAAAATATCCCACAACACAATACATCCGAATGCCACTCACATAAGAAGCATACATATTGTACAGCAATAATGGCATCAGAGGTCCAAGGGGAAGGACAACAATGAGAAAAAGTAGAAAATGAAGTTACAAGATAGGCGAACAGAAGAACAATTACGGATATTACATCTACAATGAGGCGATACCATCATACAGGCATGTACATCTTGTAATATCTTCGGTGCTAGATCTGCAGATACAGGTTCTTGGGCTGCTTTGCTCCAAGTATTCTGTACGTTTGGGCGATTACCACTGCACATTCCTGTCTCTCCACATACAGACCCATATCGGAGTAATCCTTCTCAACGCTTTCAAGTCGAGTCAAAGCGTCTCTTTTTTTGGTGCCCTTGCTGTGCCTAAGATCTAGCTCCGTTAGTTGTCGTAAGCAGTCCGTCTCGCCGCGGCGACTCGCTGCTTCTTTGTAAAGTCGCGAAGAATTTTGGATACTATCGCGAGCCCTGCTCTCCCGATCTGTTCGAATGAAGAGTATTCCAAGTTTCAGAAGGGCATCGGCTTCGAAAGTCTTCCAGTGTGTCGAATCCGCCCTGAAGCTCTGTAACGCTTTCGCATAGTGCTCCTCGGCATCTTCTGAAGCGCCTCTTTGCCAAGCTAAGTCTCCAAGTGCAAGATAGCTGACTCCAATGCCCCATGTATTTTAAGTTCTTCCCATATATCGAGGCCAGCACGAATGCTCGTAAAAGCGTCATCCACAGCATTCAATCCGATATATGCAAGGCCAAGTTTAATGAGTGCATACGCTTCCCGGTCTCGTCTTTTTGTTCTGCGATAAATTGTGGCCGCTCTTTGAAACACATCTTTTGCGTCATCGTATTGCGAGAGAGAGTAAGCCAACTCTCCTGCAGAGACTGTGGTGTTCATGCAGTTTGCACACTCCTCGAGCGACAAGGCTTTATAAATCCGAAGGGATTCTTCGAAGAGCTCAGCTGCAGTCATATACTTGCAAAGAGTTTGGAAATGTATGTATCCGAGGAATTCAAAGCATTGAGCCTCCAACATGGGAACATGGCACTTCGTACGTAGAATCTGCAACGAATCGTTTGCGCGTTGCAATGCGGGTTCTGTCTCATTCATTATGTGTAGGACTCTCGCCAGGCTCAACAATGCGTATGCCTGCGTTCAGCAATCAGTAAGGGTACTTCAGAAGTAACCTGAGACAAACCTGTCCGTGGAGGCATCCTGCCTGTAGATGACATTGAAATGCCTTTTCAAAGCTGGTCCTTGAACACTCTAACTGGCGAGTAGAATGGTACAAACAGCCTAGCTGGTGATGACAATGTCCTTGTCCCATTTTATCGTCGAGATCTTCGTATAAGGACAAGACCCTGAGAATATCATTCTCTGCTGTATCCGTGCCGACAACAGGGAAGAAGCGATTGCAGAGAGTTATCGTGTAATTGCAATCGGCCTCGAGTTTCTTGTTTTGCCTTTGTTTGCATATGCTCAACGCTCTTTGCAATTGCGTCAAACAAGGCTTTCCCAACGACGCCTGCAAAACGAACTGTGCCAATTTCACTGCAGAGGCCGCAGCAGAATCAAGATGGATATCCTTCGAAAATGCTCGGTTAACGAGGCTCTCGATGTTCCCAAGTTCTGGAAGTGCTCTTTTGACCTTATCTTCATTGTTCTGATCCGTTCCGGCATATTGTATGAACGTCCAAAAGTAATCCTCCAATGATTTGACAAGACCGGTTTGCGGAAAGTACTTGTCGCAGCTCGCAATATATGCTCGGATGGGCGCGAGCATTTTCAGGCGACCCGATGCTTCATCGATATAAACTAATGAAGTTTTGAGGAGTACCAGCCGAGACTTTTCAAGTTTTTCGAAGTCTGGTATGGCTATTTCAAGATCGTCGTCCCGGATTCCATCAGGTAGCATGGCGAGTACAGCTAGTAGAGTATGAGCCTCGGGAACTCTTTTCATGCGTGGACTGCCAAGCGAAAGCTCGATTGAAATTTCCAGGCTGTGACCAGAGTCCTCACCATCGCTGAGCATAGCAGTACTCTGCTTCGTCCTTTTCCACCGCCTGACAAGACCTGGGACAGTATCCATACCTGGGACAGCGAGCCCAGCCATCAACTGAATTGCTAACGGAAGATAATCACACAGAGTTAACAATTCGTCCAGCTCGTCCGTTTCGGACTCGTTTATTGTTGAAAAACCAGTACCAGAGATCGACAGGAACATTTCCCTTGCTGGCTGGGGATCCAAGGTCTGAAGCGGTGGGAGCATCGGCTGATCCCACTTTACCTGACATGGGTGTTCCACACCACGAAGGGTGATAACGAGAGTGACATTCTCGAGCGCGGCTAATCGTGCTAGTAGTTGTTCAACTTCGGTCCGATTTCGTTCCCAGGGGCTTTCAAAATTATCGAGGATAAGAATGGTAGGAGTTTGCGAACCATCCTTAGCTTGGGAGTCGCTCGTAGAGCCGCGCAAGTGAGCTAGAACCTCCGTTTCCGTCTGACCGGGCCGGACAGTAACGCTCTCCCATTGTTGGGGGAAATGAATGTTCGACGCGATCAAGGATACAACGCTCTCTGCTGATACTGCGGAGTCGCACGGAACAAAGAAGCGGTTTGCCGCGTACCGACGGGCAACATCTTCATGATGGAGTAGCTTTAAAGCCAGAGATGTTTTCCCTTGGAGATTGTCAACACATACGCAGTAATTATGGGTCTAGGGATGTCACCTATGCCACCAGGTCCGAGTATTGCAATTCGAGCAGCGGTTGGACGTGAAACACGCCTGACCAATTCTTCCAGCACATCGGAGCGACCGCAAAAAATGGCGGGTGCAGGTCTCAAATTACTCCCATTATATGCATCCTTGAAGGTTTCCTGTCTACATTGTCGTAACCATTAAGGTTATGAATGAGTCGTTTAGCAATATATAATCCAGGAGTCACGGTCCACACCTTTGCTTGTCCTATAAAATTCAAACAAAAAACTATAATCAGCGACACTATTTGAGATTGTTGGCGCTTGAATCCAATCGCGGAAACAAGGGGCGAGTGGAGAAATTGGAATGTACTGACCTTGTCATGATGCTCATGGAGTAAACCATGCGAATCGAGCCTTTTACTTCCCGCCGAGCGTCTTTCTATCCCTCTCAAGCGGTCTTCTATGCGTTCAAGAACGCACAACATGTTTGGAATGCATGTCTGTATCTCGATGGATGACCGCAACTGAACACATAACTGTTAGCAGCTTGTTCAAACTCCAGTCATTCAAACGAACTGAAAACATATTCATTGCGAATTTCAACTCTTCATCGCATCTTTGGATAATCTCCTTATCTCTCTCCATTAGAATGAACTTCCTGAAGTAACTTCGATTCCGATCCGACAACCGTCTAACGTCCCGAAGGATAGCCTCAAGAGACCTGAAGTGTGTGTCCGTTGAGGTCGGAAAATCATGATATTCTATACATCATGCTCCACTTACGTTTTAAGGCGACTTGCCTGGTCTTCCAATGCTTCCGATCTTTTACCACCTGCTTCTACCGTTCTTTCATTGATTGCAACCAAGAGTTGGGCGACGTTATTGATTATACGAGAACAATGTTCCTTGTTCGCCGCGACTCCCTAATCAATCAAATGTTAGGGCGTGAAGTCCAATATAGGTGATAAACAAAAGAGCCTACATCAGCATAATCGAAGATTAGTGAAGAAAGACCAGCAAGTCCTTTCAAGTATGGAATATTAGTTGCTTCAGCGAAATTTGCTATGGTACGAGCAATGAGCAGCGCGCTTGCTCGCATAGATTCAAACGTTTCGTCATCTGTTTTACCAGACCTTTTTACGCGCAAACAGTCCTTCCCTTGTGGCTTCGTCGGGCTCGGAGCCAAGGAAGTCGTGTCAGCATAAGGTAGTGTCGGTAGTGCAGCCTTAGGACTGAAGGGTGACGAAAGAGGCGAATAGGAAGTTGGACTCGTTGCTAGTGGACTTTTTGTGTCCTCAGGGAGAGGGCTCTCGCTGCCACATGATTGTTTATCAGCTGGAGAGCCTACAAGCGTGTCATTCGTTCCCTTTCTTCGCTGCCTGTTGCCATCAGAACGCGATGAGTGCTCGTCTTCGGACATTGGAATCTGCAAGTCGTGCTCGCTGGACGTCGAACATGGTGCAAGTCGCAGACGAGATTTGGACCACCAGCCTTTGCGAGACATATTGACAGGTGTTCCTTGGACTGAGTCGCGCATGAGGACGACGTCGTTATTTGAGAGGTATCAGATTTGTGCACGACTGAGAGGGTACGAGGTACAAGTGCTCAGTGGGGAGCCAAGCAGACGCAAGGATGGGGCAAGACGGTCTTAAAGTACGAGAGGGAGATGTCCTCAAATAAATAAGAATAATAATAGAAGCCCGCGGTTGGAAATGGTATAGTCAAAGACTGCTAATTCGCGTCGAAGCGCAGGACAAGTGTTTCACAGGAGACACACGAAGTGGAGGGCACCCCGATCTATTGCGAGCTGAACCTTCTATATTCAATGCAGTCGTTGCTATGAGCATGTGTATGAAAACCTTGAGTTTGATGATGAGCGAAGCGCTCGAGTCGGCTGCCCGAACGAACAAGTGTCCGCCTCTTTGCAGCTAACGCGGATCCAATGATGTATTCAACAAGATTAACTTAGAGCGGATTGTACGGCCGGGCATTGCTGAGCGCCGTGACAACACTTCTCGACATTGTCTAGAGTAGATGAAGCATCATGATGCCGGCAAAGATACATCACGAAGCTCAAGCCTCAGAGCGCCAGTCCTATCGCATAGTGTGCTTCCACAGGTCATGAGCGGGGCGTTTTCAAGTTTCGTATTCTCTATACAAAAGAAGAGCCAGCGCCAGTGTTGTGCTATTGCGAGTTTGAGAACGAGAAGGCGGAAAAGAGTCGTTGTGAATCAAAATAAAGGGAACACATTGTGCCTTCCTGGAAAGGAATGTCGTTCACATCACAGTCGACGCGTCACCTAGTACGCGTCCTGCTTCAGTTCCACACATCCACCTGTCTTGCCACTCTTCCGCTGTCTCGATCCTCTCTAGCGTCGTTCAAAGCGCTTTGCAACTACCACCACTCGTAATGTCGGAAAACAACGCGTCGTCTTCAAAGGTACCACAAGACGCCGAAAAAACAGAGACCAAGCCACCACAATCCCAAGTAAACGGTTTGGAGGAAGACGACGAGTTCGAGGAGTTCGAGGTACAAGGCAAGCGTGCTACCTCTTGCATACCTTGATTGCTGATTGGTCTGACTATTTTCTGTATGTATGTGTGACTTTCGGATGTTTGTAAACGTACTTGACTTGCTGCGAATGGTTCATGGTGGCCGATGATGTATTCTTGGTGTAGATTGGGATGATGCGCAGACCGAGCTAGCGCATCTCGGGGGTACGACACCTGGCGTTGCAAAGTCAGGTGGCGATAAGCTTTGGGAAGATAACTGGGATGATGACGATGCAGAGGACGAGTTTAGCGTGCAACTGCGGTGAGTACGGGCGTTTACCTTTTCTACTTTCTACTTTCGGCTTCTCTTCGTCTCTTCATTAATCTTCATCATGTCACGATGTCAAAGCTATCTTTGTGAAGCTGGCATTACTCGTGATTATCTGCGTTAATCGCCGTTTGTCTGTTACGCTTGACCGGCGGGCCGCCACCGTCCAACCACAGCTGGGACTGTTTCGGACATCACGTCTCAATGCCGCGTTTTGTATGCAGGACAGTTTCCTGACAGATTCCATTATGCTTCGGGGCATCGCCTTGGCGTTGATCGGCTTTCTTCTTGTTTCCTTTTCAGCAACGCATATACTTACAACCAGTGCGACTTTTCACAGGGGCGAACTTATAAAAACGGGGCAAGGAACAACGAGTGTCGCGCCTGGAGGGACAGATGCAATGCAGGACTAGGCTACCATCGCGTGTATTCGCACCTCGAGGTTTGGGCCCAGGATCTGTTTGCCATTCGTGTCTATAACTAGAGTGTCAGCCAGTATTCCTATTTCTGCACAGTATTCTCACATTTGGCTTCTCAGAGTCAGGTTCGGTTGTTGATGGCTTATCGTCGTTCACGTGGTATATCAAATATATTCAATACACATGACTTGCTCAGAGGTCTATTTTGGTCTGCTTGCGAGTACTTGCCTGAAGAATTTTTCAAAGACACCAACTATCTGCAAAGCCTATAGCCTCTAGAATGACCGATTTTGTATAACAGCTCTGAAATTACGACTTCGTGTTACAAATAGGACGAACGTGCGTCGGTTGTACCACACTTCTTTGATCCGTTTATCTATTCATTTGGCAGCCGCTATTTTACATGCCGTTTTCCGGATCAGATCCATACCGGCCCTGGTTATCTCCCGTCATCGAAGCTGTAGGTATATAAACCAAAATGCAGGCCCGTGTCAAGTTTGAGCTCCTTTCCCTGCTCCCCTATCTTACCAGCTCGGTTGACCCCTTGCACGTTAATTGTAATGACGGAAGCTGTTACCAAACCAGGCCTTTCGCAGGTCTCGCTCATTTTCGCGTGAGTTTCCTCCTTATGACAACACGAATTAATTTAACGGACGAACTCCTAGCTGTGGAACGGCCTTGTTCTCGGATGGTGAGGAGCATTCTGAATGGTATGGATGATCTAGCAGACAACTGAATGTACCGCAGGTTATGCAAATAACATCATTGGTTCAGGTGGGTACGATCAGCGCGGTCTACATGTCAGCGGATTAACTGAATAAAATGTCTCCACAGTCACCACTCGTAAGCCAGTCAGTTTATGATATTTGTGTTTCAAATATAAAACATCTTGGATAGTGTTGAAACGGATATATGGAAGTGACGCAGTGTCCGCTCACAATTACTCCACCACGCTCAGCTCGCTTGCCTTTGCGGGGACGATTGTCGGGATGCTCACATTTGGGTACCTTTCGGATAGACTGGGGCGCAAATTCGGTATGGTGGGTCAATATTTTTATTTTTATTCGCCCTAAATCCCTTGCGGTGGACTCGGGATTGGGTACCAACGCTGTGATAAAGCCCTTCGCTGGGAAGATTTCGATTCGTTTCTCGCTTCCCTAGAGGTCTTGAGAAGATGTGTAGGTGAACGTGCGCCGGCGCCCCTGTTCTCGGTTTGCATAGTTTGATAGAATCAGGGCCTCGAGCTGGGAGGTGATGGAAATTCAAATTCTCCCAGGCTCAAGGCGGTAAATGGAGATCCACATGCACTGAAGAATGAAGGAATTCGAAAATCGAAATTCTGTGCTATTAGATGGCGTGTTTTGGTAGCAATTGCTGTGACTCTGGAATAACTGGTTTACAATACTTGCTCCACAGATGACAGCCACTGGTATTGTCTTTGTGTTTTCGGCACTCTCAGCTGCTTCATCCGGTGCACATAACAGTCTTCGTGGGATGCTTGCGATGCTCAGCGCATGTCGGTACGATTATATTCCTTCCTCTCGATATACACACAGTAATTCACTGGTCCTTTTTAGATTTCTTCTCGGAATTGGCATAGGAGCAGAATATCCATGTGGATCTGTCGCTGCCTCAGAACAGACAGAAGAGGAAGGTATTGCAAAGAATGCCCAACATCGGTGGTTTGCTCTTGCAACAAGTCAGTTATATTCAAAAGTAGTGTCCTCGAATGGGCTAACCTTCCATGCCATCTTAACACAGACACCATGATTGACATCGGCTTCGTCGTATCTGCATTTGTGCCTTTGGTACTCTTTTGGATGTGAGTTGTCCGTAATTATCCCAGTGGTGCGCTCGGCTGAGTTAATGGATAGCTTCGGAGAGAATCATCTACGCGCAGTCTGGCGTCTTTCGCTTGGTTTGGGGACGATTCCTGCGCTGGCTGTTTTCATTTGGCGGTTGCGAATGGAAGAGCCGACACGTTATAAGAAAGACTCAATGAAACGAGCAAAGATTCCTTATTGGTTGATTCTCAAACGCTATTGGAAGGGCCTTGCTGCAATCTGCGTTACTTGGTTCATCTATGATTTTATTGCCTATCCAGTAAGATCTCACCTCTAAGATGATTAATTCTAATACTAAATATCCAATTCTTTTACCTTTTTAGTTCGGTATCTACAGTTCGACTGTTGTCAATAAGTTCGCAATATCCAGGATCTATAACTTTTAACCGTTCTAATTTACCTTCCTATTTTCAGCATTACTGGAGGTTCTGATTCATTAACCATCGTCTTTGGCTGGAATGTTGTGATCAACTTGTTCTATTTACCTGGGACGATTGGTGGCGCATTCATTGTGGATTACCTCGGCCCGAAATATACTATGATATTCGGTTTGATGTCTCAAGCAGTCATCGGCTTCATAATGAGCGGACTGTATGTTCCTCTCACGAAGCACATCGGAGCATTCGCAGTAGTATATGGCATCTTCCTTACTCTGGGTGAAGTCGGTGAGCACCGACTACTACATAACTTTTAAGGTCTTCAATTTAACTCAATCTTTTAATTTATTTTAAAGGACCGGGCAATTGTTTGGGAATGTTGGCTGCCAAGAGTGGGCCTACTGCTGTTCGCGGTCAGTACTATGGTATTGCCGCTGCAGTTGGCAAAGTTGGTGCTTTCGTTGGTACCTGGGCTTTCCCACCTATGATCGATGGTATACTCAACTTATTCTCGTCTGACAATAATCTGACTGAAAGGCACGCTTGTCTAGCATTCGGTGGTGCGGATTCAACGAAAGGGAACACAGGCCCATTCTGGGTTGCCTCGGGCCTTGCAGTCTTCTCCGCCATGGTGACGTTCTGCTTCATCCAACCGCTTTCAGCAGATGGGATGTCGAAGGAAGACGTTGCTTTCCGTGCGTACCTTGAGGAACACGGGTGGGACACCTCTCAGATGGGAGACGGGAGCGAGTCCGCATTAGTGTATGACGATGGTGCCAGCTATGAGAAGGATGTGAAGCAAACTGCTTAGTCACTGCCTTGCGTCCGTCTCTGTGCTGTTGTTCACGATCTTTACGGTATTTAACCTGCTTTTTTGCGCTGACGTTCACGCTTGCTGTTGTATCGAAATGTTATGATATTTTTGGACACGTCTTGTCTTAGCTTCTTTACTTATACGAATAAAAATAAAAGTATTTAAACTACAAAATATTGAGTGGCATGCCTGTGGCGATGCAAGAAATCGGTATATCTCATGTCTTCAAGTTCTGCTTAGTAAAACCTAAGCATGTGATCAATGTAACATGTGACGAGCGCGTCCTGACCCTGTGCGTCAGACGCGTTTCACTTCATCACTCATCTTCCATATTATTCGTGAACCCACAAGTCGGAAATGTAACGGATTTTCCGCATTACAATACAAGCCCTAAGGATAAAATAATACGATGGCTTTTCGACCTGTGCATACTGCGTCCTATCGACCTTCAGATTGGCTACTACTCGGGTCGAGCTGATACTTCTGCGAACTCCTGAACGTGCTTTTCGTCAGTCAACTGGGCTAAAATCCAACGCAACAAGTTTGAATTACCTTAAGGGCAGTGGCAACCCGGTGCGTTAATAGTGACACCCGGCACACATTGAATAGCACAAATAGGAGACACGGTAGGCTGAGGTTCGGCGACTGGGCTGGCCGCAACCAGGCTTGCGAAGACCGCTGCGACGTAAACAGAGAGAGTTGCGAAGTTCATGATTTCTGTAGCGAGTGCTTTCTGTTGTCTTTCGGTCGCTTCACTGAACCTTTGGGACTCTGCGCTGATTCCTGGCTTTATACTGTTCGCCACAGCGCAACCCTGAACGAGCTTAGTGTACAAAGCAAATATCTCCATTTCACCGCTCAGTGGTACATAACTTGTGAAACTCGTTTCGTGTGAAGGCTGTCAGCAGGGTAAATCCTAGCCAATATCTTACACAACGAATCGGATTCTCGGGGACTCCTTTCGAGGAGGTAAATATTGATCGCGAATGATAAATCCTGTGTACTTACAGGCACATCCGTCCCTTACCATTGCATCAACCGCATCAAAATAGTTCTAAAATTATGGTAGATGTCCGGGCACAGCGGTGCTCGGACATTTACGCTTGATTGGGCGGCGGCCTCGTCGAATTGTCTCCGTCCTGAGACTCTTAGCAGCCGTTTTCTATTGTGATGAAATTACGCGGGAATTCGCTCGAGGTACGATTTTCTAATGTCCGAAATATATGGCCGTTAAGTATGTTCGTCTCCCACAGACCTTTACGTGCCTGAACGCACGTTCAATACTTCGCATCCGAGCACCGACCGCCTTGTTACCGGGCCTACGAAGTACCTGACAATTCAGAATTTCGTATAAAGGTCTAGTACATATTCATTGTGCAGGCTTCCGCCAACTCTGTAATTGCTGAAAGCCGCGCCCACTGTCAAAAACATATAGACGCATGAACACCCTCAATAAATGCGTTGAATGGCATTGTCGAGCCTATCCCACCCATTGTCGAACGCATACAACTGAACACTAGTCCGTTCTTTACTTGCTCCGGTTATAAAAGATTAGTTCTGCATCAGCATTTCGCCACCAATTCTCCCATTAACCATGAAATCATTCGCCACATTCGCTCTCACTGGCCGCCTCGTTTCTCTCGTCGGTCCGCCAGTCTTTGCACATCATACGACGGTCTCCTGCCCACCATGTCCACCGCTGCCGACTGCATCACTGAGGGTGGCGAGGGCTCTTCCCAGGGATGTCCAGCTCCGATCTCCGTCAGACGAAATATTCTGTGCTTGTCCTCTCTAAAGTTGTAAGGCTTGCGCAAACGTACATTCTGTTCTCTCGCTGATAAATTGGTCCAACTGGTTTGTAATTTGTAGTTCGCTAAGTGGTAGGATCGATATATCAGATTGATAAAGGAGAAATTGAGCGTACCGTTGTCTGCATACTGTAGTTTATGACGGCATATTTCTCTGAATCCTTGTGCGAGCTGGACACATTTGATTGCAGATCAAGGGAGTTGAAGCTGTCAATGTTGGTAGCTAAAGAACCATCAATACGAGAAAGGCACCAAGGACATGGCGTGTTAAATGCAATTGCATAGAGTGCACGTCTGAAAAGCCTTGAATTTATCAGCCCGAGAGTGATAGATTACTCATAGGAATATTCAGGACAGGACAATTAGATACTTACATAATATTATTACATGATCTGCAGCCTCGAGAATCGAGATACTCAGATAGCCGTGATTGCTTGCGCTCAAACACTCCACGTCTTAGTAGTTCCCGTCGTTGTCGACACGTAAAATGGCAGCGGCAGCGTCGTCTTCTTTGCCAAGTGCTCAGACTCCAGCTCCTTACACATACTCGGCACCGTCATCTCCTCAAATCAGTACGCGTCCGAGACCTCCTGGTGCTGCGACAACTACAGCACCAACATTCAAAGCACCAGCACATAAGCATGCGCACCATCTTCATTCAATTCCTCCACGCGAGAAATCTACGCGTACTCTTATTCTTGATTATCTCTTATGGGTCCATGCTCGGACTCGCCTGCACCAGGCGCGAGCAGAGCTTGGCATGACCATCAACGGTGACGCCTTATCGGATATCGGGGAAAGTCCAAGAAGCGTGACAACTGGCATGGACGTCGACAGAGAATCCACAAATGCCGTACCATTTGATCAAGAGGTCATGAGTGACGGAGAGGACGTACTTAACATTAAATTTGGCGCAAAGAACCAAGAGAGGAATGAGCGATCCCCCGCGGAGGACGAGCATGAAGCACAACAGAATTTGCAACTTGCACACGCCCTACGACTCCGTGCGGATGGTGTGGAGAAAGTCCTTATCGCGATGCTTGACCAACCTCCCGAAGTTCAACCTCCGTATGCAGACGAAGATGCACCGCGAACGCCACCCGCAATACATGGTGTCGGCGAGCATTTCTTTCCGAACGGAGTTCGATTCCGTCTGACTTTGAGCACGCTTGTGAACGATCTGTTCGCTCGGGATATCCCGACCCCACTATCTCCCCGTACCTCAAATACACCGGCATATCAAGCGCGAAATGCTCAGACACCTTCCAGCACTCCGCATGTAACCCCAGTCTCAAATGCAAATAGACCAGCTCCAACGTCGATGACACTGCCTTCTCCTGCCCTATCCAATAAGTCATATCGACGGGATGATGATTTTCTGGATAACAGCCTCCCGAGCTGCTTGCTTCAGCTTGCATCTATTTCGAGTTTCTCGATCGATACCGACCGTCAGGTGGCCGGAGTGACTTCTCTGCCAAGCTTCTCATCCTTTACTCGGTCGAACACTAGCCCAACTTCAGATAGGTTGCCTCCGATCCTCTCCCCCGATGGCTCTTCCGGTCCACAGGTGCGTCGTTTTGTTTTGAGTCCCCTTTTCACCTACGCCAGCATCGGGTAAATTCCAGTTATTCGAAAGCTTCTTCAATGCTTCCATTGCAGCTTCTCTTGAGAATAATCTCACGCTTGTCCTAATTTGCCAATCCCCGAATGAACTCTCCCGGTGTTATTAAAGTATAGGCAACTTTCTTGACTATTTCCTCGTACAGTTATCTTTCACGACTCCAGGACCACGAAGAGCTGCGGGCCGTGCCCTCAGTTTATATGAGTCCGGAACAGACCCTTCAACTGCGAACTCGCCCCCGTCGCTGCGCTGTCCAAGACATCTCCATCATAAATGTCAGATCTGTGCTCCAGCTCAGTCGCCTTCGCTGTCTACTGGTTCGGGGCCGTCTTTCTATTCCACCGGAGCTTCTCCAAGAAGTCCTGTTCAATCACGTTCTGCTATTTCCCTAGGTAGCAATGGCAAAAACAAGCTGCCGGGCGGTGCGCCTATGGCTACAGGCCTCGCCTCATGGAAGAGTGGGGCCGGAATCGGCGCTGGACTCATGAGCCCAGGCGCAGAGGGGACAGTACTCCGCCGTCGTACGACCTCGTATCATGCAACTTCGCATCCATCCGCCAAAGACGTTGGCCTTTGTTCCCAAGGCGGAAAGCTTGCCGAACTCATTCCGCGATTCATACGTCTAAGCGCACTAGTTGCGGTGGAGCTCGGGCGGGAAGCAAAGGAAAAGGAGGACGAGTCTTTACGCACCGGCGATAAGCGTCCAGGGTCATCGGCCGAGCGGGACCTCGAAGAGGAGCGCGATCGTGAAGATGACGCTGCCAGCACCGTATCGTCTGGGCAATCGAAGCCATCGGCTCTCAAAGCATCCGACACCACTTCACCGTACCTTTTTTCGCTCTCCTTCCGCCCGACGCGCGAATGGTACGGCATTCTAGCTGGCCTTCTCACTCGGGCAGTGCTTGAAGGCTACTTGAGTCGCGGTTGGAAAGGCCCTTTGGGTATGGAGTGTCTCCTGGGTGTTGGTCTCGGACTAGGCCCATTCATGCCAGGCGTGAAAGGTAAAGTGACAGCGTCTACTTCGATCGGAATGCTAACCAACATGCCTACCTTTACTCACACGTATAGAACCCGACGAGGATGAGTTCATCCACCTCGACCCGGATGAATGCCCGTCACTTGCGAATGCTGCGAAGATCCTATTCCCATACCTGTGTCGGCAGGTCAAGGCGAGCGATGGTCCTGAGGCAGCTTATGAGGCTGAGATGTTGCAACGAATATCTGAAGTAAGCATCTAGCTATGGGTGCTGAATTACTATTGACAAAGGATTGTTTGGTAGTTCCTAACTGTACCAGCGTCAACCCCTGATTTGTCCACACATTTCGAAGATCTCGCTTACAAGTATCCCACTGAACCTGTCGAACGAGCAACCGTCAGATTTTGCGAAGCTGTCGCGAGTTGGAGAGGTCCACCCGAGCTCGAGAGCGTAAGTTTTGCGGTATTATTATTACCAGCTGCAGTGGCTCATTAATCGTCTCTCTGTAGCAAAGGAAACGCAATCAGCCGACGCCACAAGATACTGCCTCCACATCGACGCCGAGCATGTCTATTGACTCCCTTGTGCAATCCGCGTCGGGTACTCTGCAGACTGTGCCTCTACAGAAGAAGTCTCCCATTGAGAAGTATTTTACAAAGGGGCTTCCCCTGCTGCCTGCTCTTGCAAATAAAAGACGGAGATCGACTGTTTCGAAACCTCCGTTGTCTGATTCCAGACAACGAAAACCACATTTCGAGACACCGGATGATTGGACAGGCCCTTACGGAATTTGAATATCTACACACGCATTAAACCGTATTCTTGACATTGGAACTTTCCCCGCGCCCACTTCCTCATTTTTTCTCCAAGTTCTCCATCCATGTATTATTTTGGTTTGGACGAGACATAATTGTGTTGCTATGCGTGATGATTTTACTTCATTTCTTGTTGCTATCAGCATCTCGCGCGATTGTTTTACATTTCGGACGGTGGTGTATGCCGGCTGGTGATCCACCCTACCCAAATATCTCGATAGCATTCAGAACTCGAAACTAGATGACAGATTGTTTCGGACGCATTTTACTCCCAAGTACATCTGAAGTCATGCTCCGTCTGTGTTCTTTGTACGGGCAAGGAAATCTGGAACGGTCTCTCCCGTAGAGCGGAAGAGTGTGCCTTTTATTTCGTAAAGCCTGGTATTTAGTGGACATCTCCATGTCGCAGTTAGCACGTTTCTCCGGGCCGTCATCAGGAATTCAAAAGGTGACATGTCTTCTCACACAACGACCTTGTGGCTGGGGCGTGGTGTTCGATTCAGTTCCTATCCCCGATGAGTAATTGGAGCTGGGACCAATCTGTTCCAAGTTCGACGCACTGTGACTGCTTGTGTCGCTGGGTGGACTCCGCAACATATGAACAGAAAGCCCGTACCTCTTCTCCCTAACTGTTACCGCGTGGCAGCTTGCAACGAAACCAACTGCATGACTTTCCGCTCCGATCCTACGCACTTCAGGGTTGTTACGGCGCGACCATGCGACCTACATTATGCGGCTCTTTCTCAGCATCTCACATGCTGCTGGTTCGCTGATCAGAACAATTTCGAATGACCCCTGGACCCAGCTAATAATGTATCGGACTGTCTGGACATTAAAAACCCTAGGACCATAGTGAAAAATGCAATGGGGCAAACTTGGACCTTGGAGAAGCCTCGGCGGTGTCAAATACGAACTTCTGAAGAATGGTGCATTCATTTGCATGATGTACTCCGGCGTGCCCATGTGTCGCCTTCCTTCTGGCGTACACGGCCTTGGAGGCGAAACTAGCGTGCTTTTTATCCAATCTGTAAACCCGATGGTTCTGGAGATAGTTTTTTAGGGTGAAGAGAGGGGTCTATTCTTGAGTCAGTGGAAGACCCCGAATGCGAGCCAGCCTGGTCGCTCTGATTTTTGGGTTCGGCGTTCAAGTGCATCATAACGACAGTAATGTCGCGCGCGGTCATGCTTTACGCTGCCTCGCGGATCTGAAAGCAAGAGTCGCGTAGGAAGTTGCGATTATACACGAACACGCTCAAAAACTCGGATCCTGCACCACGATCAACAAATTTGCAGTACAGTCAAGATGCTTCATCAGCAACGGCACGAATAGTTCGAACTGCTAAAGGCATCTGATGCAATTGTTACAAACGATATGAAGCGCCAAGGTAGACCATTCGCACTGCTGCGCAAGTGCGCTCGCATCATGGAGATTAGGACGGAGTGTCCGACAGCCGGCGGTTGTCAGTAGCCGTCACCTAGTGCTCAACTTGCATCAGCTGTTGATCTAGTTGAATAACGGCGCAAACTCTTTGACCGACGCGGTAGGTTTTCGTGACGCAGCTCCCTCGAGTTGCATCGCGGGTTGATGGAGGACACATTACTCGCGCGAACTACAGCCGACTGCGCCGATGTCGCGGGCAGGATGATTAGTGAGCCTCCGTTCTATCTATCTAGTCACCGCAGATCTATCACTAGAGTCATGCACAACTTTGGCTTTCTGTGCGACTTCGAGGCGTCAGCTGCGAAGGCCTTCCAGGCGGCTCTTGTGTTATTGCAATTCAAACAAACGTACATGCCGTACGAATAGCCCAAGTTTCTCCGGGGATACATAGGAAAAGGCTCCTCGCGTTCGCAGGCCGGCCCTTCTCTGATTCTGACAGACAGGGGTTTAGCGACGTGACGTGGGGGTGGGCAAGAAGGGATTTCACAAAGTTGTAGTATACACGAGTAGTTCTCCGTTAATACTGGATGCTCACCAATGTGCCCGTGTACAGTGCACACTTACCCCGCACTCCTCGCGCCTTATGGGCCGCTTTACTCTCACCCAGCAGCTTACCCTTCTCCGCGAGGCGTTCGCCGAGAGAAGTCGAATACTTATTACATAATTCCTTGACCTCCGCCCACATATAAATTTGAAATTTTGTACGTCCATCCGAGGGCTTCCATATATCCGTACGGCGTGTGCCGCAAGGTGTGCGCGATGCGTTCGTGTATGGGTGTCAACTGGAAATAATTTCCCTTTGTCCCTACTCCATTAGTGTTTAAGGGTGATATGTGTTGTATGTGCCAAATCCGTCTATTCATCAGATTTCGAAGCTGTCCTAATATAGCATGTAGGAGCCTCCTGCTGTGTTAATAGATTTATGTAGTGCGATGCTCACTACGGCCTCTGCCCTCCACTCCAGTCATTCTCGACGAGTACGACCTTTCCCCACATTTGGAATCAGGAACATACACGAGAGTAGCAAGGTACACATAAGGGTGACTCCCTCTTCGGGATCGCTCGCGCCGCCTCATTGGACTGACGATCAAAAACCATGCTCGGTGCAGCGAGGCGGTGTACGCACCATACATGTTAATCTCCGGGGGTTCCATACTTCTTCCGTCAACTTTACTTGCTTGTTGCCAAGTTTGAAATAGGCTGTGCTTGTTTCAAGAGGAGCTTGAATGCTTACCAAGGCTTCTCTAGAGTCAAAAGCTTCGTGTCGTCACTTATTGCACGATTGCTTTTAATTTGATCGCAGTGCGGGTCCGTACGATCCCGTTGCGTTGTTATTCATCAGCGATCAAGGGCTTGCAATGGATTTCCACCGCTCGTTCTCGACTGACTGATTGTCAAGTAACTCAGATTGCTATTCGCGTTACGAAACCTAACGACAGACACCGGGATCAATTAGCATTTGCCTAAACTTCATCCATTGCCCGAAGGTTCAAAGCACACATCTAGTTTGCCCACACTTCTGTGCATCCGCGACATCTTTCTTCAACATCAAAAAAGATGGATTGTATTTCTCCGTGATCGGGCAACTGCGCAAGTGTTTGGAGAAAACGTGCATGTGGTGGCCCTGTGGTCTTCGCGCAGGGTCGCTGAGAAGCAACGACAATGGTTCTACGACGAGTCAAGAAGAAGTTACCCGTGCTACTTATTCATTCGTCCTTGACTTGGTTTTGCCGAACTACCATAGTAGTGCAATCGGTCTAGCTACAACCCGAACTCAAGGCAACGTCCATAGATGTAATTAGATAACTTCCTTTCTGCACCCAGACACCTGAAGGAAGGATTGAGGATACGATCACCCGGATCCGGCGGGAACTTAAAACAATGGATGGAGAGACCGAGTATCACATCTCTGCCAATTTGTAAATTCTCCAAGGCTCATTAATGACACGAGGAAGGCGTTGTCCTAGGGACCTCAGGCTAGAACTCCAAAATTGCAAAACCGTCCACTAGTCTTCCTCGAACCTATACACTATTCCGTTGCGGATCTGGCAAGTGAAAAGTGCTCAATACTTAGTCGTTGTCCCAATTCGTCAAATCGGCGACCCCAAGGCAGTGCAGGCGATGCGTATGTACAGTTGTGCATATACTCTGCACAGGTCTGACTATAATTAAACGGATCTCTCACGCAGGGTCAATATGTCCTTAGTCAGTATATTTAGCACCTGAATCTGGATTAGACAAGTTAACAAGGCAAGGGACAATGAGGGGATCTTCCGGTTATGCCAGGAATGACGTATATTTTTATTTTTACGGCCATTTGGTTCCGTTAAACGAAGAAAAAATAAGTCTCCTTCGTTCCTGACTAGCAACATCCGGACCCGAGTCGGATCGTGAACATATTAACGCTATGTGACAATCCTCCCGTTCGTCGATTTATTTGATGGCTGATACAACTGTGCGAATAGCATGGATTGTTATACGAGCTTTATCAGTGGCCATGTTTACTTAAATTGAAAACTTTTCTTGAGAGATGATGTTGATGTCTGTTACGAGATGGACTGAAAAAAAAGATGATGGAGATTAAAGTTTTTAACTCTGCTAATTCTGCCACCAGGGCCGAAGAGTGAGTAGAGATGTGTGAAGCAGCACGGTACTTCGTTTTGGCGGAATACAATACTGGCGTGGAATAGGGACCACGAGTACCATTGCGAGAGTATGTATCAATATCAAAGTTTGATAAAGCTGTTGCGAAGCGTTGAGCATTGGTCCGTGCTCGGGCACAACTAAACATCATTCGCCGAAACCTCCATGGACCGTTGCCTTTAGCCTAGGGAGGGGGCGACAACTCGGTATCCGAGGGGAAGCAGAAGCTATTGGTCTGTGCTGACGCACAAGCAACCATTGTACGCACTCCGAAACCTCCGTGGACTATTGTTTTTAGCTAAGTGGTGACAGCTCGGTATCCGAGGGGCAGCAGAAGCAATGTAAGAGCCACAATCAATCTGTTCTTCGCGCAGCACGTGAGACATAGATCTCCAGCACACGATAGACCTGACCCGGAGGTCCAATTCAACTCAGGAGAAGCATGAATCAGGAGAGTTATTTCGGGGAGCCCTTGTTCCTGCATTTTCGGTTGCTCGATTCGATACGTAAGATAGCAGTTCCAGGCCATTTGATTGCATCGCATGAAACAGCATAACTGATACCCTTTGTTATGGAGATGTCTCCGGTGTTGGTATCGTCGAACAACTCCTTTTTCGTCCTGCATGTCTAACGCTAACATGCAGGGTCGGCTGGATGTGCATGTCGTTCGTAAGTGTGTTGTGTCCGTCATTATTTTTCACAGAGCGCTTGTGGGTGGTGTTTCATGTTTTAATGAATACCGCGTTATGTGATGAGGTATGTAAGTATGTGAATAATAGAACGGACGAACTTGCGATGACATCCCTATCTCCAAAGGTTTTTTTTTCTGTATCAAAAAAGGCTCGCGTGGAATTTCAAAAGAATATATCAGGTTTCATACCTCTAAAGCTGATTGAGCCACACACATAATGTTGTTTGTTAGTAGACCGAGAATAGCACCCTCAATTCATCTGATTCGTCTTATCCATGTTGAAATGAAATCGATCGTACCTGATAAACCCACAGAACTTTGAAAATACGCAATTCGCTAGCGCTTGAGAAGCCACATGGGTATTGTACTTTGACTGAGAGGTGTTTGAGTGTGTCAGATGCTGATGCTTCATTGGATCCGTGGACTACTTCGGAAGCACAGTCGCTGGAGGGGGGTCAATTCGGAAATGAAATTGTCTCCAAAACTTTGAACCAGTAGGCGCCCAAGATAAGGTCATTGCGTGGAGTTAACAAGGCTCTCGCGGTATATTTGTATGTATGATAGTTTCTTGGCAGCTAGTAGTTGGATGAATAGATAGATCCCAGAGCAGACGTGACAGATTCGTAGTCCTAGAAACCGAGGCTTTACACTTGAGAACGAACAAAGCGAGGATTAATTCTTGCCAATAGAGAACAGTGGCGCTGATCAGGGAGCCTGGAACCAAACTGCGTTACCAATTGATTCTCGAAGTGGAAACAGAAACGGAAAGATTGCGCCGGTGTTAAGGAGTGCGCATCTGGCGGCTCGATAGCCGGAAGCGAAGGAGAGAAGCAATACAAGCGTAGGATTTGAGCCAATAGAGTGTACAAAATGAGATCGCGAATCCTAGCCGTGCTTCTGCCCTTCATACTTAGCGCCTATGGAGCCTTGTTCTTGAGTCGTTTCCATTTGGTTAGTCTTACGAGGGCCCCAGAGCGGGTGCTCCGTCGCTGTATGGACGATACCGTAGGGATGTTGCATGATAAAAGGAGTGAATGTCTCATGAAACCCACTTCCGTTGCGTCATTCGAATCCAAAGTCGTAAGATTTCAAGACGAGCTAACATTCCTTCTTAGCAAGACAAGGCCCGGCGATTGCACAAGTGGAATGCACAACTCCGCTGATTTGGCAGGTCCGTTGATTGAATGATGATTGTGAGGTCTAGAAAGCGGTTGATATGGCTGGAAAATCGTGGCGAAAAAACGTGCGGTGGTAGCTAAGATACGCGCCACCGATGCAAGGCAGGAAGTTGTGCATATGATGAGCTGAGGTGCTGGCGCGATGGCAGATTTGCCTCAGACTAGACTCTCGGAACGTCGGATTCAAGGTCAAGGCTGGTCGGTATGGACGTATGAAACGCGATTGGAGATGGCATTGGTCAGGATCAAGAGAGTAGATATGGAAGCGCACGAGCTCGGCGGACCAGAGATGAGAGAGATGTAGAATCAGTAGATAAAACGCGGGAGGTGAGGATCTCGGATCGCGGTGTCTCCAGGACGATGGACGTCGGAGGCGTACTAGGACAGGGACCGGAATAAGATGCAAACATTGAAACAATGGGATTAGAGGATACAGAAACGCGAAAAGGGCAACAAAGAATAATTACAAATATTAAATGCGGACGTGGTGCACTCGGCTTGCCGGAACGGAGCAATAGGATGGATCAGGTGACTGTGAGACAATTGTTCGTAATATCCGGATTAGGACAGGCGATGTAGGGCATCAGGATGCATGGGATGAGAGAAGAGGCTAGGGAGTACAGCCTCGCCGTAGACAGTCCAAGGCAGTACACGCGAGTAGCTGTAAATTTATCACCGTCTACACTAGTGAGTCGTCGAAGGCCACAGTTGCAGCTGCAGCGCCCGGGTTGCTCGACCGCTGGGTGCAGAGAAAGACAGCGGGGCGAGCCAAAGAGAAAGTGAGTCGTCGCACAAAGGACCGCCCATCAGCGTTACTAACCCATCTCTCTCTCCGACCACATCCTCCGCCGCCCGTCCACCGTCCTTCCCGCCCGCGTGCGTCTCACAGCCTCGTACGTCTCTCGGACTAGTGCACCGCCTTGGAGGACTTTAACCCCGTAACCCGCAAGCCCTTCGTCAGTCTGTGAGACCAGATAAACAGGCCTCCCTAGCGCAATATAATCTACAAACACATCATACGCTCACGCTCCTCCTGATCCCTCTCTCTTATCCCTTTCTGCTGAATCATATATAAGCCGCCTGCCTAACGCTCACCATGGATCCCCCGTCGAACTTTCATCAGCACCAACACTCCCCCTTCCTCCCCGACCTCGACGTGTCTGCTCAAGGGAACGACCCTGCATCGTCTTCCCCATTCAACCCCGCCTTCGCAGACTTCAACACATCCGCCAGTTTTGAGGACTCGCTCAGCTTAGCTGCAAACCCCAGTGTCCCTACGACACCCTATACACCCTCATTTGCAGCCCAAGCCGGTTCATATCACAATTCTCCCCTAGGCTCGGACCTCGGCAACGAGTTCCCCCAGCATTCTCCCAACCCGAATACGTATACTGCCGGCACCGAAGGAGACTTTGGCAACATTGATATCTCTGTCTATCCACCTGATTTCACTGGTGACGATTACGATCCGAGTGCATACGACGCCCCAGATAACTCTTTCCTCTTTCGCAGCGACTTTATAGCTTCGCTTAGCGAGCATACAGCTACACCATCTCAGAACCATTGCCAGAATCAGTCTTCCTCGCCGAGCCTCAGTACTTCCTCTCTTGGTTCGAACAACCCCGGCGTGTCCGTCTCCGTCACTCCCGCACTTGATAATCCAATGGCCGTCTACAGATCCGGATCGGCGCATGATCATGGCTCGCCCGCGTCCTCTAACGGCGACAATGATTATAGCCATCATCAGCAACAAGGCGATGCTGCGCGCAGTCGTGGATCTTCCATCTCTTCGCAACCGAATGACTACCACGGTTCTGCGACGTACGGTATGGAGAGCGTCCATCTGGACGCATCCCCAAACCTGAACCAAACTCATTCTCCATCTTGGTCTTCGAACAATCAAGCTCAGAACGTCCAGTCCCCTCCTCCACAGATATTCATTCCTGGCCAGACTCCAGAGATTACACATACTGGGACCTCACCAGTTCCATCACCAATGCCTTCCAAGTTGCCACTCCCTGGTGACAACAATTCCATCCTTCCGCCAGGGGGACTCAGTATGAATGTAAATATTGTTCCTGCCACGCCAATTAGCGCCGGTAACACGCAAGGTGGTACCTTTCAGAACATGGGTATGATGAATCAGGGTGAGTCACTCTCAATTATAACTCTTCCTCGGAATTCCGGGAGCCCTTTCGTATGCTTCTCTGGCATTCCTTTTCTTGCTTCTCGTCAGCTGTAAACGACGAGTACTTCTCCGTTTGCTACATTTGAGGGAATGGTTTATCCCGAAAATGTAATTCAAGCATATTGATAACGTACTCGATTGATATTTCATTTTCCCCACATGTAAATCAAATAATACCGTGGAACTAACGAACTCTCCCTAAATCCTCTTATAAAGATCGCACCTCAGCGTCCAGCACTCAGCCACAGGGCTGGGGTGGTCAGTCGAATCAACAACATCAGTATAGTTCTCAATCGCGAGGCACTTCCCCACTTCCTCAGCTTCCGCAGGCGCCGCCACCTCAGTATACATTCCCTCCTAACGCGGCGTTGACTCCTCCGCCCTCGGGTGGAAGTTCACTGAGCGGGAACGGCGGCGATACCGGAAATGCGCTGAGTGCGCTTCAGCTATCGCGCGATGGTAGCCCAGAGGGAGGAAATGGTAATGTTGATGGAAGCGGGAGCTATTTGGTTCCGATCTCAAATCCAAGAACACGATCCAAGTCTGAAACCGCCATCCGTCCGCAATTATGGCAAGGAATGAGCGCCGGATATGACGCTCATGCGCAAGCGCAGAATCAGAACCAAAACCAGGGCTTGCAACAAGGCTCTGCTCTCCAGACAGCCGACGGTTCTTATGGGACGCAGCAACAGACGCAACTACCCCGTCTCAATACTCCCCACCACATGCCTGCATCGTTCGGTCCTCCGATATCGGGACCAACTTTCGACAGTGGTAATTTGTCGAGTACCGTTGGAGGCTACTCTAGCAACAACTTCCTTTCACCGGAGCACGCACTTGGTGGAGCCGATCTGAGGCGTTCTCGTAGTGACAGCCAAGGGCATCGACGCAATGCCTTGTCGGCCGATATGACACCCATTTTTGCAGATCGGTCTCCAGGTATGGGAGGTGTCAACTTGCATTACAATCCGCCGGGTTTCAATCGTCAAGGTAGTCCTTTCCTTCCGCCTGGACAGTCAAGCCGCCTTGATCCCTCGGGAGGAATGGGCATGATGAGTGCTGGTGGCGCTCATCGACGCTCAGTGAGCCATGGCGGAAGCAGTCATGGGCACTCACGCAGCCTTTCGCGCGAACGCGTTTCGCTGCAAACATCTCCGTACCCATCCCCGCACGCGAGTCCGCGCGTGAACACAAATGAGCCGCTACCGGACCCGTACTCGTTCCCTCCAGGCTCTTCGAGCTACGGCCTCGGTACTCCAGGTGCTAGCCCAGGTTTCGACGGAAGTGCACCAACGGTGCACGTAATGAGCCATGACGCACAAGGCCGTCCAACGGTGCAGACTCAGGCGCCGATTCAGGTCGTACGGCAGAATGTCACAACTCATGCAACCGCAGATGCGAGTCAGCGTCGTCGACGCACTGAAGCGAACTTTGTCTGCCCTGTACCTGGATGCGGGAGTACGTTTACTCGCCACTTCAACCTCAAGGGTACGTTTTCTTGTTTTAACCGATTTTTTTTGGCAGAGGCATGACCAAGCTGATTTGGATCGCTTTGTTCTTTGTGATCAGGTCATTTGCGGTCCCATAATGAAGAGCGGCCGTTCAAATGTAAATGGCCCGGATGTGACAAGGGATTCGCGCGGCAACACGACTGCAAACGTCATGAGCAACTTCACTTGAATATCAGGCCGTATACTTGCAACGGTTGTAAACGTACTTTCGCTCGTATGGATGCTCTCAACAGGCACTGTAAGCTCTCACTGTCCTACGAATCGATAAAGTGTCACTGATAAGCACGTTTGGTTTTCTTTAATAGTGCGCTCTGACGCGGGTACAGAGTGTCAGGCACAACAGCCTATTCTGACATCAGACACGCCGAACAATCCTGCGTTAGCTGGGATGAACGGCTCTAGCAACGGGAACGGAAGCGTCATGGCAACATTGACACTCAAGGACGACCCTGATAACAATTGGCCGTCTTCAAGCACGGCGGGTGTCATGGTCTAGTAATGGTTTGTCAGATTACCGATCATAGAGTGACGCTTCAACGCTTTTCACGATTTTGAGAGACGTCTTGCCATCTCGCATCGTTATCGCGACGAGTATCCTTCCATTCATGCCGTATGCTCTTCCGCGGATCTTTCACGGGGATTTGCGCTTCCTTTGCCATACTACGCTAGTATATACCCCGCTGCCTTATTGACTACTGCTTCGCCACGTTTCCCGGGGGTATCGGCCGATTAGTTGAGTCAGTGTCAGCACTACGCTTTCCTTTGTTCATCCTTCGTTTCCCGGGTTTGCTGTCTGTCGTCCACGCTTGTTTGCTACTCTTGCTTTGCTGCCATGCGCATTTGTATTTGAGCTAGATCTGTTCCCCATCCCTCCAGAGCAACGCCAATCAAACAAACAAAGCCAATGTATCTTTTACTCCTGCCTCTCTCTCTCTTTTACTCATCTTTCTGAATATATTATATTTGTCCTTTCTTGCCTACTTGTCTCTCCATTTACTGACACCGGATACCGCCTGTTTTCCTTTTTCTTTATTCTTGTTCGTCGTGGACCTTGTTCGCTTTGAATTAACTATTATCTTACTCCTACACCTACCTGTATTCGCCTGTTTTGCCCGTCTCTACGATGATTCATGCCGTCAAGTTCTTTGGATACAGCGTCGCAGACAACATATAGACATTGTATATACATGTACGCGAGGGATGTAATTTGCTTGCTTGACGTCGTAATGTACGCAATTAGGCCAGAATTTATGGATATGTAATTTTTCCTTTGTACCTTTGGTTGAGTTGATATACTGCGTATCTACAAGTATCAATGTTGGAACTTGTGAAAGTTATCGTGTTATGATTACTACACTGTTATTGGCGTATTTGGGACTCAGACTCGAGAGAGTCACAGTTGTTTGCGTTTGTTTGCGTTCGCACGTTTCGGTAGCGAAGTATCCGATTGTGATATGGCCTCGTAAGCACCGCTAGTCCAGTGCAAACCTTCAGCTCATAAGTACTTAATAGGCGAAGCAGTGTATAAGCTCATACTACTGTTATCTCTATCTAGCACAGCGGTGGACTCAAGCTCAATGCGATACTTTGTCTCTTTATGTCTCCTATAGCCGGACTCCAAATTAGGTAGGAGGGCTACCCGATACGGTGTCCCAGACTTCTTACCAAATCCGGATGTCCGCGACACAGCGCATACTATTAGTCTATTACCACAACACAGCTAGCATCGACAGCTACTAGCTAGCACCACGAGCAGTTAAGACTAATGTGGATCCACACGGGGTTAGCATTAGGAGCCGCGATTTGGGACTAGTCCGATACACATTGGAATATGAATTATGATAATATCTGACGACGCCGATGATGCAACAGGCGGGAGTCCGTGACTTCGTCCATCGGGATCGGTTGATTGTCTCTGACGAATTCGATGATGTCAATTATTTCTATGCTCTGGCTATGCGAAGTCTTATAAAGCGCATTCGACTTGCTTGTGCCACCTTATTCCAAAGAAATACCCCCGTCTAACACTGCTTGCTTTCATACGCATTTTACACGTCCTCCAATCTTATCCTAGTAAGCGACCATGGACCATGACACAGAGTACAAGCCGAGCGACTCCGCCCTCCCTGAGGAGCGTGCGTACGGTTCCTTGTCTGAGCCACCTGCGAGAGACGCGGCGCGCGAAGACCGCGAAGCTGCACAGAGCGATGCCACCGGACGCATTTCGAAGCGTAAGTGTTTTATTTAATGTCCTCGTCTTTGTGAGGGTTTGTTTAACGTCTCTCTTTATTATACAGGTGAAGTCGACGAACTTCGGGCAGATGCCGGAAACGTCCAGACAAAGGGTACCCGTCATCAGGGGAAGGGAAATGACGCATACAAGCAAGAACGCAAATTGGATCAATCGCTCGCCGACGAGGGTGCCATCTGAAGTATAGCTCTTTGGGACAGTTATTGCTTGGACGGCTGTCAGTAGTCAAGTATTGTAACACATTGAGCTATGGAATTATTATTGCAATTCACGCCAACATTCTTATTCTGGCATTTCTCGGATTTTCAAGACAGAAAGATTCACCACCTAGAGTATGCTCGGGACGGTGCGCTGGACGGCGCTATATTGCGTGCGATTGCAGTCAACGTTCCAGTGCGCTTCAGACATCTTGCCCTGGGCATTCGCCATGACCATTTTGGAAGTAAGTCGATTACATGCCCTGCATCTTTATTTTTTAAATAATGCCAACGACTGTAGATCTTGATAGGAAGCGTCCATTTATTGAACTAATGTTTGATGGTGGTGTCTTTCATCGAATTCTCACACGAAATATCCAACCAGAGAGACCTACCGATTCACACTGCAATACAGATGTTCTCTGGACACTTCTCGAATCCTGCTAGCGCGATGACCCTTCTACACGCCCGGATGCGCACTATGTTGGCGTTGTACTGGACCTCATGAGTGTGGACGCCAAAGATGGGGAGCTCGCTGTAATCACCGTTTCGGCAATTCTCGAAGGTGTCTGGGACAGCGTTTATCTGGGACTACTAGTTGCACCTCATGCACCGCAACCTTATAAACGTAAATGGTCGCAGTGCTCTGAATCGTTTGATGATATTGACGAATCACGAGCTCTTCGAGTTCCATGAGCGTCGTGCTCACGTTGCGAGTAGGCAGCATATTTCATTCTTAGTTTCTTCCGTAGATTAGTCCACCTATGATGACTGTATTTATAGTTCTTTGTGTATCGTTTTGGGCTTTGTATTGCTAGGGAAACAATTGATTAGGTATTAATGGTAACCTCATTAGAAGATATTCAATGCTGGTGGCAATAATACTTCACAAAACTGATCAACGCGAAATTCAAAAACTCTGCACTGCACTGCACGGTTGAGGGCAAAATAGCAGCATTTTTCATGGATCAATAGGATTGAGGAAAACAAGCCTGAGCAATGTTTATCAATCTTGACTCATTCTCGGGCAGTAGTGCTGATACAGAACTCTGTAATTTCCCCGTTCATGTATCCTTCATTCGGATCCTAAATCCATTGACGAGTACACCAAAATTAACCAGATTAACACTTAAATTTATATTGTCGCATACATCGAATCGCATGTCAAGTACCAAATCTTAACAAATAAAAGTACACAAATGACGAAAACAGAAAAATAAGCACATGTCAACAACGAAGATATGAGTACCAAGTCGTGTAAAGAAGTGTCAGCGAACAAGTAGGGTACTTAAGTAGAAGAAAGGCAAACGTAATGCGGAGCGGAGAAAGTCAATGAAAGGAGAAAAGTTGAATGATTAAGGTATAAAGTAAGGTTAGAGTCATTATTAGTTAAAATGCATAGTGCATATATGCGTAAACAAAGGTATATTTCCTTTCAGGGTCAGGTCGGTTTGTTACGGTGAATGAGTAATACGGAGGGGAGGAAAAGATGGAAAAAAAAGTGGGTCGCTCCGAGAGAAGGATTGAAAATTAAGACAAGGAAGACTTCCGAAGGATAGGAAAGGTACGAAGAACATGACGGGAGTAACAAGAGGAACAAATGAAGAGCGAGAATGTATACATAGAACATAGACACCGAAGAACAACCAAGTCCTAATTCGTACTATGTGTACGCACACGCAGAGACATACTATGCAGGCGCAGGCGCAGGCGCTGCAGAACGTGCAGACATTGCAGAACCAGCCGAACGACGAGGGACAGCTTGCACCTCGTCAGGCCCTGCAAGAGCCTCACCGACATTCATACCGCTCTGCGGAGCAGCGCCGTCACCGTTCAACGGCGTCCGTACAACAGCTCGGTCCGGTTCCACTGGCAACGCGAGTGGTGACTGCGTCGCAGGTGCATGATCGTGTATGGGCGATCCCGTTCGAGACCCACTCCCTGCTGTAGTAACGCCTACAACTAGCGTACCTGAATGTTGCGAATGCGACGACGTCCGCGTAATCTCCAACGAAGGCTCGCCATCACCATGCGGTACAGGCACCATAATCGGTTGGTTATGTGGGTAATACGACATTCGTCTCGGCTTCGTGTAGTCAAAGTTCGTGAACCTGAGCGAGCGTAATCAAGTATTGGTCAGATAGAGTTTTTAGCGTTACGAGAAAAGGGTTGGAGAAACGAAATAACGTACTGTTCTTCCAATTGTCGGTATTCAGGTGCCAATTTGTCCAAATCGAGATTCTGTTTCCGTTTCGTAGCCGTGAGTGGCTTTTCAACCATAAGAAATTCGTCAAGTTCGTGAGTGATGTCAAAGTTCGCTTTGCGCATCTATAACGTTTTGGTATCATTAGTTACCATTCTACCGCGGAACCGATAGAGCAGCGCGTAGTAAAACTCACGTCTGGAACGAAAGGGGGTTGTGCGTCCTTTTCTTCCAAAACTTCCCAGTTTAAGCTGGACAACCAAGGATGTGAACGAATGCCCTCAACGTTTTGCCCATCCGCACGACATCCGAGCCGCTTTTTCGGATTCCGCTCAATGAACTAAATGGTTAGATATTTAGAAACATGCGCTCATTTCGGACGTAGATAGGCGATGGGCCAAACGGACCTGCCTAAGTGCGCTGATCCCTTCTTCACTAATAATTTGCGGTGCCCGTTCGGGGAAGCGTAAATGGTCCTTCACAATCGCGGCAGTTAACGAGTCCGACGAACGTCCTTCAAATGGCCGGCGCCCAAAGATCAACTCATAAGCGCACACTCCAAGGGACCACCAGTCCGCCTGCCATGAATAGCCTTTTCTCCCACACACTTCTGGAGCCATATATGCAAGTGATCCTGCGACGGAACTATGCAGTCGCGTCGACGAGTAGTGAATGGCAACGTTAAAGTCTGTGATGTGTGCATGACCCATGATATCGAGTAATATGTTATCAGGCTTAATATCACTGAATGATGTGTGGGGAACCGTCAGCGATGGCATCAGACAAAAATACAAATGTGGACGCATAAGTCATACGTACCGATGAATTATTCGCTGTTTGTGCAGATATGACAGTGCACATGACAGTTCTGCTACCCAAAATCTGACGGCGGACTCTTCAATGTGTCCTTTCCGTTCAAGATGAACTGTACGAATTTTAAAGCTTAAACACGAGGCACAGAAGCGAACAACGCAGGGAACAAACGCACATCGCAGATCACCACCCAGCATGAGGTCCAGCGCAAAGAAACAGTTCGCATCATCCTGGAATGCATACCGCAAGTTCACAACAAACGGATGGTCAACCTGGAAAAAAGGGAGAATAATATTCGGCATTAGCGAAAAATGGAAGGGTGTGAGGAGAGGAGCTGGCACTAACTTCTTCAAGAAGCTGTCGCTCCTGAATAACGTTGGCAACAGCCTTCTGCTTGACGCACTGCGCCTTGTTGATATATTTGAGAGCAAAAAGTTTCTTTGTCCTCTTGTGCTCGACAACACGGACCTAAAGGGAGGTGAGGCCAAGTCGCAACGGCGGCTATGTAGTTCGGAAATACCTTGCCAAAAGCACCCTTGCCGATCGCTCTATGGAGCTCAAAGTGGAAGAGGTTTACATCGGCGTCAAAGTCGACAGGGTCGGGAAAGCAGCAGAAAATGCCTGTGCCCATGGAGGAGAGAAAAAGAGAGGGGAAAAGGAGGGATGGGACTCAATGGGAGGAAGGAGGGAGCGAGGAAACATAACAGACCATCCGATTTCTGCACTCCAGATTCGCGGCCGGAAACAGGCACACTTTCGCACGACTCGGCTACTGCAACATCCAAAACAGGGCACTCTTTGTTTTTCGACAGCCGGCCAGATGGCAACGTCCGTCCGCGAAACCTACTTCCTCAATTTCTCTCCAAGCTTCTCCACTTCCCCCCACCTTTTCACTCGTTCTGTTTTCAAATTTTGTAGAGAGTATTTTGGGTCAAATAAGAGCAGCAAGGATGTATCACGATGCATCCACGGTCCCTTGGCGCGCTAAGTTCTAACCATTAGGAATTCCATCACCTGATAAGTTTCCCCCTGCAAGACGCTTCCCATTTTCCAAACTCAATGCAGTTTCACATCCACGCTGCCGCCTCAAACAACGTTCGAGAAGACCCTCCGTGCCGAAAATAGAGCAGAACAATAGACCAGCGAACAACGCATTTGTCTTTTCGGAGCCTTCCGCAGCGTCTTCTTTCACCTTGTACACGGGAAGCAAACAGAGTACTACACTTGTCAAAAATCCATACTCCAACGAGTTTAGTCTGTCGGCACCATTTCATTTATCCCAATAAATCATTTCTTTGCCGCAACATCTACTGAACGTCAGAATTCACCCACCCTAATTCGGGAAAAAGATACTGCAAAGACATGAGTTTACAACAAAGTTAAATTTGTGAAGTGAGGCTGAATTAAATTGAATAAATGGCCAGCAACCTGAAATCTCGCGAGAGGAGAAAGAAGTTCTTATGTAAGATAAAAAATGTACAAGTGTTTAGACATTCAGATCTGCCTTGGAAAGCAGCCAAAAAGCATCTACGAACTTATGCTATGGTTCCGCCCGGTCTCGAACCGGGGACCTCCTGTGTGTGAGACAGACGTGATAACCACTACACCACGAAACCATCAATTGGATAAGCTGTGCAGTAACTTGTCGTAGATAGTAAGAGCATTAACGAATGGTCTTCATGATACAACAGCATCCGATACAAAACCGTAAGAAAAGAAGGGTATCTTCACCGCCTTACAACCTCACATAAAATATCTGTTTCCATATTATGAAAGCATACACACATGTTAAATTAATTGATACCATTTGTTCTCAGTCTTCCAATCTCCACTACATCCACTACCAAACTTCTATGTCTGTAGTACAAAACAGGGTATACAACATCCATGACTACATAAATATGAAGTGGAGAATCCGTGCGTGTCCCATTCATCTACACTACAAAAGAGGACATTTGTATGACAAGTAACAATAACAAACGAAGTGGTGCTTGCTCGAAAAATGACGTTGATTCATTTATTTGATTGAGTGCGAGATTATAATCCTTGATTTGGGGAAAAGAAAGATACAGAAAGAAAAAGAAGAAAAGAGGGTCCAGTTGTCGAGCACATAAATATTACACAGCAGTAGGGTGGTCTTCGTCAGGTCGGAAGCGTAGACGAGCAAGGAGTACCGTATCCCATTGTTGCCCCGCCGAAACCTCCGACACCTTATTAGCTGAGGCATGTTTCCCTGGGACTTCTTCATGATACGACGGACCACCCGCCAAGTCTGACGGCAACGAATCGAGGTCTATAGAGAACGCGCCCCACTTCTGACCATTTCGTGGTGAAGCGAAGACGTTGAAGTGAACTTGGCCGTCCGGATTATTATGATTTACAAATAGTCCATAGTCAGGGGTATCCAATGTTCCAATGACTAAACAGATACTGTTTAGAATTACACAGGATACGTGAGTCACTCTCAGTCCTCACCTAAGAATACATCCTCTTTCTGGAGGCGATGATCCGTAGCATACAACGACAGGATCCGATCCACATTCGCCTCAAACCAAACCTTCGGAGCGGTCAAATCAGCGATGTACCGATACATTGTTTGTTCAGCGTATATGTATGCGCTCTTGTGACCAGCGCGGATGGGAAAGGAAACTCGGCGGCTAACGTTTCGTCTATCGCAAAAATTAAATACGTTGGCCACACAAACGAGAAGGACGAACTCACTGATAATCTCCCGACGTTCGGCTGCGGAACCACAGCAAACCCTGTATGATATCTAAACCACGTTGGGCCATGTTCCGCCTGTCCTGACGTTGACTTCCTTTCTCTACCTTTCCGTAACCATAAAGGTTGGACATGCCGTCCGCTCGCCCACCTGACGTTCTCGGTGGGTCAAAGGCGTTGAAAAGCGTAACGAATTTCCCTTGCGGACGCTTTAAATAACCCACAGCGCCCAGTTCCACAGGAGCAGGCTCCCACAATGCTAAAATCACTGCAGATGGATTTATCAGATACAAACATTGACAAGCGGAGTTACGCATAGTACTTACAAGATGGATGGAATTTGTGTTGCAGACAGAGCCTGTACCTACTCTCATTCTTGCGTTGTGCAATGCCTTCATCTGCAGGCGGTGGTGACTCGACACGCTCTAATTCTATTCCAGGACCATCGGCAGAATGATCCGTAGCTGTGTTCGTCGACGTAGTTCGCGACGAGGATGTCGACTCATCATGAATGGCGGCTGCGCTCTCCGATTTGCTCCGCGGACGCATCTCCCTCTCAGGTAATCCCTCTGATGAAGGCGGCCCGCTCTCTGGTAGCCTGATTGGTCTATACTCGACCGGAGAAGCGCCTTTGCTGTCAAACCCCTTGTCCTCTTCACGGATAGGGGTAATTATCCGTTGTATTGGGATTGCTTGAGGAGAAAGTGTATGAGCCCCGTTAGTCAAGGTCGAAGGCCCTGGACTGGAGCGAGCAGAACCACTTCCTTCTACTGGAGGGTCGTCGTCCACTAATACCAGGTATAGATCCATGAGCGAGCTTAGCCTCCGATAATTAATAAAAATACGTACTGTCTGGCAATGCCACCGGTCTCATATCAGGGGACTGTTTCCGCCTGGAGTCATCTTCGATTAGCTTGGCTTTCCCTCCCATAGCCGGTGAATCTGAGTATTTGCTTAGACCTAGCTTCTTAAGTTCGCGAACGACCTTTTGGAATGTTGGTCTACTAGATGGGTCCCGCTGCCAGCACATATCAATAATGGCTAGAATGCTCTTAGATGCGTTGGTAGATGTGATAGGTGGTCGCTTGTTCTCTTCTATATGGCATTATATGGAAGTTAGCTAAGGTAGCAGGAAGGTTGAGTCAGACGTACCGATCACAAGATGTCTATATGTATCATCGTCTACCACACCCCACGGCAAAGCACCATGGCCGAAGACCTCGACACAGACAATTGCAAATGCATATACATCAACTTGATATGTGAGCTTGCCAGACGAAGTTCCGTCAACTATCTCCGGTGCCCGCCAACGCAGAGTCCCACCTATAATTTGCGGTAAGATCACGCACTATCTGCTGTATCGGGCACTTACGTGGAGGATGATTCCCGCTCAAACGAAAGGCCTCACTCTTCATCTCGCTCTGGCCGAAATCTGTCAAGACGCAATGCCCATTGTCGTCAATGAGGACATTCGTTCCCTGAAAGCCGAATGATTAGGAAAGGTTTTGTATTTCACTATACTGGATTTTACTTTACCTTTAGGTCCCCATGCATCACTCCTCGTCGATGAAGATACGCCATGCCCTTTGCAATCTCGTATACCGCTCTCCGCTCAAATACACTATCTATCAGCTTCTTAGAAGAGCGCATATAGTCGACGAGATTTCCATTTTTCATGAACGGGCTAACAAGAAACCATGGCGGGTCACCTGTTGCGGAGCTCGCACCGAGTAGAGGAAGCACGTTTTGATGCTTGAGGTTCTTCCAGACAATCATCTCGTGGATGAACAACCTCTGTGGTGTCGCCAGTGTGAGCACCTTCACCGCAACTGTCTGGTTCCTCCAACGAGCGCGGTATACATCTGAAAAGTAGCCAATACCGATCTTTGCTTCCATATCGACTTCATAACTAAACAAAGATTTAGCATATGGGCCTGGACAGTGTCAGAGATTTTTACCGAGTAATTGTCCAATTAGGAATATTGATATCCTGTCCGCGACTAAGCCGACGTAATGCATCGAGTCCAGTTTCTATGAATTCACGATCAAGCGTGTCCCTGTCGGCCCTAGCTGATCGTCTGCTTCCTTTCGCATCCCGCTTTGAGCCTTTGCTCTTCTTGCTTGCCCTTGTGGTGACACTGTCCATAGTTAAACGTCTCCGTAACCCCGTAAGGCCGAGTGCACCGGAGCCGGGTCTACCTCCAGTGTCCGCGTTGGCTTCCGGAGGTTCTTCCGCTGTTTCCGCTTCTACACTCTCCCTAGACTCGACTTCCTCCTCCTTCTCCCGCTCCTGCTCAAGAGCTCGCTGAAGTGTCTTCATTGCTTCAGCAATGTCATCACGATTAATCTGCAACACACGTAGCATTTCCACGTCACTCGATGTAGCAAGTGCGTCACGCATGAGTGCACGTAGGTCCGCCAGATCGAGCGCGTGGTCCTGTGCGTTCTGCTCCGTTACAATCTCGCCTAATTGTTTGCGGATCTCTTCGGGACTGGGTGGCGCGTGGAGCGTGACCTGCGACGCGTCTATCTTTAGGACTTGCGAGTCAGGAGTTGGTGGAGGTGACTGGGCGCCTTCGGATGCTGCAGCACTGGAACTGGTAGTAGAGGACGTCTTCGACTCGGAAGTATCTTCGGAAGTTTCTGTACCTTTTGAGCTTGTGGTAATGTATGGAGGTGGTGGTGGTTCTTGAGGGAGGTCAACGGGCTTCTGCTTTGGCGTCGTGTCAGGATCAACTTTCGATGGCGGCGGCGTAAGCGACGCAATGAGCCTCTCGGTATCAGCCTTTCGTTGTGCTTCCGCCGCTTGCAACTGGCGCAGTGTCCGTATTTGAATAGACACCTACTCCCAATGTCAGTCGACTTGAGTCTCTAGAGAGCGAGCAAACTATTACACACTGAAAACAGACTAAGAGCATCACTTAATGCAGCGTCGCAGCCGTTGATGCTGCGTAAAATATCGTCTCGCTTCAAATACCGTTTGAGGAAAGGCCTATGAACCTGCTTTTGGAGCAGAATATGCACAGATTTGAATGACCTGCAAAAGAAATTTGAGCCATAAAAGTATCATGCCCAGGAGAAGATATTAGGTCTTACTCGACGAGTTTCTGCATTGGGATCATCAACTCTTCGCCCACTTGATCACCAGCTTCGTATATCTCCTCACGAATAGACAACAGGATGTCAGCGCATCGTTCTGTAAGCCGCAAGCAGGCAAGCCTATTTGTCTAAAATAACTGAGGAAAGTAAGAGCATAGATTAAGTATTATACTTACCTCCACGAGCTGCAGAGCATCCCAAATGGTCAACAATACACGAGCCGCCTCCTCTAGGCCAGGAATAGGCGCGAAACGGAGGACATCGGCGCTTATTTCTAGCAAATCATGAGTTGCCTCTACACTATATCCAAGTGTGCTCCTGATCGCATAGGACACTCTCTACTGGTGTGTTAGCGAGAAAGGACGTGAATGTATACGAGTTAGCGTCCGTACCTTCTTGACCCGTGTCCATCGTTCTGACTGCTCAGGCGGCACACTAGCCCTCCTCTTTAGCTCTGCTTTCTCTCGCCACGGCCTCGCAGCATCGCGCGAGCCCCACCAGCCTGTCGGTTCGTAAGGAGATGCAACAACAGAACCTTCTGGTTCTGCCACCGCATTGAGCTGCGCATGCGTTGGGAAGTCAGCCATAGCAGAGGCAGAGGGAAACTGGCCACGAGGGGCCCAGCGTTCAAGATGCTCCTCCTGTTCCTCCCTGGATTCATGTTCGTCCTCTCCGTCCGACATTGTGCAGACCAAGTTCAGGAGATGAATTTATGAAATAGTTGTGGTAGTGGATAATCGCAGAGATCGAGATCCGGGCAGACTGAGGTAATATATACGCGGCAGAAAGGAACACGTCAAGCTGTGAAGAACAATAAGCGAGACGGATATAGAGGCGGATTGGAACTGGAGGCCGGGGATGGGTAGGTCAATGAGTTGGCCAGAGCGAGTCGCATGTGGAAATGGAAGTCAGTGGAGTCTGGATGTCTCCGGAATGGATATGGTGGTGCTAATGTACACCGATTCCAGAAGGCGAGAAATGTAGAGAATGGTCAGAAGGAGAGAGGAGAGTAGTGCGTGGAATGGCACAGGCAAAATGTGGGTACGTAGTTGTACTGGCCTGGTCGTTTCGGCGACGCGTCTAATTAACCGGTGGCAGTGTTACTACCGCGCCCGATGACTCCAAGCCCCTCGGCTCATTCACTCAATCGTCTACATATGGCGAAAGAAAACAAATCAATGCACAGCCAACCCCTGCAAAGGCAGTTACTGAGCATTGTCTTTGACTACGCATAGTATTTTTCCCGGCTTGACCTCAATACTGTACATACATTCAATTTGAATCCGCTCCGAGAGAGCAAATTGAATCCTGCATTCCTCGGGACAAAATCTGAGCCCAGATCTCTCCTCTGATGGATTCCACGTCACCACCATACAACGCCCTTCATCAATCGCCGCCCAGTGCGAATAACCTTCGCGCTCATCACGCTTCCGTCGTGCCCAAAATCCGCGCCGACGTCAACCTCACCAGATGGATGTCTGATCCTAACAAGATCTGTCGTATCTGTTTCATCTCCCCTTCTTGCTTTCTGGCCGATCGTCCCTCTGTCAGCATTGGCAAGCAGCTGCCACGGCAAACTACCTTCTATGCGCGCAGTGACTCCGAGGCAAAGACCAACTGTCATGGGGATCGCCTTATGCAAGACTCCCATAGAATACGCGTGAGCCATTATGCAAGGATATCCCGCCTGCGACGACGTCGAGTCAACCACTGCGATCTTAGGTTGAGCCTTCGCCGCTGCGTCAAGGCCCATAGCCTGCGCACCGCTCTGTCGGATGGCTTCAACGAACCCTTCCACAAGCGAGTCTGTATAATTTAATCCTTTACCATTAGGACGCAAGATTCGCATCAGGTCCTCGGATTTGATAAATACGGAAGGATTCGTTGCGTCTACCAATGATGCCTGTATAGAGTAGTTATTCCCAGACTGGGAGAATGTGAGCGTGTCCACGGGATTGCCGGAAGGGAGCAATTTCCCCGTCCGTGCACCTGCTGGGGAGACAAAATGGAGGTCAATACGTGACGCCATGCCAGGTACGCCAGCCATAGTGACCTGAGGAAGATCCAGAACTGGTGTACGCCCATCCATAGTACTACTAGAAATAGGAAAGCTCGTATCAACCTGTTTCCTGGTATTCGTATTATACGCATGAACGACACCAATATTTGGCGTCTCCGTTGCCACGCGAGGCACACAAAGTCCCTCGTCGACGGCGAAAACGCCGATCATACTCGAGAGGTTCCCGCAGTTGCCAGAATAGTCCAATGTATCATCACGTATGCCAACCTGGCAAAATGTATACTCGACGTCAATATCCTGGGAGCGCAGCTCGTCTGATGGTGGACCGACGACACAGATTTTGGAAAGACTCGAGACGCCGCCACCCATACCGTTCAGCTGTCGGCCATGATCGGGGTCGGGTGAACCCATAATGCCGAGAAATATCGGCGTCCAATCAGCTTGGTGACTTGGAAGATGATCGCGCCTGAGATATATGCCCTTGGAAGTTCCGCCACGTAGAAACGTAGCTGGCAGAGGATTTGAAATCCTACCGTTGGTGCTCATGAATCGTGAATTTGCGATCGCGCCTTGATGTGCACGCAACAATCGCAGGATGCTCTTGTGGAAATAAGTATTCATACGAAAGTCACAGTCACAGGGAAACTTGATCCAAGAAGGTGTTGCCCAGTTATCAAGGCCTTTGTCAACTTTATAAGAAAGTTTATTTTGCAGACTGCTTGTTTGTAGTGCGATGATAAGCAAACGCACGTGGCTGGCACAGCCACGTGAAGTCTAAAATTGTGACCGCTAATCATCACTAAATTCAAATTATTCAAGTTCAAATGCGTCAAAATCTTAGATTGGATTCATCCGTCCCATGTACGACTCAAAGCATTATAGGTGTAATTCATTGCATTTTCCCTTTATTTACTTTTGTAGAGACCAACTACGCCCTTGCGAATGATGCAGCTGTAAGGAATGAAAATAATGTGTAATTATGGCACAATAATTTATAAAAATACATTTATCTGCTAACAACGTAATTGCTATCATGACAAGAAAGGGTGAATTTATACGATTTTCTATGTCCTATTCCACTTAACTGTCTGTACAACTGTCCGGCCCCTCGCTGAATGCCAATCTTGACATGAGTATAGCATACATTGGCAATGGTTCATACAGGTATGAAACTTTAGAAACGATATTGTCCGGGTCCTTCCTTTCCTCTTCGGTTGTGCTAAACTGTCCCCAGAAAGTAGGTTTATCGCTTTCGCGTCGATGAGCCCTCCTTCTGCCAAATAGAGGAAACCCGAAACTATTTGGCTCGTCATACTCATAAAACTTTATCTGTGAAATTGAATTTAGAATATGGAAAGAAAATTAGGTAAAAAAAACTAGCAATGTTCTGCATATATAAGAAGGAAACTTACATCGGTTTCTGGTCTCTTATGAGTGACCATCAGGGCCCATTTTCTTGTTTTGATCATTCCAGTTACTTTGCAAATGTATGCTCATTTAAAACTATTCTGCAAGTGATCGTAACGTAGCGATGCGCACCTAAGATTAGTTCTTTTCGTCCCCTCCCGAAAGCTTGTTCAATATCCTGGATGTATTTATTAAACCAAGCCTTTGCTTTACTAATATCGCGCTTGTCTAGGTGTTTAAACTGAAATTTTTCGGTGTCAAAGACAAGGAATGCTCTTTCTGGATCATTTTTGTGTCCCAAATAATGTTCAGATTTGACTGTCTTCTGACCTTCATAGGCTTTCTTGGATCCCCTTACATGGAATCTCTTACCAAATCGACATAAATGGGATGTTTTTGTCGTGGCGAGAGAATGTTTGCTATCTGAGCGAAGCCTCATCCGCAATTGCCTGGAGTCATCTAATTGGGTAGCGCGCAGTGGTATGACCGACCGAAGTCCATCAATACTCGTTGGATCATATGAATTGAAAAGTTTCTTGAATTCCCCATGGTCGGTTACAAAGCCAACGTCACCAATATCGGCGGATGACGGCGTCCAAAGAGGCAATCGCACTGAGCAAGGGTAAATATGTCTTCGATATGTATAATTGCAACGCTAGCGCTTAACTTACTTTCGTTACTGAAAAAGTGGAACAGTTGATTTTTGTAGACGTCTGCGTGCCTCTTGACGCTGTCCACATTGGTATCATCTATGTCGGAATCAATAGTACTCATCTGTTTAACTCGAGTATCCTTCTTGTGCAACTTTTGTCGTTCTTTCGGCTTAGGTGTTGACGACGACTCTACCGTCCCTATTCGATGGAATGACTTAGTGATTATCAAAACGCGAATCTCATGATTTTACCTAGCTGTCCTGACCCCCTCTGATCCAATGTATATAGTACTCGTTTGCAAAAATCAATACGTCCAGGGATACCCTCAACCAATTCGAACTCTTCTACCTCGTCTAATCTATGCCTTCGATTATTTCTCCTTTTCTCCTTTAGTTTCTTCCTGTCTTCCTCGGCTTTGCGAATTTCTTCTTCGATTTGTTGACGTGCACCCTGCACGCCATTCTCATACACAAGCATCTCCACTCCAGCATTCATGTGATCTACTTTACTCTCTATTCGTTGCAGGTATTGCAATTGATTCTTTTGCCTTGCAACAGCGTCTCTGTCCCTCTCTGCCGTCTCCCTTGCCAATTCCTCCAATCTTGTCTCAAAACTTCTTCGGAGTTCCAATGCATATGACTTAAGATTTGATTCCACGTCCACTGTGTATGCTGGCAACTCTTGCGGTCTTCTTCGTTGGTCCAAGTCAGCTATTCGTTCCAAAACCTGTTGCATATCATCTTTCAAACTTTTTACCACCTGTCTTAAGACCACTGTGTCCATAGAGATGTTGAGTGTCAATATTGCCTGTCACAAAAAAAAGTGATAATTCCATCAGACGCTGTGCCTCCAGGCTTGTACCTCTTTTACACTTACGTTAAACGTCGAGAGAGATGCAGCTAGTTTCGTCTCGTTGGGCTTAATTTCTTCCTCTAGAATCTGCTTTCTTTTTATGAACTGTGTAATCCAATTCACTCCCTTGTGATGAGCTGCTGTTTGATATACCTCATAACAGGTTCTAAACGGATTACTAAGCTAATGGTAGTAGACAAGGAAAGCCATACGTTGCTCACTCAGCATGGGCCGTAACGGCTTGCAACACAGCCTGGCATTGGTCATCTGTTAATTGCTGATCGTTACGAATTGCCTTAAACGTATCGTAGATTCGACGGTGCTGGTTCGCAGCACCCTCGTACAAGTCCATCACTCGAGCTCGATTAAGCTGCATACAACGACATAGTGAGAAATGATTCATTTTGAGATACAAGGATACGAACGTACTCGAACGTACGTCAGAGCGTCAGAGATGTAGTAAAGCATAAGTGAACCGGGAGCGAGGGCTGCCAACGGCCCTTGGAAAATTCTTCCGACCTGACCGCCGAATTGCAAAGTATCTTCAAGTACAGGCTGAAGTATTTGCCTAATCTGCACCAGCCGTTCTTTGATTTTCTGATAAAAAGAAATTTACACGAAAGCATCCGCTTACCGACCAAAATACTTACCTGATTTCGTCGTTCGTGCTTAGCATTCCTCTTCCGCTTCGCTAGCTTGTGCGCATTCGCAGCTCCGTGAACTATTGCCTCCGCGCTATCACCACTATCGTGCTCAGATATTGAACCTACACTGCTAATGGCTGAATCTATTTCCATATCCCCGAGTGAATCTGACGATTCTTCTTCGTCGAGCTCATCTGCGACATCAGTAGCATGTCTAACTATATCTGAACGTTGGCTTGGAGTCCGTTTGGGCGGCCGGCTTTCTGAGTGAGGTTTCGTGTTTTCTACTAAAGTCAGTGTCACCGGGACGCCTCCAGGCTCCTTATCTGACCCCTCATCCGACGCGTCTGATTGGAGCATCATTCCACCCGCTACCTGTGAAAATGGTCTAGTGTGTTCCTGCTGCATAGATGGCTTGGGATTTGCAGACGACGACAGTGATGATGACGTTGAAGCTGAGTGAGTGTGGGTGTGTGTTGTGCGGTGTTTCCGATGTGTTTTCATCGGTTGTCGTGGCTGGTTCTCAGGCTCCAGCGTGCTCCTCGGCGTGGGTTTCGGGGTGTTTTGGATGCTAGATGGTAGATGCTCTGGGCTTGGTGGTGTCGCTTTACTGGTCGATCTTAGGTGTCTCCTGTGATATGTTACGTCGTGCCTTTTGCTGCGAGGATGAATTGTCGTATCTGGACTTGATGATCCTTCTTCCTGCTGATACCCTGAATTATCGACATCAGAACCTGACCCACCACAATTATTGGACATGTATTTTCCATTTCCAGGTCTCTCGCGCCCTCCCGCGTATAAATATAGACCCGTATCTGCGGAAGACTGAGCTGAACTCTCATCTGCAGCGTCTTGTGCTGCTGGATTTTTTTCATCTGGTCTCAAGCGGTCCCTACTCTTTCTCTTCCTAACCACATGCCTAGATGTCGGTGAATTGGACGCGCTGGTTTGAGCCCTTTTCCCATTGGGACTTGCTCCTGAACCATCCTGACCTACCTGATGTCTTCCCCAGTCCCCAGTACGAACACGAGCACGATGCTGCTTCTTCCCCCGATCCTCTTCAGAAGCCATTGGATCGGCACGAGTCAAAGAGCACTACGCGTAGAAGGACAAACAACGCGTCTTTGCTTTTTGGCTGAGATTGGCCGGGGAGCAATCGCCCACTTATATCTGCCCTTCATCTTCGCTAGAAGCACCCCACACCTGCACTTTGCAATGTGGGGTCCGAGCAAAGGGCCATTTCGAGCAAGTCCGATCATAACAAGCTAGAAGTCCAAGTACGATGCGTTTGGTAACTTGGACAAAGCCCGTCTCCATCTTTTCCACTATTAAAAGGTACGCAGGTTGGGTGAGGGCGCCAAACGCGAACGAAGATAGGCCATTCTATTTTCTTGACATGACTGTTGAACATTTGCCGGTGGACTTATTGAAAGGGCGAGCATAGGAGGGTCTAGAACGGGCGGCCAATGGACGCACCTCTCTCTCTCCAACTCACGGCTTTTGCCGCTCCGCGGCAACTACCAGTGGCGTAACGCAACGCTAACTCTTGGGAGATCAATAACACGGTGTGGCGTCGCTGTTCATCATCCGGATTTGTTTAAGCTAAAATCGCCGCATCAATTTCTTTAAGCAATGTTATGTGATATGGCATAAGCTATTTAGTATTTTCTCAGAGACAGAATGGGGCAAGTGAAGCTGACCTAGTGAACGTAATAATTACACAGACAAAATGCAAGCGATCATCCTCACTTTCACCAGAGTGGATGCACGACTGGTACATCCTGATACCAAAAGCCAGATGCATGTGCCTTCACGAGGTTTGCCGCACCCTGCCAGAAACTCCAATGTTCCTTCTACCTCCAAAAGGTAAGAATAACACCAACAGAAGATGATAATGTCTCTGCCATCGGCACTTTCTGTGCAACATCACAAGTAAACAAGTCGCAATTGGGATTAGCCACATCCACATTGTTGAGTGCAATTTCTAGGGTAATATACCCGTCTTCGGCCCATGGCAAAGCAAAATGCAAGACACGAAACTTTGTCGCAGCTGCGACCGATAGAGGGTGATTAGGACGGCTCAGCACACCCAGTACTCTTTAATGAAGGCTAACGTAAGTACACCTGACTGGTAGCACAGAGTATGGTCCAGACGACCGCTTAAATGCTTGGAAAACAAGTCCCTCTGTTCGACCACACAAGCTTCTCAGTATGTTTACCACTAGTCTCAATATCGTGATACACTCACAGAGTAAGTCTCTCGCTTAGGAGTGTGGCCAAGGATTTTTGCACTGCGACATTTCTAGTGGGCTTTGCGGCTTTGACAAGGCCATAGTGCTCCACGCCCCGAGAGAAAGATGTTCTTAATTAAGAGAATATAGCACGCTATAGGGCCAGACGACAAGCACAATTAGTGACAGTGATATTCCTTCAAAAGTTATATAATGCAAAACTTTGAATCTGAGCTGTGTAGGACTGATACCACTTGGAGAGGGTGCCATTCGTCGAGTCTCGTCTGAGCGTGTTTATTCAAGGTTCCCCGCCTTGGTAATGCGATAATACAGTCCTAACCCGCACTGTCAGCTGAACAAGCTATTTGACCATGTCTCGGGCACTCACAGACTACTTCTTGCCGCCTCCGGAGCCAAAGAAACTGGCCAGGCTTTTCTGAGAGCCATTTTGTTGGCGGCTTTTTGCCATGGATTGCTTTGACGACGCTTTCTTGCCTACTGTTTCTTTTGACACCGTAGGACCTTGGCCCTTTCCGGAGATTTTGCTGTCAGCGTTGACCGATGCGCTTTCCCCTTTTGTGGTCGCCTCTTTCTTTGAGGCCGTTGACTTGGATTTTGGCTGCGGTTTCTGCGCATCTACTGCTTCTTCTTCGTCTTCCTCGACAGACTCGTAGGAAGAGTAATCCACAGTGACTAGTGAACGGACTTCAGTGCATAGTTTATCAAACGAAACTCCTATGCATACCCATGTAGCCCTTCTCATCGAAGTCTGTTTTGCTTTTCACAACACGCTTCTTCTTCAGTCCGTTTCTACCAATCGGTACGGCTTTCTTTTGTTTTCGCTTACGTGGTTTTACCTTCGGAGCAGGGTCATCGGAATCTTCATCCATCGCTGAATCGACATGGTCTGTGGTAGGAGGTTCTTCCTCCGCGCCTTGCTCTGGAGGCTTGGAACGCGCTGGTTTTGATGCTTTTATGACGTCCGCTTAATTGCAGAGGGTCTAAGTCTCGTTTGGGGTTCGAGTTTGATGACATACAGAAACGTACCATCGTCGATGTCCATCATTGCACGCACACTTCGGTCAGTGTCAGAGTCGCCTGAAGCTCGTGCCTTTCCTTTAGTACTACTTTTGCTTTTGATTACTGCTTGGTCCTCCACTTCGTCGTCCGATAGGATTACGCCTTTCTTTACACGTGCTGTTGTGTATGCATCGTCGTTGCCGTCCGCCTTGGTCGATTCTCCTTGCTCGTTAGTTGCTAATTTCGTGTAATTTTGCTCTTTCGGTACACCTTCATCCGGATGCTGCCGCAGTACGGATACAGCGTCTGACTTCCTTTTTGTTCCTCTCTATCGGATCAGATACTATCTCAGTTACAAAAGATTGATATTAGCATAAATATACTCGCACCTTCTGTGAATTTTCGGTACCGATGCTCTTTTGCGACTCATCTGATGTAACTGCTGTCTTCGGCGCGGGCTGTTCCTTAGCAGTCTCCTTCGTCTTCGCCTTAGACCAATTTAGCTTGCCCGAAGTCTTGGGTTTGTCTTGCTTTACATGAGAAGCTTGACGGTCGAGTGCCTTCTCCACACGTGGTGGGTCTGCTTCTGGTTTAGGCTTTGCCGTAAACGATGTTGACGCTTGCGATTTTAATGAGCCTTTGTTTGACTTTTCTGCTTTCGTGCCACGCTTGAAACATGAGATTTTGTTATCCCCGATAAAAAGTAGATAGACAAAGACAAATACCTTAACTTGCTGACTGATTATTTTGCCCACAGTTCGTCCCAAATCATCTCCGCCATTCCTGTCCATCTCACGTACCTCTCTCAAAGGCACGCGAAACTCCGATGCATTCTGACAATATGAGTCTCAAGACGGACGAGGAGAGCGAAATATGAATGCATACCAGCAGGGAAACAGATGAGACTGAATACATGTGAAGAGCATGAATTTTGCTGAATGCCATTTTCGATGCTATATGTGAGAGAGAGAGAGAGAGAGGGATAAGCCATGGACGGATAAGGCACGTCTTTCAAAGCACGTACATTCGAGGTCCCCCTCATCAACAATTATGATTTTACATAACGAGAAGTCATGTCTAGCGTCATCGTCCACATCCATATCATTTCCATCACCGTTCATCGAGGTACGTCGAGGTTCTCCAGACACCCAGTATGTCGCGTATACGGGCTCACCAAGTGCACGCTTATGTGCGTAAAAAGATGAAAGCAAGCTGGAGGAGGATAAGACAACACGAAACGTCTATGGATACGCGTACAAACGACCAACTTTTTCGCAGTATTGACGTGTTCTGAAAGTTTGCGACTTAGCAGTCTGTACGTGACCTGCACGCGATACACGACCTATCAGACACATGGTCGAGCTTCACTGTCTAATCCCATACTCACAGGACCCTTTCCGTTAGCAAGCTCTTCTTCAATGAGCTCAAAGGACGCTTCGGTCTTCATTGTAGCTAGATGGCTGCGGCTAAGCAGTAACATGGCACAGGACACGCGACGCGTCTGAAAGCGAGACGCGTTCAATCGTATTCCCACGGTATATTCCTTCCCTCCTGCCGTAATCTATTAAATACTCGCGTACATGGCGCACAGGATCTCTAATACCGAGGTCAAATCCAGGAATGACAAAATATTTGCGTCTCTCACGAAGAGGCTCGAGTCTGAAGACGAGGTGACGTTTGTCGATGCCGCAAACAAACTGATGTCGTTCGTGTCGAAGCCTCAAGCATACTACGCCGAAGCACGTCCACTGGCGCGTACTCTACTTGCATATCTCATTTATCACTCGTAATAATTCGTGCCCTTGTTATCAGATTCTCGCCATGTGCAAGGTGCGAATACTTTATCAGACTCAGTCCACTCAGGTTCGAGTTAACAGTTCTCCTTTCTAGATTGCAAGAGCAACTCTTGCCCGACTGGTGAAATCCGATGCTCCGTTCCGATGCAACCCATACTATCCACCGGACTTGATCGCTCGCATAGCCGCCTATGCCAACTTAGTGCATACAATTTCTCGTCATGCCAGATACTTCGAGAAGGACCGTATACCAAAAGGTGACTGACACATGTTAAACCTATTACAACGAAACGAGCTTAACGATTCAGAAGAGCTTAACGACCTCTTATCCTCTGTGGAGATTTCAATGCCTGAACCAATTGGTATGGGTATAGAAATACCAGATATCGAAATGGGAAATATCTCTCCTATGTATACAAGCATTCTTCATGTCAAAACGTCGGCTCGGCTGAATAAAATCGTCAGGTCTCCCTTTAATTCGGTCCGCGGATCCACAACGCCCAAACCAACGGACAGTATTCGCGCCGACAAGTCATCATTGGAACATCGTAAGGAGGACGAAAACCCACCCGCAAGTGGCGTGACTACGTATTCAGACGTTGACAAAGGCGACAATCAACAACTACAAAATACCGTTGAAGGGAAGCAGCCTCGAACAAAGCCGCTTCCTATTCCTATAACTTCTTCAGCACCTACAATTGACATACCTTTACATGCTTCTTCCTCATCTACTCTTCCTACACCTACGTTTCCTGGTCCCAGATCCAACTATTCCGACGAAAAAGTTAATATTGACAGCATTACACCCAACTCGCCCTCTGCAACTCCTCAAAAAGACACTGCAGACAATTCTTCGAACGACGACACGAGTATTCCAAAGGACTTATCCTCGCCTTTAGAAGAATTGACGCGACGCCATACCGAACCACCGAGTATCACTCTCGGGCCATCTACAGAATTTCAGCCAGCCAGTCTTACCCCCAGTTCGTCCTTTATTAGAAAGACATACTATGTACTGTTACTAATGTACCTTCATACAGGCGAAATAAAACAGATAAATGAACTCAATGGCCTCCTACACGGTAGAGCAGTAGGAAACACCTTAAATAACATATCCCATCCAGCAAGCGTCACCTTCGGATGCATCGAACCCGGAAAACAAGCCGGAGAAATTGTTATCTTACGCTGCAGACTAACATCGGACCAGAAGCACTTGCTCTCACTCTGGCAGGCACGGGATCGCCTTGAGGGGTAAGCATGCGATACATAAAAAGTGACACCTTTGATAAATAACAATATTTAATTCCTTTAGGGACTTAGCTACCAGCTTGTGCCTCTCTTTAGCATGCTATAGGTATCCCAACTCATTCCAGGCTAATTTCCGGCCCGCGAACGAGGCCAACCCACTAAATTCATCGATTTTATTGGGATTACCTGTATCATGGCCAACAAATGCAAGACTTTCTGCGGATATTGGAACATCCAGGATATTCCTCGCACCTCCTCTCCAGGTTCGTCATCTTCATGATATCGTATATTACGAGTCAATTGAATAAGGTACGGCCTCTGTATAGCCATCCGCAGAAAATCTTGTCGATATCTCGCCATTTGTGAACACAAATCCCGTTGAGGTCCGACTTGATCATGCAGCTGATATGAAGGAATATGTTTTCGCCTTGATCTCACACCCTCCAACGCCGTCGCAGCTGTGGGAATTGGAAGAACAGCGGACTCAGACGAGAAGTTTCCATGCAGTTATTGACGGGTTACGAATAACAGCTGCAGATGTATTTGGCTGATACTGCGGGAGGAGTGTGCCTAATTTTATTTCTTTGCTAACGTTTCGTCTCTCTTTGTTGCCATATTGCTGTGTTAAACAGCGTAAAATTGCCCAAGAGATGTAAAATCGTGTGTATATATGTAGATACAATGTGTATGATACCTTAATTGTCCATGGCGGAAGTCGTTAAAAGGCACTATTATGCCTCGAAGAGTGAGAGCCAGTCTCGTTCCGCATTCCCCTTGTCAGCGTGAGCAACAAATTCTCAATTCTCGCTTGTCGGTCCTAGACACACAAGTTATTACCACAATTAAGAGAGGGAAAGGTACAGAAGAATGGACAGACCTGCAATTCCTTCATTTCATCCTTGAGTCGATGCACCGGGAGGTCGCGGATCCCCTCAAGCATATTCTCAATTCTCCGAACACCCGCAAGCGCCTCTTCCGAAATTGGTGACGCAGGACCCATTGTGTTCTCTGACAGGGACGTTACGATACGTGGGGCGCCAAATAATCGTGCTAAAGGGCTCGGCGTCCTCAAGTTCGATAGTCCAGGAACGAGTCCACCTGTCTGTCGACTATCTGCTGGCACGCCCTCCTTAGGCCCACGACGGGGCGAACGAGGTGCGCCAGGGGATGGTAAGTGATCCGGTGTTCCTGTAGTGCTTGCGCTTTGTGCCCGACGTCGCGATGGCGTGCGTGTCCCTTGTCGTTTGCGGAAGTTCTCCCGCGACGCTAGCGAGCGCAACGCCGGTTCATCATCGTCTTCACTGAAATCTTCGAAAAGCGCAAACTCTTGTTCCTCGGAAATATCGACGTCGAATATTGCGTCGTACAGCGTGTGAGCGCGCACGCCGACTATGGCTTCGACAATGGGCATGTTCTTCAGATTCCGCGGAAGTGAGTTGTAGATATGCTGCGCCTTATCTTTCCCTACTGCAAATAAGCTGTCTTCAGACTCGAAATACCGTTCGTACAGTCCGATGACGACCAGAACTGGGAACGACTAGGAAGACGACTTAGTAGGAAATAATTTTCTGAAGACGACGGAACTAACAGTCAAGCGAATTAAAAGTACGTTCGCAGTATGTAAGGACCTCGGGGACAACACCCAGCTCAAAGGCAACAATGAAACGTAGGCTAGGAGATTGAACGGAGGCTGATAGCTGAAGAGAGCATCAAGCTTTACCCTGCAACGCTATGAGTCAGCATCCTGACAGTGCCTACGCCTAGGAAAGCATCACTTACCCCTCTATAGTGCTGATGGTGAATTGGAAAAGGTACTATCATCTCGTGAGCCAAAATTATAATCAGTGAAGCCAGACATGCAACATACCTCCTGACTGGCATTCTGTGTCGTCCATTAGCAACACTGGAATTTCAGAAACAGATTGGACTTGCCTGATCAATTCGAGCAAAAGTATTTGAAAGTATAGAAATCAAGACTATGAAACAATGGCTGAGCACACTCGGCAAGGACTTCTCAGTTGCTACGCACTTGTTAGCAACAAAGTGTTTGACAATGCCGCAAACATTGTCATCAAGATCGGTCCAAACACTTTATGAAAAGCTTCTGCCTGTGAGAAACTTAGATACGTGTTACCAAACCAAATCTCGATCATTAGCCAGATGATTTTCTTCAGCGGCCATAGAGTCTTATCAGCTGGCGAGTCAATGACGTCCATTTAGTTAGTATTATATGGTGCAAACCAGAAGCCCTGACCTAGTGTCCACAAAGTGAAAGCCACTCCGGAGAAGCAGACTGCTGCAACACCCGTGAAGAACACGAAGTCGACAACCATGCCACGTAGAGCTCTGTATTACTTCCATTAGTTCTAAGCAGGTAAAGGTAACTCATATCACGTACAATATAACAACGTTATTTTTAATGGCGAAGAATGCCAGCCTGCAATGCACAGTAAAAAAATGGCCGCAAACATCAAAAATATTGCTCTTACCGTGGAAACAAAATGCATGCCCCGCATGAGAGAATGTCGAATGCCAGTTCCGAAGAATATGCTATCCGCGAGAGTCATTAAAATACATGCCAGACCAGTGATAAATGAAACTCACCATCACCCCGAACCAATCCTCTAACACGTAAAGAGAAGTAAACCAGAAAAATCAAGAGAAACCCAGTGTCAAATACATTCCACATCTGTAAGGCGATGAGAATTTAAATCGGACAGTAGCAAAAGTTCATGCCACTGACGCTCGCTATGTAGACTAAAGACATCAAGGGAGTCAGATACTTTTCGTGGTTTCATATCTAAAGACTTACTGCCCCATCCGTGCTCACGAGCTTGTGCGTATTCTTCCAAGAGGAATGCAAATGCAAATACGATAAACACAATTTCCCATATTCCGAGCTGCATGAAGTCCCTTTCTACAATACCTAGTCAGTGCTGAAATCGCATTCGATTTAAAAAAAAAATACGTACGAGATAAACAGAGACAAAATGTAAGCATCAAAAGAACGAAATTAAGGAACTCTAGTATGGCTCCGTATTTGGGTACTCGAAGCCTGGTACAGCAAAGGACCATTCACTATGTGTCCTAGTGTTTGCATTAAGGCACGACTTACCGGTAATGATCAAGAAAAGGTGCTCTACGTCCATCGTAATATTCGACGGGTCGCGGTTTGTAATTGTCTGCAAGTAACGACCTATTTGAAACCGCCGAAAAGACAAGTCGACCCGCATATATGTCATTTACAACGGCCTGGACGACTGCACTGGCAAGGAATGATTTTGACTTCGTTGCAATTGCCATCTAAATGCAGGTGCCTATAATTAGAGGAACACACAGCCGAAGAACAACGAGAGCGAACCTCAAGTGCGTTAGTCGGATCATCCAAGTCCTTCTCATTGCCACCCAACGACGCCTTGATTTCCTCTACGACTTCCGGAGGCGCACCTGAAATAGGGTTCCAGCTAGTAGTGAGCACAGCAGCAAGCTCAAGCTTCGAACTTGCAAATGTTCGAACGAGCTTCATTGCAAGGATCTCACACATCATGGCACGCGACGCCATCACGTTTGCATGAGCCATGTCCTGATCCGCGGCGTGTATGAAGTGCGAGCGAACAACGAGACACGCGTATACGACAGCTTCATTTCCGAGCTTTGCATACTTGTATACCAGTGGGCGGACGATAGCGAAGCTGATGTCGGATGCAGTGAGCTGTCTGGTCCACCAATGCCACATTGTCAGATATCCTATACATGAGACATGAAATATCGGACTTACTCCCAAGACAATGCGGTATCTGCATTGAATTCACAGACTCAATATCAAGTGCAAAACACATTCTGAATACGCTGAACATGCCTATATTTTCCTGTGCCTCATTAAGCAAGACACCCTCAACGAGGACAACGCGTATTTCTACTCACCGTTACATCCTTCCTGAGGTGGCAAATCAACGGAAATACGCTAACATAGGAGAGGTCTGGAGACAGCAGAGGCGCTTGCTCTTCGGGATCCATGGTGAAGAGAGTGAAGAGGGATCCCATCTGGCAGGCAGAATGGACCCCTGCTCTGTTGCCTCGCGACTTTACCAAGTGGAGAAGAGAGGGCGTCGATCATTTCACGCGTCTCGACCCGCTCATGTGACTGCATACATTCACAATTTCGAATTCGATTCAGGAGGACATCAGATGATGCGGACAGCTCCAAATTTATCTATCTGGATGGACATATCATCTATTATTTTTACTTTCTGTGCTGCTAGATCTCGTTGTCATTACAACGTTCTGGTCCTCCTTAGAGCCCTAATGGAGCATTCGATAAATGTTTTGTCCAGGTCATCCATGATATCAAAGTCACACAGTCTCGTCGGCAACGTGTTTGAGCGAGAAATTCCCATCGCAGGCTCGTCGCTTACTCCACCTAGTGCGTTGGCCTTCAATTTTCTCGGTGCGTTGTGAATGCCAGACGCACTCTCCGTTTCCTTCGCCTCTTCAAGCGCACCTTGCAGTTGCTTTAAAATCTTTGGAAGTTTTTCTGGCTTTATCTGTAGAATTTCTAGCAGTGCGTCATCCGATGATGTCTCGAGTGCTTCACGCATCAAGTTGCGCAAATCCGCCAAGTCAAGAGCAAAGTCATGGTTCTTTTGCTTCATTAGCACATTGTTCATCCGTACGCGTATTTCGTCAGCCGTTGACGGATCCCTAATTTTAACATTATTACGCAGCGTTGCCTTGGCAGGGTAGTCGTTAAAGTCTTCGTGGGCTGAAGGTTGCGCTTCCTCCTCGGTCCGAACAGGCTCTGGCTCAATCTCAACAGGAGAAAGCATACCTGAAAGAGACAGGGTTTCTTGCTTCTTTAGCTTGTCCGGAAGGGCGTCGAGCAGCTTCTCCACATGCTGTCTAGACTTGCGCTCTGCAGCTCTTCTCCTTTCCTCAGCTGCTTCTAGTCGCTGCAATGACCTAATCTGGATTTTAAGCTACGAAAGTGTCAGAATCGCTCTCTGTCAAGCGCAATTAGAACAATTACCGAGAACAACTCAAGTGCATTCGACAGCTTCGCATCACACTCCTCAACCTGACTCTGAATTTCCTTGCGCTTCAGATAGCGTTTATAAAACCGGCGGCGGACTTGTCCCATTAAAACTCGTTTCACAGCTTCAAACGACCTACGTTGGAAAATCGTTTGCATTTGTATGTAAGAAAACACAGACATGAACTTACTCGTTGAGCTGCATCAGGGGAAATGCAAGCTGAGCCTCAATGTTCTCACCTGCCTCACCAATTTCTTCTCGAATAACAATTAGCGTATCAACACAGCGTTCGGTCAAGGACAAACAAGCCATCTGATTGGACTGCATCACAGAGAATGAGAGTAGCCGGACGACAATATTATAATGACTCACCTCCACAAGTTCTAAGGCGTTCCATATGAGTACTAACGACTGCGCTGCAGGCGCAAGACCGCCAATTGGAGCGAACTGCAAGACGCTTGCACCGACCTGAAGTACATCATGTGCTGCATTTGACCCGTACCCGAAGATCTTTTGAACAACGTCCCGGACACGCTGATCAAGGCAATGAAAGTGAGTATAATATGACAAACCGGAGCTGTGGTTTGAAATGAGTTTACCTCACGCGTCTGGACAAATCTTTCTTCCTGCTCTGGAGGGGCAGTATGGTTTGATACTTTCATTTTCCACGACTTCGTTGCATTTTTAGACTTTAGGAACTGCCCGACGTGTGGCAACACTGTAGACTCAGGAGAACTCGTTCGATGAAAGAAATGCTTCGGGCCGTGAATTCTGTCCCATCTCGAATCTCTTGACTGTGTTGACGATTTGTCATCATCCGAAAGGCGCGAAGACTGGATATCTTCAGGTCGCAACAATGAGTTGTCCATTGGTGTCTTGCTATGAGAGTCGAAAAACGTCTTGTCACTCACGGCTTGTGCTTTCCGCCCTTCGGGGAGAGAGAACGAGGTGTAAGAGCGTGATGCCCAGCTACTTAATACTGAGCAGATAAGACGACCCGGAACTTTGCAATTTGCCGCAATAGGACATACTCGTAAGTGGCGAATGTGGCGCTAGGATTAATATTATCGTACAAACGGATCAAAACCGCGTAGCTCCTATCTTATCAAGTCAAGCAGTGGTTGGGCTGTGTTACCCATAGGGGAAATGGTGTGATAAACGGTTACAATTTGGACATCTTTCGTGACGTATTTACTTCATTCCACTATAAGCGAATTAGCGGTACAGTCCATGCGGTACTCGGAAGAATGGACGGTTCTCACCCATGGAACCCAAGATGGCATGTCTGCTGAGAGTGTCGCAGTAAACACCGGCGCGCGTTTCTCAAGGAAAGATCGTGCACCCTCTTCACCGTCCTTACTCGGACCAAGCGTCCGAATCGCGCGTGACTCCAAGAGATGCTGTTCTTCTGGTGAATTAGCGCCACGCCAAATAAGTGCTTTAGTCATAGCTACGGATGTAGCGGAAGTAGTTGATGCGAGGCGCTTGGCAAGTTGCAATGCAACTGGAAAGACGTCTTCTCGTTTCTCAAGTACTTTGTAGTAAAGTCTTGAAATATGGGGTGATGTTGGAGTGAACGTTTCGCTGCTCAAAAGAAGTGTTGAAGCTTGAGAATAACCAACTAAACGCGGAAGGAGAAACGAAGACAGAGCTGCCCTTTGTGTAAGCAAAGTATGGGACATAATCCGGAACATTCGGGTGCATACCTTCAGCGCAGATGCCTCGGGAAACGAAAGGGAATACCAGCTTCGCATCGGCCCAAGCCAGTCGGAAATCGAATGGAAGCTGCATCGTCATGCCTATTCCCGCCTTTATAAAGATTGCTTTTAGTTTATAGAAAGATGCGTCAGAATTTGCTAGGACAAGGCCTACAGCATGACCGTTGACTGCAATGATTGTCAGCTTTCGGCACCGAAGTATAGACATCGTGACCCTCCCGCCAGTGTCGCGATGTGCTTGAAGAAATCGGATGTCTATAAGTCTACACCAGGAATTACAAGACTGTAAATAGCTTACCGCGTACAGGGTCAGGTTCCTTTTCTGCTTCCGGGTTCCAAAGGTCATTCCAGCCGTTACCGATGTCTGCCTATTAGCAGCATTTTAATTTTACCTATTAATAGTGATCATTGCTACGACCTACTCCGGCACAGAATGCCGGTGCATCTGGTTCAGCCGTCAGGACAACTACTCGGACATGATCATCTCTATCAAAAGCCTCAAACGCAGAGATGAGCTGTGATGAGAGTTTTTGCGTAAAGACATTCCTCCTAATCGAAAGTCGACGTATAAAAATAAGGTTCATTGGCTGTAAACTTGCCATAAACGTACCTAGCGGATCGATTCAATGTTACAACAGCAATAGCTCCGTTCAAATCGACTTTAATCTCTGAGAAGCCAAGGGCGGCGTAATCAATAGCGTTGGGCGCTGAGGGAGTGGCCATGGATGGAGGCAGGGATGATTTCGCACGCAAGCGATGCCTCTCCTTAACCTCCTTTTCTCTTACATTCGCTCTCGCGTCAATGGATTTTGCTGGTGTCGGAGGTGAAGTACGACCGACTTTCGAAGAATTCGACACTTCTGCGTATGGGAAGACGGCAGCCGGCTTACTAAGTAACCTAGTCAAAATGGCTGATCCATCATTTTCATTTCCAATACATAAATGCCCCATAAGCAGCAGCAAACGATAATCGGCATGCTGGTGGAAGAGGCCAAAGTAACCCGCAAAGGCTAATGCAATTACCCTCCATTGATACTTAACATTGACAGATAGAATGTAACTTGGGACTAGGGACTGTGGATCCTGTGCGATTCGTGCGAAACAGACGTTCCGGAATCTGGAATATATGAAACCTTAGACATTTTTATTTATTTATTTACATTTAAGTTATTGTAGTATGCATTAGGTACTTCTGCATTTGCATTCAAAAGCGTAAAACTTGACAATGGTATTTGAGTAAAGGAGCCTCAGTTCAATCCGGGCAGACTACCGCGGTCTGTGGACTGGTCATCAAACCAACAAATCAAATCTTCAACCCAATATGGCAGGTGCTTGAGTCATCACGCTCGCTCAACGTTTTGAATTCCAATCTCCGTCTTACCTTCATGTCTGCATATCTAAGAAGCTGGCTATCTGGCACGCCATTTACTAGCTCCTCGTCAAAAACAGAGGTCTCGGTACAAATCTCTACAGCACCCGCTGAAGAGAATAATGGCGACTCGGACGCAGACTCAGATCGCACAGACACGCCGCCTGTGTTCCCGGCTCCTAACAGCGCACAGCGCCTTGGATCCTCTTCGAAGAATGCAATGAATACCTCTAATACACGATCAAGTCTTCCGAAGGTGCTGATGGATACTCAGCTTATGCCGCCACCTCCTCCATCTGCCAATTCATTGCGCGTACCAGGTGTACCGACGTCTCGTGCTGGATTAAGTACTAGCTCTAGTGCTTCGTCAAACAGTTTAATGCCTCCACCAACTGTCTCTGGTACTCTCAGAGTTCCACCGAGTACGACCAAACCGTCTACAAATAAATTTCGGGAGAAGGTTGCACTTGCACCTGGATTTGGTCCTCTTGATTGGGCAGCACTTAAATCATCTGGAGCAGATCTCCGAGTATGTCTCCTCTCCATTTCCTGTTGTTTCAACTCCGCCCTGCTCTACTATTCCCTCGACTTAGTCTTGCCCATCCAATTAAATGCATGGGGCTAATTTAGCATACCTTTGGTATAGGGCGTTGACGACCTGCTGCGCATAACACCGTCGATGTTGAAGGAGCATAACAAGAAAGACGACGCATGGGCTGTATTTTACGGCAAAGTGTATAACATCACTCCATACCTTCCCTACCACCCGGGCGGTGAGAAGCAACTAATGCGCGTCGCAGGGAGGGATGGTACAAAGTTATTTGGTGAGTGGTGCTCATATTTTGGTCTCCTTTCTAATAAAGATCCTTTGTGCATAGCATCTACACATGCCTGGGTCAACGTCGAATTCATGCTTGATGCATGTCTTGTCGGATTTCTCGTTTCTGAATCGTATGGATCATAGAGCATCACTTGATATACCCGTGTCAGAACTTGGATTATAGACCAGACATAGATTCACTCGTGCTGTGCTTTCGAACCACGGACCAACCCAATATTTAACAGTAGACAATGTGATCTGTAAAACCTATATATAATTTAGTGTGCTAAGTTGGAGTCGTATCCACGGTCTCTTTTCTGGTTCTGAGCCGCTGTCAGTGTTTAATCTTCAGTCACCAGTGGCAAAAAAAATTAAATAAAAACCAGCTTGGATTATGTAATATAAGCGGATATCCAAAGTAAGTACCTAGCAACGAACAATTTCGCTTCACCCATCATCTCACCGCTACAGTAATTCCAAGCATGGTAATGAGTGCAACGAACAGATACAACTTTTACTATTACCACACCATCGCGGCTACAGTGCAGAGTAGCGTACTATTTCTCATCCTGGACGCACTACCTAGCTTGAGGAAACGGTAGCGGTTCCTATTTCTGAGGACCTTCAGAGCATTTAAATGGAACGCGCTTCAATAGAAATGCCCTTCAATCAAGATTCCCTGCGCGTAGAACAACGTTGCGAATGCGAGTTAACACTACTAGCTAATGCATCTCAGTCTGGTATATATGTCGTCATCTTTTCGTGCCGATACATTGCACTTAACCGAATATGTAGTCTTTGACAATCCTCAGACACATCATATTCTAGCCCTTCTTCATTGGAAGCGCTTCGAGCAATCAGGTGAACAGGAGGAGCTCGATAAGTCCATCCGCCACGATCGTACTGCACTCAAGCTTCATCCCGATCGTTCCGAATCGTTGAAGAATCTTTCAATATCCCTTTATACACGATACGAGCGTTGGGGGCAGATAGAAGATCTAGAAGAAGTCATCAACTTGTCCAGAGCCGGTCTTCAACTTTGCCCCAAAAGCCATCCTGATTATTCCAAGTTTCTAGACCACCTTGCAACTTCCCTACAAACTCTGTTCAAGCAGCGTGGACAGATACAAGATCTTAATGAAGCCATTGAGTTGCACCGTGCCGCCCTGGAACTTCACCCTAAAGACCAACCCCTGCGCTATTCATCTCTAAACAACCTTGCGAATTCCATGAAAACCCGGTTTGACCAATATGGACAGACGGAAGACCTAGATGAGGCAGTTGAGTTACACCACGCCACCCTCAAATTTTTGCCCAAAGGTCATCCTCTTCGACCGTCGTCTCTCAACAACCTTGCTGAATGCAAACAAGCTCGATTTGGGCAGCATGGACAAACTGAAGACCTTGATGAAGCCATTGTGTTGCATCGCACCACCCTGGAGCTCTTTCCCGAGAGTCATCCTCTTCGACCCGTGTCTCTAAACAATCTTGCGACTGCCATGAAAACTCGATTCAAGTGTCATGGGCAAATGGAAAATCTTGACGAAGCCATTGGATTGTTCCGTACAGCCCTAGGACTTCTCCCCAGCAGCCATTCAAATCGTTCCGCATCCCTAGCTAACCTTGCTGCTTCCTTGCAAATTCGATTCGAGCAGCGTGGATGGTCAGATGACCTTGACGAAGCAGTTGAGTTAAACCGCAACGTTCTGGAACTTGTTCCCGACGGCCATTCGAATCGTTTTAATGCTCTAAGCAACCTTGCGAATTCTATGGTAGTTCGGTTTCAGCAACGTGGACGGGCAGAGGACCTCGACGAAGCCATTGAGTTGCATCGCGCCGCATTAGAACTTCGACCCAATGGCCATCCAGGGCGATCCATGTCTTTAAATAATCTTGCGGCTGCTGTGAGAACTCGATTCGAGCAGCATGGTCGGGTGGAGGACCTTGATGAAGCCGTCGAGTTGTTCCGCACCGCCCTAGAACTTCGTCCCGAAGGCCACCCAGGACGTTCTACATCTTTAGACAACCTAGCAAATGTCATGGGGACTCAATTCGAGCAGCATCGTAAGACAGAAGACCTTGATGGAGCTGTTGCATTGCTCTGCGCCGCGCTAGAGCTTCGCCCGAATAGTCATCCAAATCGTTCTGTGTCGCTAAGCAATCTTGCAGTTTGTATGGTAATTCGATTCGAGCAACGTGGGCAGAAAGAGGACCTTGGTGAAGCCATTCTGTTGTTCCGCGCTTCCCTGGAACTTTTCCCAGAAGGCCGTCATTATCTTCGGATCTCGTCTCTAAACAATCTCGCAACTTCCTTAAGAACTCGATTCGAGCAGTGCGGACGGTCAGAAGACCTTGATGAAGCCCTCAAATTGCACCGTGCCGCTGTGGAACTTTGTCCCGAAGGTCATCTGGATCGTTTTGGGACATTATATAACCTCGCAAATTCCGTATATGCTCGAGTCAAACAGCAGTGGCGTGTGGAAGAGTTTACCGAATACATGCACTTACTGGAGCTCGCTGCTACTCACAAGTTCTCAGGACTCTCGATACGCCTGGATTCTGCGCGTCGATGGGCAGAACTCGCGCGATTACACGATCACGATTCCGCTCTCTCAGCCTACAAGGCAACGATGTCGTTACTTCAACACGCTCTCACCATAAGCCCGACTCTCCACGAACAACATAATTTCCTTGTCAGAAATACCAACCATAGATTTCTCGCCATGGAGGCAGCTTCCTACTCAATAGAGAAGAACAGGATGGAACAAGCTGTTGAGATACTTGAGCAAGGGAGGGCCCTGCTTTGGTCGCAATTACGCGGTCTCAGGACCCCTCTGGATCAGCTAGCCAAAACAAACGAGGAACTCGTCGCCAGGTTCAGGATCGTCAGTCGTCGACTGGAGAGTCTCGCAATAGTATATGACGCGCCAGGATCTGGTTCAGAGATGGAGAGGGGCAGTTTGCCAGCCCTGGACCTGTACACAGGACAGAGGGCATTTGACAAGCTCCTTAAACTGAAGAAACATCTCTCCGATGAACAGGAGGAGGTCATTCACGAGATTCGACGAGTTCCAGAGTTTGAGAGTTTCCTTGACGCTACGCCGTTCAATGTACTGCAGGAGGCAGCTTCGGAAGGGCCTGTCATTATGGTCAATCATTGCAAATATCGTTCCGATGCTCTCATCATTCTCCACCGTGTTGACGTACCTGTCATTTGTGTTCCGTTGGACAGCGAGTTCTATAAGGGTAGTATTAAACTCTACGTTGAGCTCATGAAGACACGCCAATACTTTGGAGCTGCCTCGACCAAGTATGACGAAAAGCTCCGCGAAACGATGAAGATGCTTTGGGATAGAGCTGTTTCTAAAATTGTTGAAAGACTTGAGAAACTTGGAGTCGCCAAAGGCTCTCACATTTGGTGGTGTCCCACATCCGTGTTGTCTGCACTTCCATTCCATGCAGCAGGACCATTCAAGGATGCAGACGGTGCCACGAAATACTTGTTGGACGACTACATCTCGTCGTATACGCCAACGTTCGGAGCCTTGATCAATGCACAGTCGGGCGGCGCCGAGGAAGAGGCAACAGTGCTTGTCATTGGTGATACCTCACTTCGATCAGCCAAGCAGGAGATTTCTAACATCCGAAACTGTGGTGTGGGCACCAAATTACTCCTTGGTAAGAAAGCGTCTCGTGATGCAGTGGTCAAAGCCGTTCGGGAAGCGACATGGGTCCATTTCGTTTGTCACGGGCATTTAGGCGCAAAGCCGTTCGACTCTTCATTCAATCTATCAGATAGCGGACTTACCCTGCTAGATATCGTCCAAGCAAGTCTCCCGGATGCGGAATTCGCATTTCTTTCTGCTTGCCATACTGCACAGCTGCCTTACGATGGTGCACTCGATGAGGTTCTTCATCTTGCAGCAGCCATACAATTTTCTGGATTCCGCAGTGTGATCGGTTCGATGTGGGAGCTACTTGATGACGACGGGCCGCATTTTGCCAGGACTGTTTACGAGTACATTAATGATTGTGACGAAGGCGAGCCAAAGTATAAGAGGGCAGCTGCAGGCCTTCGTAAAGCGGCTTTGGAGCTGAAAGCACGGGATGAGGTTGCGACCGAACGATGGGTTAATCTCGTGCATATTGGTGCATAGGTATGTTGTAACAACATAACATTATTTCTGCTGCGCCTTACCCTCTGTGTTATTGCCCTTTATAGCTTTTTTCTTTGTATCTGTTTATTTAGGTACCATAGATCCAATGTTTTTGATGATCGAAAAGGTTTCCTTCATATACTTGCTTATTTTTATCATTAAATGTGTGGACATGAAAACGGACTTTATGTACATTTGCTTTGTTTGTATTCATCTGTTGCTATATCGCTTTCATATCTAGAGACATACATTGTAAATATTCAATACAGGTTTTGCTGGGTTACACAAATAATCCAAAACAAGACAAAACAGATCAGAAAGCAAATTGGATGGTGAGTGTGTCGCAATTAAAAACAAAAACGAAAATGAAAATGAAAACGAAAACGAAAACGAAAACAAAGTAAGATAGCTGTCTATCTATCGTAATTCTATAACCAAGGTTGAAAAGTGAACGCAAGTTTGAGGAGATTGAATAGAGATACAACAAATTTTGCTGCAGTTTTCCTAGAAGATAAAACGAAGCGGACAGGAGGGAAGGGACTGATGGATGGCTGGTTAGTCGGAATAGACTAGACGTTATACGCAAGATACGGCGAAGCTCTCGAAAATCGACCTCGGCCTGCACATCCACACCCTGAGCCCATCGTAACAATAGCAAGTGCAGCCGTTGCACCAATCGACATCCATATCTAATATAAACGATGTCAAACAAACAAAATGCAATTGCTAAAGGTACGTACGTTAGGACCTAGACTCGCTTCGAAACCGAGGGCATGAAATCGGCGTAGTGCAGTGACGAAGAGTATAAGGGCGAATACGAGTGCGACGAGTGAGGCAATGAAGGATACGAGAGCGAGGCATGTGAACGCTGGGCTTGGGAACATACGTTCGCGTCGATAAGAGCAGAGAGGTGGGATGAAGCTGACGAGGGCGATGAATGTGATGCCTGCAGCTGAAGTGGAAAAGAAAGGGTGTTAGCTCGAGAATATACCTAAGGAAAGTAAGTGAAATTTCTGTGTCAGGAACGCTGCTGCTTGTCCTTGAAACAAGGGCCAGCGAGTAATTGGTGCAGTAAAAGATGTAGAACTGCGCTGACAGAGTTATCTAGCACGGTGCGGCGTGTGAAGGTGTAGACTTCAACACACCGAGACATCCATTGGTTCAAATAGAGCATTTCATGTATAGGATAAATTAATGACTATAACTCACCAATCGGATATACAACAATGGCTTTCGTCAGCCAAGGTGTGAGTTCCGGAGACCAGTCAATGCCGAGCCTAAATCCAATAATGACAAATCCACATGTTACCATCCATAAATCATAACCATCATCAACACTTCACTAAATAAACGCATGAAGTACGAAATCACGCTTACGCTCTTTCGGAACAGCTCGACCCATCATCTAAACACCAGCCCCACTCCCCAAAACGTACTCCGCCGGCCTGAGCGGTATGCAGGAAATACAATGGTTTGACGACCGGCGTAGACACTGATATGAGGGTGCTGCGGATGAAGATATAAATAGCCGTTCATTTGGTGTTGAAGATTACGAGATGAGGGTTTGGATGGAGACGTACAGAAGGACAAGCGCGGCGAAGGTCAGGAAGAATATAAGTAACTGTGCCATAAACATCTTCGATTAAAGCACGGCGCGAATATTGAGAGTCGGCCGGATTTGTTTCGCAAAGAAGAGTAAGGTTCGTGAAGATCGTCACAAGCGCGCCAGGTTTTCCGAAGATCGTAAGTCAAGAAGAAGATAATCCAGGTCCGAGATAATCAAAACAAGAAGAAACAGGTGAGCGTAGGAACAGAAGATGATCAGGATGTATGCGATGCCCTCGTCACCGTAAAGGGCGAGAGAAGACAAGATGAGCGTGATCGAGTGGACGGGAAGATAGTCAACATCGCGTGGGAATACGTTATGTACGCGATCGGCGCTACCGTACGCGTCGCGTCTGTTTCATTTGCGTCTGTTCCTGACAACTCGGGCCGATTTCTGTACTCCATCCAAGTCTGTCGTTCTTTAGCTTTGCATGACTATGAGGCTGACTTTGGACAAAAGTCCAATTGTACAACAAATAGAAGGCTTTAGAGCATGTTTGCTATACTCCAGGACTTATCAGCTGACCCCTCTCAAGGAGAAGTCCATTCATACCCACTCTTGCCTTGCCCATTTCGTCTTAATTGCTCAAACCAAGTGAAGGGAGAACCAAGCTGACCTGTGTCACGAGAAACTAGAGCAGCTGTATAAATAGATTGCAGGGCAATATTCTACAACCCGTTGCCTCGTGTACAGAGAGTTTACTTCAAGCGGAGGCATGTAAGTAGAGCCCTAGGATTCTCAGATTGATTTTCACAAATGACGAAGGGATATCTGCGCTAACCTTCTGCCCTGCCGGCGGCGGACGTATCTCGCAATTTTGCTGTTACTCTGAGCGAAATTCTAAAGCAAGAACTTTGTGCTGGGACTAATAGACAGGGTTAATTGCCGCAAGGTTCCGTTGGTCGCTGGATCGGTCTCACGCGGGTCGAAGCGTCAATTCAGTCAGGGTGAATCTACGAGGCATAATTGCAGATAAGGGACTCTTCCAAGCCCTCGTCACAGAACGACTTGTCGTGCACGACGACCCGCGTTACATGTTGTTCATTCATTTGAACTGATGCGCCAAAGCCAGTGCCATAGCAGTCTGCTTAGATGCTTTGTTTGCAGACACTAGTACTGTTGGAGGCGTCCAATTTCTATCTATTGAGTTACTTCCAAGGCACGATAAGAATCCAGAAGAGGAAGAAACGATCGCGTGACCTGGAAGAATGGGAATCCCGGACCGTTACGGCGGAACTATGGATATATGCGCTGTGGAGAAAATATTAGTCAGCTCGTACGACATCCCTGATTGGGCAGAAACGCGTTGACGCGTGCGCACTTGATTTAGACCTGGATCACACGTCATTTCCCTGTCACGTCGGCATGGTCCCATCGGGTCGCGTTCATTTAATTTTCAGCCTCATTTTCTGGTTTCTCCTCCCTTTGTCTATGCTGGATTCGGCATCGGATGTCTGGCCAGGGAGACGCGTCGATGGGCAGCGCCAGACGGCCGAGGAATTGAGAGGCCTGCCTGGGATAGAAATCCGGCTGGAGCGAGCTCCGAGGCGACGTCTACGTTACATAGACTCCTGCCTAATTGGGAATCGAGGTCAGCCGCCCTGTCGCGCGTAAGTACCCGCGTTCCGCGTCACGTCCTCCAAGTACTCCCATCCCTCGCGCTCATCGTCGTGCAGTGTCCATACTAGTCATCCTATCCCGACAGCTACCACTGCACAGCACATCCCGACCGCCAGGCATGGCGACACCCTCCTCATCGGGAACCTCGCCCTCGCCTGCCCTCTCGTTCGCACTCCCCGCGACCGCGTCCGAAAATTCTACGGACGAGCCCAACGATGTTGACCAGGCCGAGCGTGAAGAGCGAAGAAAGAAGTTGCTGGCGCGAATGGAGTTTGCTAAGGTGAGTATGCGTTCGTCTCCTGCTCTAGTTAAATTTTCCCCGCCCGTCCGATGTGAGAGAGGAAGGGGTCAGTGCGTGGCGCTATGGACGCGTCTCAGCCTGCTGGTACCGGTGCGTTGTACGCGCGGTAGGGTAGGACGGTCTTGTATGGTGCAGATTTCTGCATTGAGGAACGTGCGCCGCGTCGTGCGCGGTCATCGTGTGTGGTCGCGATATGCACGGAATGTGCCCTTGACGGAATACGTTCCGCTCGTGGCAATCTTTCCTGGACTCCTCTCCTCTCTGATACAACTGGCGCGTCGCCTTAGTGCTTCCTGCCTGTCTGTACTCGTCGCGCCGTGCAGCGGACGCGCCCGGCGTTCCGCAGACATCGGTCCATCAGTTGGCTGGGCACGCGTGTTCCCATCGGTCGTTACCGCCTGTCTCATTCAGCCGCTGACTCACGTTTCCACAGATCACGCGTGCCCTTCGTTCCACGCTCGCCCTCGCGTCCTACAAGACAAGACACAACGTTGCCAACGTTCCACTGCGCAACCTCGAGGCGCAGGTCGCCCAACGCGGTCACATTAATATTAATAATCAGCCCACTGGCCAAGCATCGCCATCTCTATTTCCAGCCACATTTGCAAATGATAAGAAGCGCAAGGCTACGAATACCGCAAGCAACACGGGCTTCTACAGCAGCCCTCTTGCTCAGGGATCCAGTAGCTACAGTATGGGCAGACCTGGTCTCGGCACGAGTTCTTCGTCCTCAAATATGGGTATGACAACTGCACATTCGAGCTATACGTTCCCTCCTCCTAGCCCCGGCATGTCTTCTGGCCCCTCTAACCCCTCCAGGAGTCTCTTCGCGTCTATTCTTTCTTTACCACCAGCGAAGCGCGCTCGCACCATCCATAATCCCGATGCGCCTCTTGTTCCTCCACCGTCGCCACCCCCTCAGGCGCAGAGCAAACGATCGCCAAAGAAGAGCACCAAGAAAGGGAAGGAACCTGCGGGAAGTGGCAAAGGAAGGGCCGTTGATAAGAAAGGGAAGGGTAAGGGTAAGGAAAGAGAAAAGAAAGGCGCGTCAGGGAGGGGCAGAGCAAATTCGATTAGCAGCATACATACACACTCAAGCTTCAGTGCGGAAACGGATAACGTGAACGATACAGATATGAAGGCGGCGGAAACGCTAACGGATCTGCTCTTCTCACGCACTACTGGAACGGCGAGCCCGCGCTCGTCATTTTCGGCTCCGACGAGTGCAAGTAGAACAGCGCCAGCCGGTCCGACTATCGGTGCTCACTCACTTTCCAAAGCCTCCTCTGCGTCTTCTGTTGCTGCTGGTGCTGGTTCTCAATCCGGATCCCACGTGCGGACTGCAAGTAATGCAAGTACCGCTTCAGTTAGCACTAATATCATGGAACGCGATCATCGCGCTTCCCCTGGTGCGGTGAAGATGGAGACGCGTCGTTCAGCAACTCCTACAGTAACCCCTCGTCTCTCTACCCGAACAGCGCCCGGCCTATCTGTAGGGGGCTCACTAAGCGCGCAGGCGACTCATGTGTTTGGTGCGCCCGTGCCTTCAGGACAGCACTCTGCGGACAGCGAGGCCGCGGACCTCATGCTCCTGTTGGCAAACAGTCCTTCTCCCGCTCGTCCTACTGTTCCACGTGATCATGATATCACTCGGAACGCGTACGCAGCTGGGCGCGTACTGTTCCCGTCAGGATCAAACGGTAGTGGTCAAGCCTCCGAACTAGGGAGTGTTGGCAGCCGAAGCCTAACACGTAGCATGGGCGGAAGTAGTCTCAGTGGAGAGAGTGCGGAGATGATAAGAGAAAATGAGCAAAGAGCTTGGTCGGACACCGCGACCACTCCTCCGTCATCACAAGGAGAGGCTTCACCACCGCATATACCGAAGACAGCTATCGGACCTCCAACACCAGAGCAAAATGACGGACCAACCGCATCACCCGATTCGCGTCCTTCGAGTTTATCACTTGGACAACTACTTCCCTCTCCTCCGTCATTACCGCAGACCGGTCCACAGACACCTGCACCTGCATTCCGCTTGACTGATTATATCAATGTAACCCCGTCTCCAGCAGCTCCCGCATCTGCCTCGCAAACTTCTGCTGTACCTCATCCAAGCGCATCCTCTCAGCCTTTCCCATCGTCCTTGGGGTCTGGACCATCCGGTCGCTTTGGATCAACTGTTTCCGTGTCATCTCCGCTGCGGAAGAGTTTTGACCGTGATAGCGTCGGACTCGGTATGAGCGGACGGAAGCTATTTGAAGATGAGCCTGGAGGTGCAGACATGGGTGGTGGTGCTGGCGGTACAGCAAAAAGGATGCGTTTTGGAGAAGATGTGGATGGAGCGAATTCATTAGGTTCCGGTATTGATCTGGTGCAAACATAAAGCGGTACATATGCATGAGTTGACTGTCGGCTGAGGCTTGTTATGCCTATGTGCCTCGCCACGTCTCAGTACTGCCGCGACATGTGCATATATGCACATATAATCGTTTTGCCTTGCTGCCTCCAACGGTGAACTGTAACGAGCAGGAGCTAGGTTACCATTTGTGTCGATTCGACTCAGGAATGGGTCTTCATCGCGTTTTATCGATTTGTTCGTATTCCATTCTATGCCGCAACTTATGGTGCAGGATAGGTTTCGGTCTTTCAAGCAAACACATGCTGAATTTCGACATGTATTATCATCATCCAGTGGCAAACTTCTCGCTCTTTCTTGCTTGCGTGCCACTCTCGATTATATCTCTATCGTCTATTTGATATTATCCATTCCTTGTTTTCTTTTCTTCGATTTTTTGTTTGTGCTATCCCGCGTTCCTTATTACTTGGTCTATCTTGCCCTTGGTTTTTCCTTCTTCCCTCCTACCTTCAGTTATCTTCTTTTATATCTCTCCTTCTCTTTCTCTTCTAAATTTCCTGTCTCCCGTCGTTTCCTACCTAAGACGTCAACCCTTGCTGTCGACTCGCGTTTTATCTTCCCATTTATCTAATGCCGCTGTTGGAATTTTGGCCGTTCGAAATATATCGTTAACAAGATCTTTTCCGCTCCATCTTCTTTGCCTTCTTCTCCTTCTCTCCTTCTCTTCTTTCGATCTCTCTTGGACTTGGAAAGAAATATAAACGGTCTCGTTCATTCTGTTCGCTTTTTGCTTTTTACTGTGTGGATTTGTACGATGCGAAGTATCAATGTCATGAATGAAAAGGGAATTGCAATGGCATAATTTGCCTGACTAGATGACTCATTGAAGGTATCAGTGCAGGTTATGTATGGTATATCAGAGAAGTAGAATCGTAGACCACGGTGCACAATCCTTTTGTGTTATTTTCTTCTTTTGAAATGCGTATAAACAGGACACAACAAACTGAGCAAAACGCGTCTCTTTTCAGGTCTTGTTTCCTCTTCACTGGCACCGCTATGTTTCTCTGAATCGCAACCCGGTATGGCCGAGGCTTCCGAGAAAATTCATCTATACAACGAAACAATCCAAGGCCCTCCTGGACTACATTGATGAGGACAAACGCTAGTTTTCTTCTGGTGTCCTCGGCGTTGCAACTTCCATCCATCAACATGTCTATGTACCAGTCGCAACATTGTTCATATTGGCACTAGAGATGACAACTCCAAAGATTTAGCCGCTTTGAGCATTGTTTTTGTTGTTTTATACGAGGATCATACTCAGAGCACCCAAGAGTTTGATCGTCGACTTGACAGGCGTGAGGTGGCTGTTGCACGAAGCTTTCCTTTCCTTTGCTGTTTCCTGCCTACCAAGCAACTAAGATCTTCAAATGTCAACCGGCATGATTAGCATGTGTGGGTGATTTGGATAAATGTATGATCCATGAAAATTCACCTCAGTTGGAGAATCAACTTCCCATTGGTATCAAGTATCAAATTCGTGTCACAATTATGAAAACCCACGGATCAGTTATTCATCAGACCCGACTCAAGGCTCGCCGTCGTTACAGGAGAGTATTACTTTACTGCCCGAGTATGCCTTGGCGCTTTCAAGTGTAAAAAGGACTGTTGGGCGGCGACTTGTCATGCCAGTCACTTTACTCCCAGCACGCAACTATGTTTTCACCACCCACTCTGTTGAGCTCGGATAACGCCTACTCATTGATGGCCGAGCGAATTTTCTCAGATGTCTACTATGTACGACTTACTCGTGTCGCGATTCTAGCAGCGACGATTTACGAGATCGGTTGGGTGTCCATACATGAGTTCCCAGTGACCTACTAACTCGTTGTTTTCCAGTTATTACAATGGGTGATGAGGTACGTTCGGTCAGTTACTTGATTACTTTAGACAGTATCACGAAGTCCTCGTTTAGATCACATATTTCTTCGAAAGTCATAAACGTATATCACTCGAAGAAGTTTTAATTAACCTTCCTTTCTTCCGGTGGAACAGGCTGCCCCATGGAATCCAAAGAACATGGTATTTTGTCTTGTAGGGCACTCTGTTTGAAGTCTTTCCTAATGGGACGTACTAAGTCGAGTGTTTAGACTCGGTATGCTGCAGTTTTCAAAGCTGTCCTATCCATCTACCGTGAGTCCAGATGTCGACCGCCTTTAAATACAGCAAGTGATTCTAGTCATTCAGAACCCCGAATCCACAATACCAGCAATATGTATGTACCCTATTTTATCTGGAAACTATCGACTAATACTATTAGGTGCGTTGGATTAAAAGATGTAGGTACTGGTCAAACCCTTTGTAATAGCTCATTACTCAGTGTCATTCAGGTATTTTCACGTGGTGGGGAATCAATATACTAGGTATTACCCCGATCCCGAACTTGTCCACCTGATACTCTCTGAGCTTTAACTTTAGACTGGTTGATACTGGTTTCTATGGATTGTAAGGCACACTTATATTTCTGACAGGGACATCAAGTCAACAAGTATCCACCTAGATATTCTATACCTTCGTATACGTTCATTGTTCTCGTTGAGTGAGTCGTTATTCTGACACTAGCATTCTGATTTATAGCTCATTAATTATTTTATTTTAGACGTCTATGACAAGAAGAGGGCCAAGTATGTTAAGTCATTGCTTGTTTTCGAAATCGCTGCCACATTTGGCATTCTATTATACCTATCCATTGTGGCAGGCAGTATGTGCATCGCCTATATGTACATGGCATGATGGCTAGACTAATACTGGGCGACTTAGAAACGCATATACAGGAATATCCAGGAGGGCTGACTTTGTGCAGTGAATCGTTGACTCTCTACCCAGTTATAACGACTGTTTATTGGTGCAACATTCTGAAAATTAGAAAGCTTATAGGCTAGCTAATGGAACTTATTTCACATAGGGGTATCATATTTATATACCAAATTTTGGCGGCATCACTCGCCTTTTACCAATCTATCCAACTCCACAATACTCTGGGAGTACGAGGGACGTCACTTGTGAAAGTTATTATCCAAGACCAGGGTACCTATGTATTCCTGTATGCGGTTCTTCATACTGCTAAGTTTAATGCCGTCGCTCACGTTGGTTTGACAGGGTTTTGATTTGTACTGGTGCAAATTTGGTCGGGACACTTTGGCAGAGTCCGCGAACCGTCGCTGTCCTTTGCTATTATATTCTGGGTAACAGCAGCATGTTTGCGTTTGTTGGAAGCCGGATGTTGGTACACCTGAAGCAAACAGCGGAGAAGGCCTCCCATGAGGGTGAAAGTTTTATAATACCATCACATATGAGCACAGACGACTTTCGTACAGCATGCTCAAGTAATAGTACTATGCAGTGAAAGTGAGACGCATCATTGTTGCACGCTTGTTCATCATAAAGTGACACTCTAGCAGTGCCTATAGGACACAGCACACGTCTTGAACAGATGGTTACAAAGGGTGTGACTATCGTATCTTTCGTTGCCTAACATGTCTGATTGTAACGTATCATAATTCTAATACTTGTGTATACAGTTCCAATTTTCCATGCATGAGTCTTTGTTCTTCTGACAACATAAGCTTTCAAACTGCTCAAGAAGTGTTTACCAACATTCATACCAAAATACCAGTAGACTATGAATCAATTTAATAGTCAACGTGGAGCGCACGAGAAAGCGAGCCTTCACTCATTCTATTCTCATAGCTACTCTAGTGGTTCATCAAGGCACGTTCCCTCTTGGTTTTCCTTACTAATCAGAGATACAGATATCATCATATTCGTTCCAGACTCATGAGTATATACATTCTCCTAACTTCACATTTTTATTCCTTCCCGCCAAGCCAACGATAAACTACACTCAGATCCAGGTCCTTGCACCGTGGATCGTCCGCAGTAGCCTTGTATGCAGCTACAGCGTCGTGTCCCAAAGCGATCTTAGCGTCTACTTCCTTCGCACAGTCCAGGAGTAAATTGAGGTCTTTAACCATGAACTGAACTTTGAATCCAGGCTTGTAGCCCCTGGATGGAGCTGTGTCTGGGCAGACACCGGGAACGGGCTATAAATATGTTAATTGATATGCATCGAAAGTTTGATGGTCTCTCACGTTCATATTGTCTGTAGTTCATGACCAAAAGAATACGTTTGTGGACTTTTTCAAATTTAATCAAAAGCTTCACTTACTGCTCTGCCAGTTACTTCCAGTACTCTTCTTGATTACATCCGCAAGTAACTTTGGGTCAACACCATGCCGCATGCCGATGTTCATAGCTTCGGCCGTAGCAAGATTGGTGATGGCGGCCAAATAATTGTTACAGAGCTTAGCGACGTGTCCAAGACTCTGTGCACCGATACAGAATATATTCTTCCCCATCATTTCCAAGAGAGGTTTAAGCGACTGGTGGAAGAAACTATCGGATTCGCTTGCTCCGACTAGGAAGCTGAGTGTGCCCGCTTCGGCGCCGTATATGCCTCCTGAAACTGGGGCATCGTAGAAATGAGCCGAAGATGAACTCTTTGAAATCGCTTCGAAGACCGCTCGTGAAGTTGCTGGATCGATTGTCGAACAGTCGACAAGGGTCTTGTTGTCCACCGGGCCTGAAAGTATACCGCTCTCGCTGAAGAACACTTCTCGGACGTGTTTGCCCTCTGGAACAATAACGAAAGTGACATCCTACAGGAAAGGATAATTGTAAATGATAATAGGAGTTTATGAATATTTAAGGTATTAACAGAGTTAACGGCGACTTCACGAGAGCTTTGACATATCACGACTTCTCCGAGGCCTTGAGTCCTTGCATTTTCTGCAGACTTATCCAGAATCGATGTAACGATGTCGTAGATATATAATTTCGTAGACTTGGGCAAGGCCTTGCGTAAGTTCAAGGACATCCACCAGCCCATATCTAAGCTCCGTCCAATTAATTCTGCAATGACATATTACTTGATAGGCGGAAGGGCTTACTGCCTAGTCCAATGAAACCGACTGCATTTGGAATCTGGCGTTCTGAGGCCGTTTCACTCGCCATATTGTTGTTGAAGGTCTGATACTAGGATACAGTGGGGATGCGTTATCGCCGAAGGAGTTTGTTTCTAAGCTCTAGCAGCCCATAATTCAGTAGTCATCCATCTCGTGAGTATGCGAAGTTGAGCCTGTCTTCAGAGAAGACTGGATGTATTTAGGATTCAGGAGAGGTGCTAGTCACGAGTCCGATGTGCAGCGGGACGCCTCAATTCCATATCCATATATAGACCTCTATATATGCATGGGAGTTCGTTACAAAGGTTCACATTGTGCATACATCATGCCCACATCTGAAGAGGCCCACAAGTTCTTATACGATGAAGGCGAGAAACTGCGAAGGAAGGTGCTGGGGGACGCTCATGTTGAAAGATGTAAATATTAAATTCAACCGCAGCCTCTCTAAAAATTCAACGCCACTGACGATTATACAGCGATGACGAAAGGAATAACTGATTTCGCCCGCGCTGGTCAGGAACTAGCGACCGAGATTGGCTGGTTCGTTACCACATGCGAAAACGATATCGTCATGTTACTTATGTGCTTTACCTTTTCCAAGGGGAACAATATGGGCTCGCCCAGGGCTGGAGTTTAAGCAGCGTTCACTTGTTTCAATCTCGATTCTTTGCGCTCGTAGTCAGCAGACTGAGTTAGCCGCTCATATCAAAGGTGGCCTCAACAATGGTCTTACTGAGGAAGAACTCAAGTACGTGTCCTCCGGATGATTCGATGCATAATCTGAGTTGATGACGTACAGGGAGGTTTGCCTTCAAGTGATGGTGTATTGTGGTGCACCGGCCGGGATGGTCGCGTTCAGAGTCGCAGATGCCGCGATCCAGGAGTGGAAGAAAGAACACGCATGAGAAAGGTGCTTGGACGATAAAGAGGAGGAGAAAATTCAGATAATGTTTTTGTTTTGTTTGTTCGCATTCCTCATCAAGAAATGTAACAAGAACTAGATTGTGATGAGTAAAATGACTGGGAAAGGCTTTTAGATAAAATAAGAAACACTGATAAACGAGTGACGTAACTCACGTCTAATGCCGAGATTGCAAACCGTAGTGCTGCACCACTGCGACAACTACTTATACAGCTTTTCCGCACATAATACTTCATTCTTTCCCTCCAAGCCAACGATAAACAACACTAGCATCCATATCCTTGCATTGTGGGTCCTCTGAAGTCGCTTTGTATGCCGCGACTGTTTCGTTGCCCAAAGCGAGCTTGGCGTCCACTTCTTTCGCGCTATCCAGAAGTAGATTGAGGTCTTTCACCATGAGCTGGACTTTAAAGCCTGGTTTGAAGCCTTTGGATGGTGCTGCCTCCGGGCAGACTCCAGGAGCGGGCTAAGAGATTTGGGGTGAATTGATTAGAAAGTCGATAAAGAGAGATAGAAAGGGTTACGGACGTTCCAGTTATCTACATAAAAAAAGCCAGTTTTGTCAGTTCGTTTTCAATTCATAAAATTTAAGAAAATCGAATCTACTGACTGTTCGACCAATTACTTCCAGTACTCTTCTTAATAACATCCGCAAGTAATTTCGGGTCGATACCATGTCGCATACCGATATTCATCGTCTCGGCCGTAGCGAGATTGGTGATTGCGCTCAAGTAGTTGTTGCACAGCTTAGCGACGAGTCCCTGGCTCTGTGAGCCGATATAAATCAAATTCTTCCCCATCATCTCTAGCAGGACTTTGACTGCTTGGCGGAAATACGCATCGTCTTCGCTTGCTCCGATGAGGAAACTGAGTACGCCTGCTTCGGCACCGAGTATACCTCCTGAGACAGGTGCGTCGTAGAAATGCGCTGAGGGCGAACTCTTTGAAATCGCTTCTGCAACTGCACGCGAGGTGGTTGGGTCGATTGTCGAACAGTCGACAAAGGTTTTGTTGCCAATCGGACCAGAGAGTATACCGCTCCTCTCATCCAAAAATACTTGACGTACATGTTTGCCTTCTGGGACGATGACGAACGTGATATCCTTAAAAAAGAAAATGATAAGCAGAATTATTTTGATCTTTTTCGACAGCACTAACAGAATTGACAGCAACTTCGCGAGAGCTTTGGCATATCACGACTTCGCCGAGGTCATGTAATTTTGCGTTCTCTGAAAATTTATCGAGGACCGATGGAACGACGTCATAGATGAACAATTTTGTCGACTTTGGCAGTTTCTTGCGCAGGTTCATGGCCATCCACCACCCCATGTCTAAGAATCACCGGGTTAGCTTCTACAGCGAAATGCAAATTTCAGACTGATTTACTCACTCCCTAGTCCAATGAACCCAATTGCATCCGAAACTTGTCCATTCAGCCTAACCTCGCTTGACATAGTGTAAGGAGAAACTGGTGATGAGGTACAGTGGTAGACTTGTTACCGGACACGATGTCTACTTAAATGCTCTCGATTCCACATTTTATTTGCTGCGTTCCCCCAAGCGTAACAGAGATCAATCACAAGTTTGATACAGGAGATTCAAATAGCGCCCGTTACAGGTATTGGGGTTCGGCAACAAAACAATCTTTGTGCGGCATTACAGCGGCGACTGGGAAGACAGTCCATTTGAGGCTGTACAGAGAATTAGGGAGAGTGTGTTAGAGCTTCGGAAAGACGCTCTTGCTGGCAAAGATATGCGTCTACGACAATTGACGTTTCTTCGCAACTGAGGTATAATGTCGTCGCTCAAAGTACCGCTAGCCGGTAGATGACTTTGACCGCGTTGGTAAGACATAGTAACCGAGATTGGCTGGGGAGCACGGCGCTCCTTTTTTTTCGACGTCAATTCGTTGCGCTCGAGACGAATCGACTGAGTATATCATCCAGATCAAGGGCATCCCCAACAGATTAGCAATAGCCTGACTAGAATAGAACCCAAGTTTGTGCACCGGCAGATTGCGTGAATCAAGCGAGCTTAACGGATAAATGGCACGATGACGTGTAGTATCGATACGTAGATAGTGGTGAATTATGGGCATGATCACTGATCCGTCGTATGAGTTGGCTAGTAAGAGGGCCCAGGTTTACCTGAGCAGCCCACTACTTGAGAATGTGTGAAAACCAATTCAGGCAGGAGAATTAAAGTGATAAATATTCGTTCGTTTTTGGCTTTTCAAGAAGAGATATGACGAGAACGAAGCTGGTCTTTTGAACAGACGAAGAGTGAGCGAGGAACTTCAGGACGCGGCGAGAAGGGTGAGTGAAATGATGGAGGTTGAATTCCAAATAAAGAAGTCGGCTAAGTATGACGTAACACAGCCGTTAACGCTCCAATTGCCGCATCCGCCACGGTTGCATACTTACCAGCACCTACGATCACAACTCAACCCCTCTCTTCATTCACAATCACCATGTCAGTCGCTGGCCCTTCAACGATGCAACATTCTGATGGCTCCAGGACGCTCGTCCTACACGATGGCCAGCCACGAGAAGAGGAACTTGAACACGAGTCGCCAGAAGATATACTTGCAAACGAGGGTGTACTACACCTACGTGGAAGCAGGAGAACTCATCCACATGTGAGATGGGATGACGATGTCATTGATAATGAAGGAATGGGTAAAAAGAAAACGAAGAGTGCGTCGTATCGTCAACAACCATAGTCCTACTAAACTATTTACTGAACAAAATTGCTATGTTCTAGTTTGCTGCATATTCCGCAAGGATAAACCCTTTGGCGAGTCCTCGTCGTCCGATTCTAATTCGAGCGATTCGGATGCAGATTCGGACTCGGATTCTGATTCAGGACGTGCTCAGCCTGGTGGGAGGATGGGTCAGCGTCGGAATTTCTTACATCGATCGCATCCGCATCCTCATGATCATGACCACGATAGCGAGTGTAACGGGGATGGAGATGGCCTGGCGATGCAGGATACTGATGAGAGTACGGTCGTGCAACAGCTTTCGGATGATGAATATGAACCAAACGCATATGAGCGACCACCTGGCTGGAAGAGGGGGAAAGGGAAGAGAGTTGATAAAGACAACGCAGTGTTCAACCCTGGAGATTAGACCGGAATAGAAAGGACGATACCCTACGCTATCCATTCTTTAGTTTAGAGACTGTCTTGCTTTCGATCCAGACTTTTAATCAGACCGCCTTTCTTACAACCCCACTGAAGTCATCCATTTGTGTATCAATTTAGCCATGCCCATTGTACTTTGCAACATTTCCAACGGCGTATATTGTACGATGTAGACCTACGACTAATCCTATGACCTGACGAAACATTAATACTGCCTTTACCGTGAATGAATCTGTCTATTTCTCCTCTTTCAAATGTCTCTGGCCAAAAATCCCCGTCCCGACACGTACGATATCACTACCAGCCTTGATCGCAGCTTCGAAATCACTCGACATGCCCATACTAAGAAGCAATTTTCTGTTTTCGTTCCATTTACTACCATCTGGATATCGTTTCCGTAGCATTTCCTCCAAGCGGTTGCGTGTCTGCACAAGAGTCTCGAAATCTCGGTTCTCATCTGTGTCGGATAATGATTCGGATAGAGAACCGATGGTCATTAGGCCCTGGAGATATAGGCGCGGACAGTTCTCTAGTACGTGGATGGCCAAGTCAAAGAGAGAGGATCTTTCCATTGCTTCGTCCTTTGTGTCGGAGCCAGAGTCTAGAAGTGGTGGAAGTCCAGATTTTATGTCTTCGCCGGAGGTATTAACTTGTAGCAGGACGTTTAATGGTGAGGATTCCCTTTCTGCCGGAAGAGCACGATTCAGAGAGTCGGCTGCCTTTATAGATGCAAGTGTTTGTAGCGCATATAAGTTAGGTATCCCTGTTCATCCCAGAATAATGTGACATGTCTCGTAAGTAAACCAATAAATGCGGAAACATGAAAGGTCGCTGACCAGCGAGGACTTTTGACTTATTCGTCTGAAAGCCGCCAATGAAATGCCATCGGATGTCTTGAGGAAGCTTCGAAGAAAAAGGAAATTAGAAACATCCGATAAATTAAACACTCTTATTATTTATCAAGAATATCTACCTGCTTAGCTTTGTCTACAAGTTCCTGAGCGTAATTTTCACCGAAATCGAGCTGACCTTGCTCGTAGCAAGCGAGAATGTCGGACGCAGGCTTGTATTTTGAGACTGCAACAAGTACGGGAGGGTCTCGCTGGGGTGATACGGAGTGGGATGAGTCGCGAACACGCTCGCGGATTTCTGCGAGATTTTGCGACAGCTCGGTGACTCGTTCGGGGGTTGCTCGAGGCGTGCTAGTTGACGGCAAAGTTGATGGTGATTCAGTAGCCATTAATCTTCTGATTGTATGTGTTGAAAGTCTAGCGGAGGAAAGGTGTGCGGCTGGTCCGACCAGACGTGAAAGCATACGTTACAACAAAGAAATTGTTCCACCGCTTATTGGCGAGTCACGTTCCCAGTGTCGATCACACGCGTCAATGACATCAGGTTCCGTCGCCGATCATACCGCCACAGCGCTTGCTTTTAGCGGCCACCATTAGAAATAATGGACGACCCAGCAGGCTCAAAAACACACCTCACATGGGCTAATGTTGGTCTAGGATTCGCCTTCGTCGCCTTCGACGCGATAATTTCGCGTCTATTCGGTCTCGGAGTTGGCGTGCCACTCATAACGGCCGCTGTACGATGTGTTATCCAGCTCGCTATCATGGCGCTTGTCCTCCAGAAGATATTTGAGGCTGATAATCCGTGGGGAGTTGCGGGAATCGCACGTAAGTTTTTCTCAACTGTGTTGATGCTGAATGTATAAGTATGTTCATATCTGGAAACAGTCCTGCTCAACTTGCTGGGAACCATCGAAGTTGGTATGTGCTTCGGACATTTCCATGTAAGAAGAACACGAGGATATTTACTGTGGCTCGCCGCAGTTGTGAATAAGGCGAAGATGCGCTTTGACAACATGGTAAGTCTCCCATAAAGGAGGAGATCTGCTTGTATTAATGGATATTATAGTTTTTGATTGTTTTATTTAGCATGGTTTGTTCGACGATTCCGGTGTCTATCCTCGGTGCAAGTTTCGCCATGTCTATCGAACCTTTCTGGAAGCCAGACCAATACAGTAAGAGATGACACTTCTTTTCTTGGTGATGCACGAGGCGGCGCTTACTTGTCGTTTTGTTCATCTCGCATTAATGAGAACAGTTCCGATCGTAGGAATGCTTTGTGGCGCAACTATAGCAGGAGTGGTCATCACTTTGAATTTCGTTCTGAAGGAAATATAGTTGAGTGGCTAAACAGATGGTGAGATTTACTGGCCTGGCGCTTATTCATTTCCTGCTTTCCCAGCGAGAACCGCGACAAAGTTGAAACCTACCTCGCCTTCGGCGCGTCGCGTTTAGAAGCATGTCAGCCTGTTGCAAAGGAAGCTCTACGCCTGGCACTCACTCCCCCCATAAATCAAATGAGGTCAGTGATCTCTATCCCCCCTTCCCTGCATTGTTCTTCTTTCTTCAATTGGGAGATCTGGTTCCGTTTCATCATCAAGCCACGGCAAATGCCTTGTAAATGCGGTCCGCGCCGCCAGACTTTCCTTGCCTTGGTTTATCCCTCTTGATCCTGCTCATCTCGGAGTCAGTTAGTCCTGAAGCAAAGCTAGATCTCGGCAGAGCCATCAACAATATCGAAGGCTCACTGGCGCCGCTGTCGGTTAGCTTCGTTGGATGTGCATCATCTTCGGCAGCTCGAGACATTCATTTTGCAAAGTCCCAATTAGAAAATGGACATCGCCTCTGTGGTGTGATTTGTATAGGCTGATGTCTTGGCCTGTGCATCGACACTCTTACCTAACCATACTATTTGCAACCTCCTTTGCTCAAATGCCATCAGCAAGAACTGCTGCGCTAAGAAATGAAGACGCCTCTAGTCACTTCATCTGACTGAACTGAGATTCTATCTAACTTTTCGATTTCATGTTTTTCTTATTTCGTCTCGCATTCGCTTCGTGCGCAATCCGTTCTACTCATAGATCATTCGCAGGTATGTGCATCTCTTTTCACAAAGTCGCTATCGCGACGCGGACCGCTTCTCGGGTCTTCTTTGCCCACTCATAGCTTCCTTACCCGTATCGGCGCTCCTCTCTTGACGCTTTTCCGCCGCTTTCCCTGTCGAAAATAAACCTCGCTTCTCCGCCGAGCCATACCAATTCAATCTGCTCTTCTTAGGCACGGCTGATCGAGTTGGTCGGCGCCCCCGCACCGAGAATGCGGCAATTTGGGATCAAGAATTTGGCGAGGTGTCCCAGGGGGACCGTGATCCTCACCAACTGAATTACAGGAAACAGAACAATTTTCCTGGGCAATGGCGAGGTGCGGGCAAATGCGAGTTTACTGCGGGTGATCAATGTGCCGTTGCTGAGACTCCTTGAATCTTCTCTGATTTCTGTTCCGCCTTATTTGATTTGATTGAAATGTGCTCTTTACGGTTGGTTGGGTCTGCATTAATTGCCGACGCTCTACGTGCTTCGTTACGTGTCCCGCTATGCTCTACTCGATAATTCGGGTTAGAAATTCGCATCGTATTGGTTCAAGTTTACGTGGCTTATATGCGCATCAATTCGGGTCTATGCTCTAGACACTCTCTTCAACTGCGTCGCTAAGTTACGCGAACGTTATTAGAGCACAACTTTCTCGGAGCTAAGGGCTAGAACATCAAACGAATGTCAACGCTCATCACTCGGACACAACTTGAGCTCTTTGCAGATCTCATTTTTTTTCTCGTCCCTTTTCTCCCTCGCTTTCATTTCAGCATCTTCGTTGCTTCTCCCGTTCATTTTTTCCTTTTGCTTTCACGTTCATATATTTTCCGTCATTTGTGAAATGAAATGAAAAATTGGAACTGACGATTCTCTTTTTCTCTTTTCGGCCTTCCGATTACGCTCATCTTCGTCTTCTCCCTCGACTTCGACTTCGATTCCGCTGGCTTGACGACACCCGAACTCACTCACTCACTAACCAAACGAACGAAAACGAAAACACAGTGTTCTAGGCATCATAGCGATTCCAGGGATGATGACCGGAGCGCTCCTCGGCGGTGCGCCGGTTCAACAAGCCGCAAGGCTCCAAATGGTGATTATGTTTATGATTGCTGCTGCGAGTGCGTTAGCGGCGATACTTGTGACTGTTGTTGCGCTTGGGACTGTTGTGGATGATGAGCAGAGGGTGAGGGCTGGGAGGGTTGATGTGAGGAAGCATTGGGTGTGGAGGATGAGGGAGAGGGGGTGGGAGTGGGGGGTTGGGAAGGTTAAGGGGATTGGGGAGGGGATGAGGGTGAGGGTTGGATTGAGGAAGGGGGGTGGGAATGGAGAAAGGGTGGAGGATGGGGCGGGGGAAGAGAGGAACGGGTTACTTGGTTGAGTGAGTGGGTGAGCAAGTGGGTGGGTGTATGCGCTGTATGTGTGTCGTGTGAGTGTTGAGTGTTGAGTATTGGTGAGGGTGAAGAGTCAAGGCGGAGGTAACAAATGAAGGTTTGTATGTATGCCGAGGAGATTAATTGACGTGAATACGTTTTGTGCTTCTCCCATTCAGGCTCGCGAGGATTATACTCGTCGACCTGACTCGTTGCGTTTATTCGCTTAAAAATTAGAAACTTTAACCTATGTACGAGTGTATGTATGTCGAGGATTAATGAACGTGCCGAGTAGAATAGACAATGGGAGTAACAACAATTCGGTGCACTTGGACTAAGAAAGAACGACGTGAAAAGCTCCCAAGGATGCGACTTGAGTAAATGTTGAAGGGAATGCGAATGAATCTCAATATACAAGGCAGTGCTTTGCTTGCTCTTTGACTACTTCCTATCCGTTATTTGTCCGGAGTCTGCACACGTACTACAAGCTTGAACCGATTCTAGGAACATATACACGCATACAGAGGTTTGAATCCTTTCAGTTTATGTATGCACCCGAAAAGCAAGGAAATTATTCACTTTCCAAGTACCCAACATCCTGTAAGTAAGGATAATTTTACATGTCCCTGAGCTGCTCTATCATATGGTAACAGCGTGTCTAAATAAAAATATTCGATATGTTAACTGTTAACGTTAACATACCCAGACGAATTTGAAAAGCCGAGACCGCTCGATGTTTTTCTCTCATATTTTATTACATATTAAACTTGTCGACAAATGTGAGAAAGGATCAAGTTTCGATTTTTGTTTGGCCTCGGCACTGAATGGGGTTACGTACGATCTTTCTCTGGAGCGAAGTGAGAGGAAAGGTAGACAGAAAGATAAAAGGGAGGGATACATGTATTGGATTTTTTTCCCCTTTTTCATGCTCGAAAGTTTCTCCTGTTGTGTGGTAACAATGTTCTATTCCTTATTTAAAATATCGGTGTTAGTGCTCAAATCCTCAAATTTGAAAAATTTTGAGAGTCGAGAGTCGAGACCACTCGATTTGTTTTATTATTATTATTAAACTTCTCGACAAATGTGAGAATTATGACATTGGAAGACATCATCCTGTGCTCCATGCTCCATGCTGTAATCCCTCGGCGCTCAATGTGATTACGTTACTTACGTACAGTCTTTATTTAGATTCTGGAATGAGGGGTTTATGAGGTTGGCTTGAAATGGTAGATAGAAAGAGAAAGGGAGAATGTGAAATGCATATGGCGAAAGGAAGGAAGTGCAGGCTAAGGCAACTAACTTCCCCCATCGGTACGAGTGCATGGTAGCATAAATATCGAGAATTAAATTGACGCATATGTGTAGCAATCCATCCCTGAGTCATGCTCTCTCTTTCTCTTCCCCTTTCTATTTATATATGCTGCCTGTACTAAACTGACGTAACGTAAGTACCTCCCCTCGTAACCTTGCCACCACAACACGCACACGCACACGCAACACCTAAAGAAAACCAATGATGAAAAGAAGAAAAAGAAGAAAAAGAAGAAAGGAAGAACTCCGCCGGCGCTAGCGCTCGTCGCTCGAGGACTGCCCGATTATATCTGTGAGATGTTGTCATTCATTGATTTGATTTGGATTTGGATTTGCATATGGATATAGCTTAGTATGGTATGAGAGATGCTTTAGATGGTAAGATGGTAACTGAGTAGATTAGATATGGCTTGTGAGTTGATCGCGTGACGTCGTTTCCTGATTGTATGATTGTGGTGTGGTAATACCGTAATTGCGGTGCGGTGGTGTGGTAATTGCGGTGATGGTGGCGTTGCCTCTCAGACTAAGCTATGTAAAAATATTTATAGGAGAGTGATATGCTCTGTGTCTGTACGTGTCTCTCTGTGTGTGCGGTGTATGACTCAAAGATAATGAAGATTATCTGAACCATTCCACAGAACCACCGCTCTCATTCTTTCTCGCAGAGCAGTGAAAGAATGTCTGACATTGAATCATTGATCGCACTTACCGGCTCATTCTCAGTAAGGAGTGAGATAAATCCTAATCTAATGATTGTCAGCGGTCCAGCGCCGGCGCCCTGGGATCCGGTCATTCCGGTGTCGGACGGACTGACGAAACGGAACGAAAAGGATCGGATGGGATTGCAATGCGATACATGGGCGGTAGGGAAAGCGATGAACTCCGGCCTGACTGATAATGATAGTGGTGGGTGATGATGAGTGATGATGGCTTTGTTGACTGTGAATCATGATGTATGATATATGATGTATGCCATAATACTAATGCTGTAGCCCAGTCTTATATATATGGCATCTATTATGACACCGAGAGTACGATTTGAGAGGACGCTAAATTAGGATTCCCGTTTTACAGTTACGAATTCGTATGAGCGTAAGTACGTACGCACGTAAGTTAAGTTAAGCCAGGAACGTACTGCTGTGCTTTGGAAGTTTGGGGTGTAAGGGAAGAAGGGGAAGAAGTGGGTTTACGGCGTGTGCAGTGCTGGCGGGACTGTATTCGTTGAATGCCGAGGTGGACGAACCTCAGCCGAGATCAAGACGGATAGATAGCATACAAAGGGAGGAGCCAGTTGTATAATATATTATGGGATACGGTCGTGGGAACCTCTTCATCTTCGGAATCTTGACATATCTTGTGAAGGTGGAGCCATTGGCTTCAATCCACGCGATGAATAACGAGATGAATAACAGGGCTTTATGTTATTCAATTCATTCAATTTATTGGACCCACAGAAAGTGGAGTCTTCATATCCACGTGTTCATGAAAACTGACATCCGTTAGTCACAAAAACAGAAAACTCAAGCATACACTTTCGCAGGGGCAAGTTACGGCAGAAGAGACGCAAAAGCGGCACAAGCCGTCCGTCGATTTGGATTGGAGGTGGAGGGTTCTTCTCTCTGGGCTCCAGGTGGCAGAGGGATCGGAAGCACAGGTAAGAAGCAAGGGAGTGACGAGAACCAAGCTGAAAATCAAATAAGTTTGAGGCTTCGAAGAGTGAAAGGAGCCGGGAGGACGGAGCAGAGGAATGAATGGCAGTGATGTGTACAGTACAGTAAGAGGAATAGGCAGACAGAGGGTAAAGTTTGGGATTAAGTTTCGCTGGAACCTTCGCGGGGAGATCCTGAGGATGCGACCCTGGAATTAGTCAAACCCTCCCTATGCACGACGAGTCTGTTCCTAGATGAATCATCAAATCATCACCGCAATGCGTACTTTTACAAGCACAAAAAATGCGTAGGAAAGCGGAAAAACAGGAAGAATCGACACGTGAGAAGGTAGATAAAGAAACGATGTGTGGTGGAAATGAAAGGATGTTCGAGAGGAGATTTACTGATATTAATGGGGAGAAGACCGTGTGTTTGGCGGGGCTGTGTTGCTGAGCTGAAGTCTGAAGAAGAGGGTGGATGATATAAGTCGAAGGGACCTCGCCGAGCTTGCTGGCGGCAGCCGTGGTAGGTAAGAATGATAGGAACTAAGGAAGGTCCCACGATGAACTGTGAGTGTCGAGAGTAATATCTGAAGGACGCGATATGCGTCGAAGTAGGTGACCATAAGAGGTAATTGCTTCGAATAATCACAGGTGAGAGTGCACAGCTCAGACCCCAGACAGGCCTCCTCAATACTTTACAAGCATCTTATTACGGCCCTCACTCGAGTCCTCCTCCTCCCTCCATCCTCATCCTCCTGGCCTGCCCTCTCTTCCTCATCCCATCTACACCTCAAAACTACCCGGTGCGCTGCATGTGTCCACTCAAGACGAGTCGATAGACACCGTACACACCCCCGCCATGCACGCGACGTCGTCCAGGCATCCCCACCATCTCTTTCAGCAGCAGCACCAGTCCCCCACCCCGCCACCGCCCTCAAGTCCCTACCCGTCCTACCCATCCAACAATAACATCTCAGCAGTCTCTGTGCCGAGTCACAATACACAGTATACTTGCCCGGATCCGTACGCTCCCTATCTCGTCGCGCACCAGGGCCAGGGTTCACACTCTGGCTCGCGCTCCCGCTCTCCCAACCTCCCGACCTCTGCCTCTTCTCACAACATGCCTCGCTCGAGCTCGCCTGCGCCACCGTCCGCGTCTTCTCATGGGCATGCCCGTGATGCGGTGGCGCTTGGTCCGTCGTCGACTACTCCGCATCCGCCCGAGGACGTCGTGATGACCAGCAAGATCGAGTTCACGCGGGACACACGCGACCGGCCCATTATCAACCAATACCTCATCGGACACCGCTTGGGCAACGGGCAGCATGGAGAAGTCTACAAGGGTTATGACATGCGCAGAGGAAACATGCTTGTCGTGCGTCACTTTTAACTTTATTAATTTCTCGTAATATGCGCTCTGTTGCACTACCCTAAAGCTGACTCAATGTGTGTATGCGTTGCAGGCAATCAAGGTGTGTCGACGCAAGAACACCAAGGAAGCCAAATACGAACAGCTGCGCCAGCGCAACCAGGGCGCGATCCCACGCACCGTCGGGGGCTTCGGCGGTGTTAGCACCAGACCCCGTCTTGTGGACCAACTCCAGAGTACCGAAAAGAAGGTTCTACGTGAGATTGCTATCATGAAGAAGTGCAAGCACGGTCAGATCGTGCAGCTATACGAGGTCATCAATGATCGTCTTACCAGCAAGATCTTCCTCGTATTGGAGTACATGGGTGGTGGTGAGGTCAAGTGGCGCGACGAACAAGGACGTCCATGTCTTCGCGTCGACCAGACTCGCCGCATCTGCCGCGATGTCGTCCTTGGCCTACTTTACTTACACCACCAAGGTATCATTCACCGTGATATCAAGCCTGCCAACCTTCTCTGGACCTCGGATCGCATGAATGTCAAAATTACCGATTTTGGTGTCTCGCATTTTAGTGCCGCACAACGCATAGATGCACTGAAACGTAGCTCGGCGTATCGTGAGGCCCTCGAACGTCGCAAAGAGGCACGTCGCCGACGCGAGGAAGAATTTTCGGGCAATGCAACTCCTGTGAGACGCAAGACTGGTGGCTGGCGTGGAAGAGGGAGCGTGACGGCAAGCAAGGAGGACGTCAAGGGCAAAGGCCGTGCTCGAGACGACCCGCCGCCTCCGTCCTCTGCGTTCAAGTCAGACTTGTCGTCCCCGGCTTCCGATCATGAGGATGCAGAAATCGAGGCGGAGCTCCTCAAAGAATTCGCTGGAGACGTTGACCCGATTCTGCTCGATGATGGCGGTCTATCACGCCAAGCCGGGACACCGAGTTTCCTTGCACCTGAAATCATCTGGGAGTTTGGTGAGAAGCAGACTGCTGCGCTGTACCGCAAAGTGGGCCTCAAACGTGGAAGAAGAGAACGCGGCGAGAACGAGTACGAGTACGATGGACTGAGAGAATTCTTAGATAGTAGAGGACGGGATGGTTCAGACATGGATAAAGCACCTGCGTCGTTAACGACGACTCTCAAAACGCCTCATCGCCCTATACCTTTGGAAGATGAGGCGACTCCCCGTGCTGCCGATGCAGCAGACCAAAATTCACTTGACCTCCCCTCTGAGGCAACACCAACCCATCTCAAAGAAACATATTCAACAATGCCTGATCCCGATCCAAATTCGTTCAATGATTACAACGCTATTATTGCTGCTGGCGAACTAGATCCAGAAACTGACGCCGAGCTACCTCCACGCCCACCCATCACGAAGGCAATAGACGTCTGGGCGCTTGGTGTGACGCTTTACTGCCTTCTCTTCGGTCGTACTCCTTGGGGCGGCAATACGGAGTTTGCGATGTACCAAATGATTCACACGGAAGACTTCGTTGTGGATACTTTCATGGGTTATGATCGCATCCCCACTGGTGGTCGCTTTCACGACGATGATGATACGAGCGAGGGTGCGATCGTTATTGGCCTTCTAGATAGATTACTGGAGAAGGAGTGCTCGAAGCGTATTACCCTCGAAGAGGTGAAGGTATGGAATCTCCTTTCGCTGCATTTTTCCTTCCTAATAAATGAAACGGCTAATTATACTCGTATTGACACCTTACAGAGACTTCCATGGATCACACGCGATATCCCCAACCCAGATGAATGGGTTGCAGAAACCTCTCCAGACCTGCACGACCCGATTCGCATAACCTCCGCAGACGAGGACGTTGCGATGTCAACCGTCAAGTTTCGGTGGAAATTTGACATGTCGAAGCCGTTTCGTCGGTTCCGCTCTCTCCTTCCTGCTGGTCGTTCTGCTGCGGCACGTCAGCAGCAGCAGACGCAACGTCGTGCAGATGCACGCGAGTTCGATGTTGAACTTGATACGATGCTCCTTCGCAGTCTGCAGATTGAATCTGAGTCGGAGAGAAGTGAGAGAGAGGCGTCTGTAGCCAGGAGACGTCTTGCGGGCAGCGAGGCAACCGGTCTACAGCGTAAGCCAAGCCGCAGCAGACGCGTTGTTGATGCTGTTGAACGTGGAGTGAAAAAGATCTCGAGACATGGGAGTTCAATTCACCAAGCCAATACGCCTGGAGGCGAGACGCCGCGTAGTATGAAGAGACGTACGTTACCAGATCTCATGCTCGGTACACGTGGGCGTTCGATGTCTCGCTCTAGAGACGGCTCAACATCTCGACCACCTTCACGTGCATCGGGTCCTGCAACTCCACGCGTTGCAAGTGGAGGCTCGTATTCTAACCTGACAAGTCCAAGTACCGCTGGCTTTACTTCCGACGCAGAGACGGATATTCTTGATGAGGCTGATGTACGAGCCGTACAAACCCATCGACGTAAAGAGCGAAAAGAATGGGACAGGGAACGTCGGCAAAAGGCGTTCTCGCGTCAATCACTGAGTAACCTCTCGAAGATGCTGGGTTTAAAACCGAGAGGGAGTCCGCGGGCCAGTGTTAGCGATATCGGTAGCAAAGCAAGTCCAGGCGCAGTTTGGAAGAGTTTCTCGAAGAGTCCGGCGAGTCCGGCGAGCCCTGCAGGTGGTAGTGGCAGTGGTGGAAGTGGACCTACGTCCGCTCGAACGAGTTTCGCGACTCAACGACTTACACGACGAAGTGCGGATGAGTTCGGTGCTGCGCGTACGGGACTAGCGAGCTCCAACGCAATGCGCGGTGCCACTTCGAGCATGGGTGGTCGTTCGGACTCTGGACCTGCGATCGGCTCTGCAGGTGTCGCCACCTCTGGACGAGGTTTTGCTCTAGCAAGTGCGGATGAACTGACAAGTGCTATGCGTGCGTCAAGCTGGGGAGACGTCGCGGATGAGTATGGGGATGACTATGGATATGGAGTGAACGTGAGAGGCGAATATGACGATGCGGACGGAGTATCGGACTACGGCTTCGGGAGTGGGAGTGCGAACGGGGACTACGCGTTGTATGGGAATGGGAATAGTCGGGCGTATGCAAGCGGCGATATATGTGGTTATCCAGACGATGACGACGTAGTACGACTCGTCGGTGCAGGAGGTATACTATCGCACCCTGTCTCGGGACCGTCCTCGCCAAACAGTCTTTCTGGCGTGTCTATAGGAACCGGTCTCGGCGTCCCTCCTGATAGTCTTTCTTTACCAGGGGTTATGGCTGAAGTCGTACCGCCGACACCTGGATCTTCAGGCGCTCAAGTAGCTATTCCGGCTTCCGCAGGAAGTACTCTTCCACTTTTGCAGACTCAATTCCAGGATCCGGGAAGAAGACGCGGAGCGAGCGTAGGCAGTCGGCATACGCACCATCATCATTATCCACACGTCATCTCAAGTCCATTGGCACAGACTCCGCTCAACGTCGACCGAGACGAACCGTTCGAGTTCGCACTTAACGAAGACTCCGGGGACGTCCATGTAAGTCGGAACACTAGTAGTGTGGATAATACCAGGATGAACACGAATGCGACTGATGATTCTTCGATGTCGGGAGTACGGATATTCGGACAAGGATCGACGAGCCTTAAAGTAGACGACGAAGTACCGGATATCGATGTGTTTGAGGAAGATGATTCGGGCAGCGAGGAAGATGGCCAGCTTATTGTACGTCGAAGACGGCCGTCTGAACATCTTGCTCGTTCGCAGTCCGGTGTCCGTCCGGAGTCTACTCAACCGCCGATTCCTGGTGTTGAGGACGACGTTGAGATTTGCTAGAGGTGCTCCTTGGTAACATCATCCTGATGTATTCCCTCCCTCCTCCTGCCTACCGCGTTGCTGTTATTCGTTTCTTGCTCTGGAGCTGGTTGCCTTTCGTGTGTGTTTCTTGCTGTGCATGTTCATACCGTATCACGTCTGCTTTTTTGCCCTGTGTTCCGTAGACTTTTCCCTTCTCATATTTTCTTTATACGCAATAGACGATTTTTTTAAACTGTTTTTAAGCTCTAGTGGACGATTTGTTTTTGGCAGTGGTTGATAGAAAAGAAAAGAGAAACGAAAGATGTGATAAAAGAAGAGCAGGATTACTTGAAGTGTTTTGTAGCCTATATTATACTTCTTTCTTTCCTTTTTGTTCTGACTTGTCTTTTCTGAAATCGCCTGTGTTTCACTCAGCACTTCTGTCCTCCTCACCTGTAACCCTACTCTTCTCAGAGTTCTCTAGCTGATATCCTTCCCTTATTCGACCTCCCTGCCTTTGTATTTTTCCCCTCCTTCCTCACTCTTTCTCATCATTAATCTCCGTCTTCCTCCGTCTATTTTCAGATTCATTTCCTCTTGCCCTTTCTGTGTTTTTCTTTTCTTGTCTGTTATAGCTACGTCTTTATCCCTCCCTCCCATTTGTGAATCTCTCTGTCTCTCCATTTGCCCTTACAAAGATTAATTAAGCTCTTCACTCCAGCCCCACTCAATTTTTTTCTATGATCCGATCCAAATGAACAACTCAACGTAAATTAGGTTTTGCAATTCTTATTACTTAGAACTCTCTTCGACTTCCTGTTTTCTCTTCCCTTTTCCTTCTTTTCCCTGTCTCGTTCTTGTTCTCTATTCTTTTCCCTCTCTGTTTGAACTACCTTTATCTCTCTGTGAATTTATGGCTCTACTCTCCACCTTTACTTCAGACTTGTTTATTCTTCCTTTCTCTCTATGTGTATTACTAGTTTTTGTTCTTCTCTTACCTCTCACCTTACTGTTTCATATTTTTTTTTTCAGTATCATAATAATAGATAGTAGGTCTAGTTAGTAGATCTAGTACCTTCCCTAGCACAATAGAGATTTATGCTTAATTGATATTTTGGCCTTGTTAGTGTGTGTAGACATATAAAATAAATATATATTTATATGAGTTATACAGGTTATTTAAGACACAATCCTAGCAGTATTACAAAAAGCTTTAAATATTAAAACAATATACTTTAACAATACTAGGTAAATAAACATTGGAAGCTTCTTTCCCTTCTACTTATTATAATGAGAATGTTACAATCTTAGTATGTAGAGTAATTCAGTTTTTTTAAACAAGAAATATAGAAGGATGGATAATATCCTATGTATCCTACTTAGAAATGGCATTTATGCTACTCATAGATAACTGATAGATTGTATACTACAGATAGTATTTTATTTTACAGTAGACAATACAGAGGTAATTAAATACAGACAGATAGTAGTTATGCAATTACACATCAAAGCAAGGCTATGCCACAGAGCAATCGGCAATAGTAACGAGACAAGTCCAGTAAAGTGTACAGTGGTATATAAAACAAAACAAGGAAAAGAAAAGAAACTAAGTACAAGCCTTTTGCTCCAGGAATTCACTACACTCATGCACAATACAATTGTCAAGACTATTGAAGGATGCAGCGCAGCGCAACCACTTGCACTTGTAAGGAAGTGTAGTGGACTCTAAACGCCGGGAGTGTGTTGCAGATGAGTCCAAGTGGCCCTTCAAAATTTCCGAAATAGTGCGTGAATTGAGTTCTCCACCGATTTTCCGGCTAATAAGGTCCAAGGCTAGGCCTACGTGTCGTGCGTCTGGCCGGGCAGAAGCGTCCTGGTGCCAACAATGCTCGAGAAGTGTCCAAAGTCCGTCTGTGATACAAAAATCACTGGGTCGCTTTGGCCTTCTGGCGTTGATGACAACTTCGAGTAAAATAACGCAATCTTTCTTTAGCTCGTTAAAAGGAAGTTCTCCTGTCAGAATCTGTTTCCAGTGTATTTAGATAAAGGTCTTCAGGGAGATCCTATAATTACTTACCTGCAGGATAGTCATACTGAATGCCCAAATATCTGTGGCTTTGCATATGCATAAATCTTCCTCTCATAATAGCTCCACAGCCATCCAGTGCTACGAACCCATGAGACTGTCTGTGGTAAATCCACTTGTCTCGCAAATACGAGAAAGTCCAAAGTCTGCTAGCAAGGCATGCCCCTCACTGTCAATAAGAATGTTTTGCTGCAACAGCAGAAAATGTATTACTCTTCAGCATACAATTCGAGCAGTAGCTAATCACAAGAGTTTGACATACTGCCTTGATATCCCCATGCACCACTGGCGGGTTGGCAGAGTGGAGAGCAAATAATGCCGCCCCAACTTCCTTAAGCTGCAGAAACAGTGTATATGTATATATGTAAAGAGTCAAGCATATGAATAGGTATGTCAAACGCACAATTCGCATGCGATCAGTGTGAGGTCTACCACGAACATAGACGCTTGCATCTCTGTTTATGCAGAAAGGAAGCACTAGACCGATGAATTCCCGGTACTCAGCGTCAGGATTGCTGCAGAAGCCGAGGAAGGGTAATATGTTGGGATGAGACACGCCCTGTCCAGCCTTGATTTCACGCTTCCAGCGCTTGACGAGTAGACGACTATCGTGAGGGCATCGACAAGGCGATAAAGACAATTATGCATACCCGTAGCACCTTTTCTTTATCATTGATATTGCCTGGATCACCAAACGTCTCGATGCTATGTAGATTGGGGAATTTCACAGCGACCTAGAATCCGACTTGATGAGTATCCTAGCAAACAATTGAGTTCAATAAACTCACAATTTCACTTTCTTGAGAGTTGTCTGAGTACAAGCGTGCTTTGTACAAAGTCCCGAAACCACCTTGCGAGAAGCTGGCACGATCTATAATTCCAATATTTTTGGTCAGATCTTTCATAGTGGTGGTAAAAGAGCAAGACAGAAGCTGCGCTTACAAGGGGGCTATTGGCTTCCATCATATATAAGTGTTGTGTTCTTGACTACAGAGGACAGAATTTGTATGAAGAACTGGATTATATACAGGGAGAATCTGGGAAAATGTATTTTATTTCTCTCAGCATGCTCAAAGTACGTGGTTTCTTGGGCATCGAATCACGTGATTTCACGGGAATTACCTTTTACGGAAGTACAGTGGTAGCTCGTCTTACCTGAAAGTGCACTGTAATAATCTTTGACATGTCGGAGCCGTTTCGTAGGTTACATTCTCTTCTTCCTGCTGGTCGTTCTGCTGCGGCACGTCAACAACAGACACTGCGTCGTGCAGATACACACTAGTTTGATGTTGAACTTGATGCGATGCTCCTTCGCAGTCCGCAGATTGAATCTGAGTCGGAGAGAAGTGAGAGAGAGGCGTCTGTAGCGAGGAGACGTCTTGCAGGGGGTGAGGCAAACGAATTGCAGCGTAAGCCGAGTCGCAGTAGACACGTTGTTGATGCTGTGAAGAAGATCTCGAGGCATGGGAGCTCGATTCACCACGCCAATACGCCTGAGGAGAGACGCCGCGTAATATGAAGAGATTTTCGTTACCGGACATTATGCTCGGGACTCGCGAGCGTTCGATGTCTCCTCTAGAGATGGCTCAATATCTCGACCACCTCCACGTGCTTCTGATCCTGCTCCACGCGTCGCAAGCGGAGGCTCGTATTCTAACCTCACAAGTCCAAGCACTGCTGGCTTTATGTCTGACGCAGAGACGGATATTCTCGACGAGGCTGATGTACGGACCGTACAAGCTTCTCGACGTAAAGAGCGGAAAGAATGGGACAAATAGCGTCGACAAGAAAGACGTTCTCGCGTCAATCACTGAGCAACCTCGCGAAGGTTTGGGATTAAAACCGAGGGGGAATCCGCAGCCTAGTATGAGTGAGAGCGGTAGCAAGCGTATCCGGGTATGTGTTGGAAAGGTTCTCTAGGAGACTGGCGAGCCCTTGCGAGCCCTGCAGGTGGTACTGGCAGTGGTGATAGTGGACCTGTGTCCGCTCGAACGAGTTTCACGACGCAACGTCTTACACGACGAGGTGCGGATGAATTCGGTGCCGCGCGTATCGGATTAGTGAGCTCAAACGCAGCGCGTGATGCTACCAGCAGCATGGGTAGCCGTTCGGACTCTGGACCTGCGATTGGTTCTGTGGGCGTCACTACCTCAGGACGAGGATTTGCTCTAGCGAGTTCGGATGAACTGACAAGTGCCGTGCATGCGTCGAGTTGGGAGATATCGCAGACGAGTACGTACACGATTATGGATACGGAGGGAACGCGCGAGGTGAATATGATGATGCGGGCGGGGTATCAGACTGCTTCGGAAGCGGGAGCGCGCAAGGGGACTACACCTTGTATACGGGAATGGGAACAGTCGAATGTATACAAGCGGCGGCATATGTGGTTATCGAACGATGGCGACGACGTAGTACGGCTTGTCGGTGCAGGAGGTATACTATCGCACCCTGTGTCGGGACCTTCCTCGCCGAATAGTCTCTCTGGCGTGTCTATTGGCACGGGTCTTGGTGTCCCTTCTGGTAGTCTTTCTTTACCTGGGGTTATGGCTGAAGTTGTGCCACCCACCACCCACCCCTGGATCTTCAGGCGCTCAGGTGGCCGTCCCGCATCGGCAGGAAGCACTCTTCCACTCTTGCAGACACAATTCCAGGATCCGAGAAGAAGATGCGGAGCAAGCGTAGGCAGTCGGCATACGCACCACCGTCATTATCCACACGTTATCTCGAGCCGATTGGCGCAAACTCCGCTGAACGTCGACCGGGACGAGCCGTTCGAGTTCGCACTTAACGAAGATTCAGGGGGCGTCCATGTAAGTCGGAACACTAGTAGTGTGGATAATATCAGGAGGAACACGAATGCGACTGATGATTCTTCGGTGTCGGGAGTACTAATATTCGGACAAGGATCGACGAGTCTTAAGGTAGACGACGAAGTACCGGATGTCGATGTGTTTGAGGAAGATGATTCGGGCAGCGAGGAAGATGGCCAGCTTATTGTACGTCGAAGACGGCCGTCTGAACATCTTGCTTGTTCGCAATCCCGTGTCCGACCGGAGACTACTCAACCACTGATTCCTAGTGTTGAAGACGACACTGAGGCTTGCTAGAGGCGCTCCTTGGTAACATCATCCTGATGTCCCCCCCAGCCCTCCTTCCCTCCTGCCTACCCCGATGCTGTTATTCGTTTCTTGCTCTGGAGCTGGTTGCCCTTTCGTGTGTGTTTCTTGCTGTGCATGTTCATACCGTATTTCATCTGCTTTTCGCCCTGTGTTCTGTAGGCTATTCTCTTCTTATATTTCCTTCTACGCAATAGACGATTTGTTTGCTTTTTTTAAGCTCCAGTGGATAATTTGTTTTTGGCAGTGGTTGATAGAAAAGAAAAGAGAAAAGAGAGATGTGATTAAAAACGAGGGGGTTTCCTTTTGAAGTATTTTGTAGCCTATACTAAGTATATTTCTTTCTTTGCCTTTTGCCCTGTCTTTCCGTTTCTGAAAATCGCCTGCATTTCACTCAGCGCTTCCGTCCTCCTCACTTGTAACCCCACTCTTCTCAGAGTTCTCTAGCTGATACCCTTCCCTTATTCAACCTCCCTGTCTATGTATTTTTCCCCTCCTTCACTCTTTCTTATCAATTTTCTTTTTCCTCCATCTATTTTCAGATTTGTTTCCTCTTGTCCTTTCTGTTTATCCTTTCCTTTCTGTTATGACTACGTCTTTATCCCTCCCTCCCATTTGTGAAACTCTCTGTCTCTCCATGTGCCCTTACAAAGATCAATTAAGCTCCCTACTCCAATTTCTATGATCCAAGCGAATGGCTCATTGTATATTAGGTTTTGCAATTTTATTACTTAGAACTCTCTTCCACTTTTCTCTTCCTTTCTCTTTTTTGTTTTCATTTTCGTTCTTTAAAACAACCCTTTTTTAACTCCTCTTTGTGGATTCTTAGTTCTATCTCAATCTATCTATCTCTATCATCCACCTTTACTTTAATTTGTTTATTCTTCCTTTCACTCTATGTGTATTACTGGTTTTGTTCTTCTCTTGCCTCTTGCCTCCTCTCACCATGTTTCGACATTTCATGTTTTTCCCCCAGCATCATGATAACAGACAGTAGGTCTTCTAATAGTTAATAAATACCTCTCCTAGCACAACAGAGATTTATGTTTGAATGATTCTGTTTGAATTGTCAACTCTGTGACAAGGCAAACTTTACAAGACAGGAATTCCTGTATAAATTACTGTCTGGGAATCTATTTCTAGCAGGGGATAACCTGTACATATAATTTAACATCTGTATTTCCTTGTAATCTATACATATTGCAACACCTGTGTTATCAACTCTTCATTACAAATATTACATAACCCGGATCAATATATATATTAGAAACAGTAAGACATTGTATTGAATCAACTACACAAATTATTTCTCCACTTCTTCATTCTCTTGTATATTTACATTAGATTGGTGTTCTTCCTGATTCAAGATACTTGTCTCCAAGTCCACAACTTGTGAACTACACTCAGTTGTGGTTCTCCTATGTTGGATAACAACTATAGAACTTGAATAGTATAGTGATTAACTTACACTTGAGCTGTAGAACTTTGAACTGTTGTCTGAACTTTGAAAACCATTTGTGGAACAGTGTCTTTCTGTTGTTTTTCTGTATGTTTTCGAGTAGGCTTTGAGGGCATCTGAATTCCGAAACACTCCATAATAGTAAGACATTTTTTCCAATAATTGGCCCACATATCTTTTGAAAGCCCAAAGAAGAGGAAGAATACTGTAGCAGTGAATACACAGACCCAGTATTCCCAATGGATAAAGAGAATGCTTTCCCATGTGGTGAACTCTGATGCTGGAATTTGCCAAATTGCTGAAAATTTGTAGTGTGCATCTGACAGACCTTTCCACAGAAGGACATGCCTTGCATCTAAGGCAATTGTGAAGGCAGTACAGGGGAGTACTATCAAGCATTCCAAACATCTGAAAATAATCACCCTACAAAATTGATTCAGGGAGATCTCTGGGTCAACCTGTATGACCTTGTGTAGAGCATTTTGGCAATGTATAAGTGCCCTGAAGATAAGACCTACAGGATGGAGAACATTCATTCCTTGAATATATAGAGACGTTTGCAACTTACATGCATAAATTGCTGCTAGAACAGTAAAGACAAGGCATGGGATATCCTACAGTCCTATGAAGACTGGTGTGATGTACTAGTAAAACACATAGTTACACCCTATTCCCTCGAAAATAGTAAAGCAATGGCCCTGTGCAAACCAAGCTGAATATCATATATAAATGCATTAATAATTTGTAAAGGATGATAGAGCAAGGAGTTGTAAAACCACACATACAGATTACAGTCATAATCAATAGAACTATAATAGAAAGGCAGAGGTCATACAACTTTGTATTTTGTTTCTAAGGCTGTCACTTTAATAAGGACCAGAATAAATGGAAGTATAAATGTACCTTGTATAGTGACAATAGATTTTGAATGTGTATTATAAGGTATATACACCTTACTATAACAAATTCTGTTGTTGAGACTACAAAATTGCCTACTTGGAAAACTCTGACAGCTAGAGAAATTGTCTCAGACAAAAAGAATTTGAGTTAAGATAATTACTCACTAATATTACACTATAAAGTAGTTATGATTCTAGTATTGTTAGCCTATATAATAGTATTCACTCTAGTAATGAGACACATTAATGCTAGCCATACAGACTGTGTCTAAGCCCCTGTGTTCTAGTACTAGAGAAGCCAAGGGAGAGGAATCAAGACAAGGACAAAGGAAATTAGATTAGCAACTAGGACAAGAGGATATACATATGTAGGCTGTATTTTACAATATTAAAAGGCAATGTGAATAGAAAGTTGTATTAGCTGTTTGATGTTAGAGACTAACACTTCCTCAAGGCAGCCTTTTAACAATCTCTTGTGAGCCTAGTATATAGGGACTAGATGAATACTATACCTTACACATTTATCTTATAAGAAGAGAATATTATGAATGTTTGATCTTGTCCTAGAGGATGATGTTTTAAGCTAATTATGATACAAATTAAACTAAGTAAGAGTTATCCTCCTGTACCCAGATTCTTGACTCTGCTTTTCATCATAATGTTATTACAACATTAGATTGTATTGTATAAGATGCTTTCAGTATTGTACTATAACAGAGTAGTAACATTAAAATATAAACATTACAAGGGTCAGAATTCTCAGACAATTTTAATCCTAATACAATACAGTCAGATCCATATAAGTAAGAGTAAATGTGAAATAATAGAGTCAAAGTAATCAGTCTGGGTACATTAGAAGTAGTGTAAGTGTATTACAGTTTAGTTTGAGTTTCAAGTTTGTAATTGGCATTCCTAATAATTCTTAGTATAATCACTTGTTTCAAAGTTTATAAGATTAACTGAGAAGTAGTCATGTTTATAATAATGAAGGCTGATTTTGTTTCCAACTAAGGTTAATTATACACTGTTTCTAGTTATACAACCTTGACAAGAGGGTTTACTATCAGAATATGATAGAAACCAATCAAGGAACCTAAGGAACCAAACAAGGCTACAGTTAGATCAAGGCATTCTGATAACAGTAGATACTAGATTATTATTCCAGATAATCATTAATACAGCTAGTAAAAGACTCTGATGAAATCATATTAATTTGTTATAAGTTACATTGTTAACACTTTGACTAATACTAATCCAGGTGATTCTGGTTGAAGAATAGAGTTAATAAACAGCTTAAGTCTTACTTTTCTTCTTGAGATCAATTTTGTATACTAAGGTAGTAAGCTACACAAAATCAGAATAGTTTCTATGTATAGTACTTTTACTCATACAAGTCTTCTTTCAGTCTTGTACTTAAGATTAGTAATGGTTAAAGACTTATAGTACTACAACTAGCTTTATGTACATTAGTCATCATATAATTAATAAGTAGTAGCAAATATTGTTACATGTGAGTAGGAACTTAGAAAGACAGCCTTTAAGAATCTATAGTAAGAAACTATAAAAATACATTTAGTAAGGAAAGAAAACAAGACTGTACTAGAAAGTAATTGACAAGAGTAATGAGACAAATTCAGTAGTATATGAACAAAGATGAAGAAAAGAAAGAAACTAAACAAGAACCTTTTGCTTTAGGAACTTGTTACATTTGTGTACAACTAGATTGTCAAAATTATTAAAAGATGTATTACAGTAAAGCTATTTACATTTGTAAGAGAGTATAGTAGGCTAGGAACATTAGGAGTACTTTAATAGTTTGTCCCAAGTCCTCTTAAGAATTGTCAAAATTATACACACACTCAATTCTACACAATCATCCTAACTAATAAGATCTAGTACTATAGTAGGTGTAATACAAGGGTTAGAAGGCTTCTTAGGTTAACCATACTCTAAGACAACTTTGTCTGTAAACATTAAGTACATAAGTAGTTGTCAAACATGTAAAGACAATATTTAACATATAGGAAATAACAAAAATACATTCAATAATGTAAAAGAGAGAAAGACTGTGTAAGAGAGCATTTGAGAGAGTAATTCACAAGAGTAACAAGACAGATTCAGTACAATGTACAGTAGTATATGAACTAAAAGGAAAAGAAGGAAAAAGAAGGAAAGACCTTAGACACAAGCCTTTTGCTCCAGGAATTTGTTACACTCATGTGTAATCAAATTGTCAAGTTTATTAAAGGACACATTATAGTGTAACCACTTACACTTGTAAGGAAGTGTAGTAGACTAGGAACATTAAGAGTGTTTTAAGAGAGCATCCTAAACACTCTCAAGAATCACTACAATTGTGTATAAATCTAGTATCCTGTTCACTTTCTGACTAATAAGATCTAATACTAAACCTATGTATTGTGTATCTGGCCAAGCAGATGTGTCTTAATACTAACAGTAGGTGACTTTAATTAATTAGTAGGAGTACTTGTAGGACAGTTGGAAAATTTTAGAGTGGCTCAGCAAAGTAGACATACTTTAATATATACTAAATAAAGATATAAATCTGTACAACTCTCTACAAGTGTCTGCAAGTGCTCAAACCTACTTGTTAGTACTTGTAAACATGTTAG